TTTTTATATAATGATTTTTGATTCAAGTAACGGTAATTTTTAAAACAATAAAATAAAACATTCGTCTTTGCCAAAAACTTTAGGGAGTGCCGAAAGTCATAATTCAAAATATCGTTAATAAGCGAATATAATCGAGTTTTTATTTTTTCAAAATTTAGACCATGAGCTTACTTAAATTTTTCTTCACAGCATCTGCGCTTGAAACAGTTGTTTATTACACAAAAATGCTCTTGAAACTAGAGAATAAAATTAGCGGCGTTTATCACACAGAAAGCGGTCGAACGCAGGTTTTTTTCAAACGATTATATACATTTATTAGTAAAAAAATCTTTTTAATTAAAAAGAATAAAATAAAAAAAATTCGTCTTTGCCAAAAAAATTTACGGGGCCGTTTTTAAGGCAGCGATAGTTAAACGAGGGAAAAAAAGCACTAAAAAAACAGTTTTTTTCGAAGTGAATTTTTCACGGAAAGTTTGAGTAAAGGTTTGCGAACATATTCTGATAAAAATAGCTGAATTACTTCAAGTTTTTATTTTTGAAATAGGCAATCTGTGCTATTCAAACGGCTCAAGGGTATGGCGGATGGAGGCTCCTCTCGCTAGACCTAACAGCTTGGCGCAGCGCGTGCGCTGCGAAATTTCATTTTGAGGTCGCGAGTTCGATGCCCGCAAGCAGCAGTTTTTGATTTTTCTGGAAAATAGCGACTTTTTCGGCAAACTAGCTGATGAGCATCATTTTAGCACTCCATTATGATTTGTTACATAATAATAGACCAATATCAAAACTTGTTCTAGAAGAAAAATCGAGACAAATGTCAAAAATGGATAATACCAAAATTTCAGTACTAAAAAAATGGTGCGCGGGGCGCCACATTTTTCGTCATAACTTTTTTCATCCTCAATCTTTTTTGAAAAACTAAACGGTTCTGAGTTTTGAATCGAAACAGCTATCAAACCATACAAAGCTCAAGGCTGAAAAAATTTTTTTGAAAATTCGTCTGCGGTCCCTAATCGGAAGGTGGCGAAAAACTTTTAGATTATATAGTTGGTTTCGAAAAAATAGTTCTTTCACGGCTGAGACAATACCGTTTCACAATTTTTAATGAAGAGCATTTTCACGACACGATTGGCAAAACTTCAAAATAAGTCTCTTAGATATTACTGTATTTTTCTCGGTCTTATAGGAGAACATCAACGCTCGAAGAATCAAAGAGTTTTTCTTTAAAAAAAAAGTGAAGTAGAAATTTTTTTGAGGTTCTGACAGTCGAAAAAAATCAAAATTAAAAAAAGCTGAAAGATTTTCTTTTTTTGAGTTTCGAGTGTAGTATAAAGAAGTACTAATGATCCAAAAATCCTGTTATTCTCGACCTGAGAACGTGGAATAAAAAGTTGTGTTCCATTTTTTTCATTCTATAAAACCTTAGAACAGAAAGAAAAATTAGGAGCCTGAGGCCTTTTCTCAGGCTCATTCCAAAGATAATCGATCCTCAATTTTTATTCTACGACAAAAATTTAAATGGATAACCTCTGAAAAATAAGTTTTCAAGTTCAACTAAGAGTACCTTCTTTGCTGAATCTCAAAAATAGGAGAATTATCAGCCAAAAGAGGTGCCGGTGTCCCGAAGCGCAGGTGTTCTCCGGTGTTTGCGCAATTCGTCGTCAAGTTTGATGCGATTTGTGGGCTCACCCACACAAACAAATGAGCACAAACGATTTGAAACACAACACCGTACGCCAGATGGTTTTCCCCAGCCGGCGTCCATTCATCCAACTTGTTTTCGGGATCCGCAGCAGTTACGCAATCAGCCAAACACAGCGGATTCCATCACAGTAACTCTCTAAGTTCTAGTTTTAGAATAATTATTTAGCAGGATTTATAATAGGGATAAAGGCGATCACCTAGTAGATGATAAAAAAAACTGAAAACAAACGTGATCACGGGTAAAGTCCAGAAGAAGCTAAAAAGAAAAAACATTTCATTCATCAATTATTTTTTTTTTCAACCTTTCAAGCTTAATAAATTATACCAAGTGTTCGAATGAAATGAGCGTCATAAATTGAGTAAGAGTTTAGTTTCAAAGAATTCTGAAACATTGAAACTACTTAGACGGTCAAATTCTCACGGAGACGCGTGTGTCCGGGTAAAAGCGATGATTAAAGGTGTGAATGACTTCCCAGACTGGCCCAAATCGTGAAGTGTGAAAAGTTGAACGCAATATGGTGTTGAGCAGGATTTCCGTTAGCGGAATGTGCCAAAACTTTGCTCGTGGCATGGAATTCTGAACGGTTAGGAAAATCGATAAAGGTTTTAGGAGAAGTCAGGACAGTTTTATGTTGATATGAAGCCTTTTTCAAAGCTTTCTGAGTTTTTGTAAGTTGCAAGACATGTACTCGAAAAATTTATCATTTCATGACACATAAATCTTTTTTTCCATTAGATGTAGACTATTAATTTATCTGATAGTCAAGATGTAAAAAAGTTAGTTTTTCTATTAATTTTCTTCATTTCTTTAAACAATTTCAAACCGTCTTTTCCTATCGGAAAATTTCCTTTTCGGTAAATAGAGTTCAAAATGGACATTTTTGTTCTCGGTTGGAACATGAAAAGATTGTAATCTGGCTGTCGTCAAGCCAATTTCAGCGGCCACCGATACCCATCGGCGCATCTTTTTTTGCTACCAAACAACCCATTCAGCCAATGATTTACAGCTCTTTGCAGAATTGCACTTTTAAGTGGGTAAATTAAAGCATTAAAAGTTTCGGAAGAAAAGCTAGGTTCGGCTTCGTGATTTCTGTGATTTGAAATAGCTGACAAGGAAGTTGCAAAAAGGAAGACTTTGAGATCTTGTTAAAATTTACCTATGAAGTACTTCAGAGCGTCCTGGTTCCCACAAAAGTTCACACTCGATAGCTATTTTTTTGTTTTTAAACAATAAAAATGAAGATGCTCTAAGGTAGGCTCCAACGATTTCACGAAAATAGTATTTTTTGAATTTTTCTTGTTAGCCGGTCCAAGAAGTTACGAAGTGTTTCCAAAGGATTTTTGTGAGTTGTCTCAGGTTCAAATCGCCTCCAGCTTTTGAACAAGATGTCGAATACATTCAAACAGCTCAGAAAGGAGTGTCCGGAATTGTGTGTGCACCTGTTCCGGAAGCGCTGGCCGTTGTGCAGGCGCGTCTAATCAACGGTGCCCAATTTGGACAGTGGCTTTAAAAGCAGCACAAGTTGGGGACTTATAAATTTGAGTTATGCATCTTTCACTCATCAAGAAAAAAAATATTGAAAAGTCGGGGACAGCTCCTGGAAGGGGGAGACCATCCCGTGGTCTTTTTCCTCTCCTGCACCATCGGTATACGTCTCAATGATTCAAATATAGTTTTTTTCATTTTATTTTATTCAAAAACCTATTTTGACGAGAAAAAATTCGAAAAAGCTTTCACCTCGAAGAATGTGAAAGTAAAGTTTCGATCCAGTTTGTAATTTTTTTGAAGTTTTACTTTGACTCATTCGTTGAGAATCTTGCCTAATAAATGCATTGAAAGATCCGTGTCAACCCTCATAAAATGACTTTAATCTGAAAAAAAGATGATTACATACTAATATAAGGGTAGGGACCGCAGACGAATTTTTCAAAAAAATTTTTTTCAGCATTGAGCTTTGTATGGTTTTGATAGCTGTTTCGATTCAAAAAAATCAGAACCGTTTAGTTTTTTTCGAAAAAAAGATTGAGGATGAAAAAGTTATGACGAAAAAAATGTGGCGCGCCGCGCACCAATTTTTAGTACTGGAATTTTTGGTATTATCCATTTTTTTGACGTTTTTTTCTCGATTTTTTTCTTCTAGAATAAGTTTTGACACTGGTCTATTATGATGTAACAAATGGTAATAGAGTGCTAAAATGATAAAAATTTGCTAGTTTGCCGAAAAAGTCGGTATTTTCCAGAAAACAAAAAACTGGCGCTTGCGGGCATCGAACTCGCGACCACAAAATGAAAATTCGCAGCGCACGCGCTGCGCCAAGCTGTTGAGTCCAGCAAGGAGAGCTTTCATCCGCCATACCCTTGAGCCGTTTGAATAGCACAGATTGCCTATTTCAAAAATAAAAATTTGAAGTAATTTAGCTACTTTTATCAGAATATGTTCGCAAATCTTTACTCAAACTTTCTGTGGAAATTCACTTCGAAAAAACTGTTTTTTTAGTGCTTTTTGCCTCGTTCAACGATCGCTGCATTAAAACGGCCCCGTAAATTTTTGGCAAAGACGAATTTTTTATTTTATTCTTTTAATTGAAAGATTTTTTACTAATAAATGCATATAATCGTTTAAAAAAACCTGCGTTCGACCGCTTTCTGTGTGATAAACGCCGCTAATTTTATTCTCTATTTTTCAAGAGCATTTTTGGCGTATTAAACAACTTTTTTTCAAGCACATATGCTGTGGAGAAAAAAATTTAAGTAAGCCCATGGTCTAAATTTTTGAAAAAAACAAAAACTCGATTATATTCGCTTATTAACGATATTTTTGAATTATGACTTTCGGCACTCCCTAAAGTTTTTTTGGCAAAGACGAATTTTTTTATTTTATTGTTTTTAAAATTACCGTTACTTGAATTATAATCATTTTATAAATAAGGAAAGAGTGCGTTCGACCTGAAAACACATGAAAAAGCAAAAAATGACAAAATTGTTTAGTCCCATTCACGTTTTTGTACGACATTCCGCGAGAACGCATCAAAAAAGCGTGAAATATTTTTTAAACGAAAGAGGAAGCTTTTCTGTACATGTGTGTCGAATTTCATTAGCCAGTTCCACATATTTTGCAACTACAACAAAATGAAAGTTGAAAACCAAAAAAAAGCCACTTTTTCTATCGCGAAAAGGGGCGTGGCTTTGCGGTCCCTATATAAGGGTCGCGCCGTAGCGCAACAGGTTGTGTGCCTGTCTACGGTCCACAGGGTCACAAGTTCGATCCCCGCCCCGACCCAACCAAGGGGTTTAAGAAATGTTGGTAGTGGGAAACCACGACTTCAAAAACCCCAGCCGTCACACACAAGGAAGGATATGTCACTCGAGCCAGTCCACTGATTATCACATCAGGATAGGACCTCGGCTAATCGACTTGAGGCGCCGACGCCGCTCAAGCGGTACAAAGGCGTAGGAAGAAAAATAAAGATTACATACTAATATAAGTTTTAGAGAAATATTGTCCCTAGGTAGATAGACCAGTAAATTTTTTTCAAGGTCTTCGGTTGGTGCCTGAACTGAATTTCGAAAGCGAGTTTTGCCCAAGTAAGAACCCTTTTGAATAAAAAGTATTAGACAAATCTTTAAATTAAAAAAAAACTTCACAACTCCTTTCTTTTAGTGAACGAGAACCTCACAGGTTGGTTTTTTGTAGGAAATTAGAGCTAATCTAGATCTTCGGCAGCTCGACTCTTGAAAATTTTTTGTTTTTGTGCAGTTTGAGTTTTCAAATTTCTTTATCCACTAAATCAGAGTGTTTTGGTTTGGCCAATTTTCACAAAAACCTCCAGAAGATGTTGAAAATACCTTTTTTGTCATGGTTTTTTTTTCAAAAAATTTCAAGTTCGAAACCCAAATAGTCGAATAATCAAGAGTTATTTTTCCAACTTCCAGAGCAAAATTTTCTTCATAAAGTTAGTCTCATTCAGAGTTATGGAAATACTTGTTCGAACGAAGGCACTTCGATGCCAATATTGTCGCTGAAGCACTTTCAGATGGGTGCTTTCCGAAGAAGTAAAGAAAGACATCGAACAGCCGTAATCCTTTGAGAAATTGCCAGGAGCTTCGAGGTGGCAAAAGCTGTCAGGAATTTTTGAGTTTATTCTGGGAATCTGGAAAAATCTACAGGTTTTTCTGCAGCGTAGCATGAGAACTTGGGAGAGTTTTTTTTTTTCAGGGCTGAATCTTTTTTTTTTCAATTAAGTTCTCATGGTAGAAAGTTGAAGTAATTCTGAAAGATAATACAACTCACAATATTTTTAGTTTCAGAAAAAAATTAAGAAGCGAGTTCTGCTCTCAAAACCACCGCAAAAAAATGTTCTATTTCCAAAAAAATAATTAATAAAAAGTAAGAGTTTTGCTTCTCAAACTTTGCTTCTTTCTCTGTAGCTCATGTTATGTTATGTATAAGAGTGAAATAAATATTAAAATATTCAAGAATTAAAAAGCTCCTTTTTTTCGAATGCACCTGCCTTGTCCTCTTCGAAATCGAGATTTTGGGACAAAAAACGGAGTTCCACTTTATTTTTGACGCCAAATGCCATTCTTCCGAATTTTTCCCAAAATTCTTCTCACATTGCAGTTGACATATTTTTTCATTTCGCAGGGATATGAAATTGCAATATTCTTCGCCGAGGCCCACTTCATTTTTATTTCCAGAACAAATACTGACTACTGCCCTCTCGTTGGCCTAAAAAAAAGCACTATAGATCTGAATTTTGATCAAATATGCACGAAGGCTCCCCTTAATTCGTACTCTCTCTGAATACTTAATGGTCGAGTTAGCGACTCGAGCAATTTTTTTTAGTCTTTCCCTTTTAGAGTTGCCTTTTTGCTTCTTTTTGAGACTTCCCTTCTCTCAGAAAAAAACGAAAATTCTAAAATAGGAAAGAAATGTGAACTTCATGAAAGAAAGAAGTCCTACTCGGAAAAATGGAAATCTTATTATTCCCCATATTATGAATATTTTTTTTTCCTTCTAAGTTGTTGAACAGTAGATACTCTCTAGGGCCAATGTAGGCTATCGTGAATCACGAAGACATCGTGGCCGCGTGGCCTAATGGATAAGGCACCAGACTTCGGATCTGGGGATTGTAGGTTCGAGTCCTGCCGTGGTCGAAAATCTTTTGCCCTTTTTTAATCAAGCTTCAAAATATACTTCCGATTAATTTTTCCTCGAAGAAAAAAAACATTCCATCGGAAAATTGAACTGCCATAAGGCTGTGAAATCTTTTCATTCTTAACTTTTTTTTTCTCATTTGATTTTTTTCAACTTCTTGATACAGTACTATAAAAAAGGTCTCAATCGTAGTGAATTGACGAAGCTGGCAGAGATCCAAGCGGCCGGTGTCCCACGGCTAAAATGTCGAGGAGAGAAAGATAGAGAGAAGGAACGAGGGAGAGAGAGATCAATACGGCTGAGAGCTCCTATTTGAACCCCTCAACAACAGCGTGGATCCTCCCACTTTTGGCTCGAGGGCTACTTCTTTTCTCTCTTTTCCTCAGTCCACAAAACGGCTTTTTGGTTCGTTTTTAGTGTTTCCAATGAACTTCAATTACCTCTTTTTGTTGGCCAGTTTGCAACATTCTTCTCTTCAAATACCTTTTTCTTTCTTTTTTCGTTCTTCTTCTTACTTCCCGCACGTGGCGCTTCCAAAAAAGAGATACTATGTGACAGAAATCTGTAACTTTACGCTTCGGTGAAATGTTGCAAGAGTTTTAATATTTTTATATTTCTTCTGACCATTTCCCTTGTTTTGGCGCAATCCTTCTGTTGTGTTTTGAAATTTTTTTGTACTATCACGTGAATTCAACAAAAAGCTGTAATTCAAATATTCTTTGAATATCCCAAAATCCAACATTTTTTTGTATAAAAAGAATCTATTTCATTCTGAGCGCGCGTAAATTGTGTAAATTTTTCACATTAACTTCTCACCCTTCTTACTGTTATAACGCATTGAATTGTGTCCTCTTTACATTTTATTCACGCTAATACATATTATAAGATTAGGACATACATGATGTGAAAGAAACATTTCTACATATAGTTTTTTCAAATTCCCGTTTTCATTTTTTTTTTTTATATTTAAAATTGCGTTTTCTTTCCTTAATTTTTCTTTTTCTTTTTGGTTTTCATTTTCTCACTCTCAAAGAATTGATAAATTAATTTGTAATGAAATAAAATGCAAAACGCGACGCAATATGATAAGCTAAAAATGAGAAAAATGCGAGGGTGGAGAAACAGATGTCCGCTCGAAACATAAACGCATCCTGTTTCGCAGTCACTTCCGCTGATTGAGAGGTTCAAAGCTCTCCGTCGCTTCAATAAATTCCAACTAAAAAGCATTTTCTCTTTTGTTTTTGAGCGAATAGAATTAATTTTCGGATTCTTAGATTGTTTTGAAGGAAGCTGAGCGTAAGTGAAAAGAGGGGGATAAAAAATAAAAGCTTCACATATTTTCAGTCTTGTGAATACTACCTGGAATATAAATTTTCGGCTTCGAATCTGACAACGTCGTGAGTCGGTGATTTACGCGCAACAGATGTAAGCGTCGTCTTTTTTCCTCTCATCTTGGATGGGCTGTTGACGATCGTAAAACAGATGGACCCGAATTCGTCTGTGTTTATCCATCTCTTTCTACGACGCTCATTATTTTCATTGAGCTATTTTCTCCTTTTTTCTTTTGTTTTCTTGGATTTTTCGCTCATTTTTTCACGTTTTTTTTTGCAACTTTTCGCTCTTGAATTGGTTTTTTTCAGCTGCCAGGCTGGATCGCGGCGGCTGGTTCGGCGGCGGCGGCTTGGGCCACCGAGACTTGGGCCAAAATGTTCCTGGTCCTTCGAACTATCCGGTGATCACCGGATCTTCGGCCCCCGAACCGGCTCCTTCGGCTCTCGGCTATGGCTCGGCATTCAGACATCCCATCGGCTATGGTTCTGCGGCTGGTGGCACTGCCGCTCGTCGACTTCAGAGGTTTTTTTAAAAACCTTTTCTGAATTATTTTTTTTTCAAGACTTTTTTTTTCACTTTTATCGTTTTTTTTACCTTCACAGTTCGAAATTCCATGTTTTGTTTGTTTTTCGATAAATTTCATTGATTGCAGACAACACCGGTCGATGGACGGCCTGGGACTGATGGAGGGCTTCGAGGAGAGCGCCTACGGAGGACTGAGTCCGTTCTCAGGACCTCAGGCCTCGACGTCACAGGCCTTCTCGGTGCCGTTGGCCGTCTCCACGCAGATGACGTCACACAACGACTACCGAGCTCCGCTGTCAAACCCCGTTCCTTCCCAACATAACTTCTGGAATTCTCAGGGGTCCGTTTCCCTTTTTAGAGTCCTTAACCTCATTTTCAAAAAAAAAAACTTAATACTGTTCGAATCGAAATTTGTGGGTTTTTCACGAAAACGAATTTAGAATTTAAAAAAAATTTAGATGTCTCTCCGGTAATTTTTTTAAAGTTAATAGATAAGGAAGGTTGAGGTCGGAAAAAAATTTGGTTGAAGCGCTTGAAATAAGAAAAAGAAAGTAGCAAGAAGGTTTTTAAAATAGTATGAATCAAATAAATATAGAATCTATGCTCAGGGTATTTATTATAATCGGTCAAATCAAATTTTTCAAAAACTTTTTTTCGATTCATAACGTTGATTTTAAAAATCAATTTCAATTTTTTTGAGTTTCAACTCGAACATTTTTTTTCAACAGTCAAGATGTTGAAATAGTTGAACCGTTGAAAATCAACTGTTGAGAATTTTTGAAACGAGGTCACCTGTTTAAAAAAAAAGATTGAACCAACGTTCGGTTGAGCGGTTGAAATTAACGACCAAAGTACTCATCTTTCTCTTTAGTAATAACTTTTTGACGAGAACGATTTCGAGGGTCCACCTCTCAATGACAGTCTCACTGACTCTTGACATTAAGGGAAAAACATGACCACAATAGCTGGCAAAGGCGAGAATGTTTGCTTTCCATCACATTCTTCCCTTCGTCTTTCCTCCCTCTCGTCCTTCGATCCGACTCCGATTCCTCATATTCATGTTTACTTAACATCTGCATTACAAAATTAATCTTTCTATAACATTGGACTTTTTTTCAGTTCAATCTGATGATCTGTTGAAGTCTGATCTGAGAGAATATTTTACTCTCAACCCCAGAATTTGGTGTAAACACCCCTTCTTGTAGTTGATCTCTGAAAGCTCTACCTGTAAATTTTTGAAAATCAAAGACTTGAAGATTAATTTTATGGATGCTGTGCGGAACTCAAAAGTTAGAGCTTTTTTTTTCGAAAACTGGATGTTATGAAGCTTGAGACTCCGATTTTTTTTATTATCTATGCTTTCTAGAAAACTTTCAAAATTTTTGGATGCTTCCAGTAAGACTAATAGACCGAGAGTTCGAATATGAGCCGATTTTGTTAGAGAGAAAACAATTTTTTCGAAAAGGTACGAAATTTCGCAGGTTCTCATATTTTATATAACAGTGATTTTGAAACGCCAGATTTATTTATAATATTTTTCAATCCGGAAGGTTATTTTTATCGTAAGGAATGACTAGGAGCGGACGCGAAGCGGTTAATTGAACCGACACTAGAAATTCAGAAATTCAACCATGAAAAAAAAATCAGGAGCAACAGGATGTCTGATTGAGCAAAAAGCAGCGCAACCACGACGTTTATGACGATTTCATGTCATATTCCATTTTTTTTTTTCAGTCGAATATGGTATTTAAGAATATGGTAAAACTCTAGCGTTTGAACATGTTCTTCTTTGCATAACTATGGTCTTGTAGAAACATCTGAACGTAACATTTAGGGGAAAAGAACCAGTTTTGGGCGCCACCGATAGTTTCACAAAGACTAACGGTAAACGGCGGTTTTGGACCTTTTAAAATGGCCGCCTTTTTGCAGCCATTCTTCGACCGTTTTGTTATAAATTACCTCGTCTTTTCAGGTCTTCTAGTCCTTTAAATAGAAACAATGTAGTGTTTTATTCAAAAAAAAATGAGCGGAAACTGTTTTTTGTTTGTTTGATGAGTGAGGCTGTCGAAGGAATTTCTGCCGAACAACAGCGTCGTTGCATTCCAAAGATGGCCTTGTTCTTTTTTTCGAACGTTTTTTCACATTTTCGAAAGGATTGAGAGATTTTCAAGGTTCTAAACCTTAATATTTCACACATTCTAGCCTGATGACCGGAAGACGGACAAGATTAGACCACAGGGTTTTCCGCCAAATTTAATTTTGCGCCAGTCCATGGCGTTTTGTTTTTCGCCCACAACTGGACCTTGACTACTCTCTTTTTGCTTGTGTCGATTGATTTTCTGCTCAGTTATTCCCAGAAAAAGATCACGTTAACTTATTTATCAGTAGATAAGCTCAATGAAAATTGTAGTTTGAACTCAATTTTAAACGGAAGCTATTATCTTTGTAACAAGCTTTGGGTGTCCTTGAGAAAATCCAAATTTTTACCTTTCAACCGATTTTTTTTTACCGTATTCAAGTAATGTAAATCTTCAAACTTTAAAGGCTGTCCTCATAAAAAAAAGTCTTCTTGGCGAATTAATAAGTTGAATGCATTGAGTCAACTTTCAACTGAGTCTATATGCTTGCGAGCATTTTGTAGCCGTGAAAAATCTCGGCTTTTTCGGGTCAAAACCTAATTAAAAATCTCAAACGGCCTCAGTTCACCTAACCGAGTAGCGTAATGAAAGAAAAAGAGTGGACAAATCGTTTGGAGCCATTAATGTCGATTTTCTCGCCTGCACGTCTTTCCTTTTCCCATTTATTCCAAATTTGGCTCTTCTTCTTTTTTCTTTTTGTCATTCTTTTGATCTCAAGAACAACTTATTCAAAAATATAAGAGAATTTCTACGAGCTTCGCTCCTAAATCACCCGAAAAGTTGATCACTGATGAAATTGATAAGAGTGTTTGGTAGCAGATATTTTTTTAGGTCACTCATCAATCTTTCCCAATATTTTTGCGATATTATCATAAAGACTTGTCATTTCATTGTCCCTTGAAGGAGTTTTTAAGTTAAATGATGAATTCATGTTTTTGCATTTTTTTCTTATCAAAATGACTTCTTCGGTCAATTTTTTTGTATCGTTTCGAATAATTTTTACGACTACTAAAAAAATTCTTATGAAATTTTCAAATGAAAACTGTTTTTAAAATTATATATTTTTTTAAAGAAATACATGGAAGAAACCGAGTTTGCCGCTCAGAAATCTTTTGGAAGCTTTTTCCTTCTTTTTCTTTTTCTCTTTTTTTCTACAAAAAAATGAGTAAGCGAAGGAATTCCCATGAGTCACACGTTTTTCATGGCCTCGGGCTTCCTTGTTTTAGATTTTCCGTTGCGTAATATTTTTCTTCCTGTAAACGAAAGCGACTCTTTGGTACCTTTATTGGGATAACTAAATTTTTTAACCCCTTAGCTTTTTTTATCTGGTGGATATAATATAACCCTCCTTCTTTTGAAATACGTATTTTTCAGAATGTGATAAATTTTTATTTCAGAATGCTTGGCGCAAATCAATATGAGCCGACTTCGACGAGTCGGTTACCTTCTGGGATGTCTATCGCTGCAGAATTCGATCAGCTCAAGGTTCTAAATTTTAAATCGTCATCTTTGTCTTATTTGAACTTGTTTCAGATGGACTATTCAGCCGCGATCGAAAAGCTCAACCAAACGATGAACAGCATCAAAACTTTCTGGAGTCCAGAACTAAAGGTTTTTTTATAATAAATTGAGGACACCACTTTTTTTGTGTTTTAAGAGAATCATATTAAAAACAAAACAAATTTCCACATTTGTTAATAACTTGAACCATTTTAAAAACTTCATTTTTCTTTTCAATGAATTATAATATTTCATCTGATAGTTTAAGATTTTTTAGGTTGGTGATTTCTTTAGGTGTTTTGCTGTCATTTAAGAGAGCAAGATGATTGTTTATGAAATGTTTTAAAAGTTCAGTTAGTGAGACAATTGCGGTTTCGTGTTTCTCCTCGGAGATATAAGTATTCTTGGTTTGTTTTTTCTGTTGCGTAGAAACTTTCTATGTATTGATCACTTGATAGGCTTGTTCTATGAGTACTATTCATATGTGGCTGCTCGATTTTGTGAGCCAGTTTATTGAAATTTGTTTCAATTCCTGTTGGAAAGCTTCTTGAATTAATTCAAAGTTTTTTCACTATTTTCTAGATAATTTTCTGAAAAATCTTTCAATTTTCATAGAAGGTTATGACTTTTGTTTCCAGAGAGAGCGACAGATGAGAAGAGAAGAAGCTTCACGGATAGCGCAGCTCGAAAGGATGCTCACGACTGGCGGCGGCGGCGGCTCTTCTGCCGATATAGGTTCGCCGTTCATGTAGTTTGGATCAATTAGCTTATAATTGAAGAGAGAAAAACTGAATAAGGTTTTTGAAAAGTTGAAAAAAATGTTTAGATTTATGAGCTAGAAATTGGGGTTTCCTTTCTCTGAAAAGAAAGGAAAATAATCTTTTTGAGAATAAAAAAATCTGGAAACGTTGAGAAGATAGAAAAGTTTTATAGAGTCATCATGTGGAGGTATGAACTTTGTTTTCTATGAATGACACCAAAACCTAAAATCTCGCGATTCCGCCATTTTTAAGCAAAAAAACCCAAGGCTTGTATGCAGCTGTTTGGAATTGAAAAAAAGTTTATAAAAAAATAGTTTTTTTATCAAAAATATCCACGGAAGATAAACAAAGTATAGAAATAATCTATTGAGTCTTAGCAGTTTCACAAATTCCTATATCAAACTTCATAGGTTATAATTTGAATCAAACTTCGAAAATTAAGCTTTCTTAAAATGAAGCCTCTTTTGAAAAAAAAAACATACATTGAAACACGTAGCTCCTTCTTTTTCTCTTCAGCGCAACTGCGATTGGAGTTGGCGGCGCGGGACGAGCGTATCCGGCAGTTGACGTCGACGTTAGACGACGCCAGGAGTGGAAACCCGTCGGCCGCCTTCTCGGACTCGCGAATCCGTGAGCTGGAGGAGACCATCAGAAGACTGCAGAACATCCTCGCCAACAAGGAGCTCATGGGCTCCAATCCTAACGTTCCTTTCATTTTCGGAACATTTTTTTTATTCTTTTTTTTTAGGATCCCAACAGCCGATATGCCATCGAAAACGCACTGCGCAGAGTTGATGAAAAGGTTCGCGAAATGTCTCTTGAAGTGCCATTTCTGTTTCATTCCAGCAGTCGAGGATAGTCGAGCTCGAAGATGAACTGATGCGCGTGAGACTCGCGAGAAGCAACCAGCCCCGGGATTTCACGGACAAGAACCTTTCCGGACACGAAATGGTAACTTTTTTGTTGATTTTCATAAGTTTTGGAAAGATTTTCCAACGATTTTTCTCCTCAACTTGCTCAAATTATATTTCATTTCGCTCTACAGTTTTCCATGTCATGTTCAGGTTTTTTATTTAGAAGCTAGTAGTGGAATGGTTAAGACCTTGAAGCCTTAAAAACCTTTTTTCCTGTAACTTTTTTTCATCTGATAACAGCAACAAGAAATAAAGTTTTTGGTCGGTCTAAAGAAAAATTTTATGTTTTTGATGTTCACAACGATTATTTTTTTTGAGGAGAGCTTTCAGAATGGCCTATTTAGATACATAGTACTAGTAGAATTTGATAAAATAAGGATTTTGCTTATACATGACGATTTCAATCTTAGGTGACGATGAGAATGAAGCTGGAAAGGAGCGAAGTGGAGCTGGCGGAGCGGAAAGCCGAGCTGTCGGCTTGCCAGACGCGGATGCACACGGCGGAAGAAGGCACGGCGGATATGCGAGCCCATCTTCAGCTCCTCAAGGACCAGCTCACCAACCGCGAGCAACACAACACTCTTCTGCAGGGCGACGTGGGTTCTTTTCTCTTAGTGTACATTAAAATATAAAATCTTCGTTTTAGTCAAAGGTGTAACCGACTCACCTGTTCACGAGAATTTTTGAAGTCATATCAAAAAACCGTTTATGGTGAGCTTGAAGTCGAAACCTGTAGTTGATGAAGGTGAAAGCATGGTCTTCCGGAACTTCGCCTTGTTCTTTTGTGCGTGGAATACACCAGGTTTTGACACTGAAGCCCTGAAACCGTGAACTAGATGAAAGTCTCAAAATGAGAGCGACCCCAGAAGAGTAAAGTCTTTAAACGTACATCTTCTCCAGGTCCCTTCAAGAAGACGTTCAGGTTGACGCTCTCAGACTGAAGTTGGACAGTAAGAATAAGCAACTCGAGCAGAAGGAAGAGAGGATCCTTGCGTTGGAAAAAGAAGTCGCTTCACTTCGAGCCGACATCTCCGACAAGACTGAAGCCGTTAGTTAAACTGGACTTCTATAAATACAAGACAATATTTAAAGGCTCGCCAGTCGGAAAATAGAATCTCGCAAATGATGGGTCGGATCGATGGATTGGAGACTAACTTGAGAGAGAAAGAGCAAGAACTTGATAAGGCCAAAGTGAATAATAATCCTCAAACATTTTCAAAAGGAAGAGTTCAGATAAAACTACTCAGCCATCCAGACATCATCAAGGAGAAGGAGTTGACTGAACGAATTGAGCAAGGTGCGACTTTTGTTCATTTCATGCGTGATCAGGAAATTTAAGGCGAACGGGAACGAGTCCGGCTTCAAGAACATATCGATCAATTGAGACGAAACGCCGAGAAGGAAAGATTGGAGCAGCAGCAGACCTATCAGAACGAGGTTTTTGGATTTTTCGAATTCATGAATATAATTAGCATTACTGTTTCTGAATTTTTTTAATTTTTTTACGGAATAGTATTTATTTCAATTGCGCCAAAAAAAAGATTCAACTTGCATGTTTTGTTTCTGCCAGGAAAAAAACAAAAAAATGGGAAATTTACTTTTTTTTTTCAAGTTTCAAACTGATTTACAGATCTCAGTCTAGAAATGAGCGAAAATTTTTTGAGAAGAAAAATACCTATTAATTTGCACCTTTTTCGCATTTTTATTAATTTTGAACTTTTTCATTACTCTCAGTCAGGAACACACCATAAAACCTCACATGAAATGACAAAATTAGAGTGTCACATTGTATCGAAATTCTTTAAACGCTTCTGCGACGTTTTCGGCAACTCTATGTGCGGAAACGGAGTCACAAGTCGAACTGAAAGAAATGAAAATTATCTTATTCCAAAAAGAAAAAATATTTCAGTTACGCCAACTTCGAGCCAACAACGAAAATCTTCAAAAAGAACTGTCTGATCGAGATGTCCTGTTGGAGTCGCAAAATGAAAAGGTCCGACTTTTTTTTTTCTTATTTCGAACCGATGGCTCGGAAAAACTCTCAATCGAAAACTCATAATACTAAACATTTCAAAAATTCCCCGAAAACTTCCATGAATATATGCGTTTTCAGATAGGCGATATGGGCAGAGATGTCAACGCGGCCAAGATGAAGCTGGAAGAAGCCATGGTGGACAAAGGCGCCGACGAATTGAGACGAGAGGTCGTGCTCGTCGATGAAATCGTCCTGAAACTCTAAGTTGCAGGTGGAAGGAGCACGAGGCGAGGTGGAGAAGCTGCTCAAAATGGTCAAGCAGCTCGAGAAGGAGAACGCGGCGCTGAGCAGCCAGTGCAAACAACTCGCTGGGGCCGCCGCCGAGAAACGCGACGTCGACGGGAATACTCTGGACCGAAACGCGAAGATGACCGCCGGCGGTGGACAGCACGTTTCTCAGGCCAACCTGAGGAAAAGGTAAGGAAAAAAAAAAGGAAATTCAGTAAATACGTCTTGGAAAAAGTAAATCGGGGGAATCTCTTGAAAAGCTGGAAATTGGGTGAAAGAAAAGGCTTTAGAGCTTATATAGCAAGACAAATTCTGATTTTTCTGATGTTTTTGCAGAATCGAAGAGTTGGAAGAAGCGCTCCAAGAATCAGTCACCATAACAGCCGAGCGAGAAATACATTTAGCACAGCAAAAACAACACTTCCAACAAGTTAATCAACAGGTTTCCCTTGAAGACATTCAGAACACAAAAGGAAGATTTGCAGTTGTCCGAGGCCAGACGCGAAATCGTGGAGTTGCGGCAACGAAACTCTACCGTTTCTACAGGAGACGTCGCCGAACGGGAGCAAATGATGAGAGCCATCGAAGCGGAACGACGGCAACACTTGGAACAACTCCTTCAGCTCAAGTATAGCACCAGAATTGGAAAGAAATACTTTGACTTTCCATTTTGAAGGCAAGAGGCTTTGCTAGCAGCGATCGGCGAGAAAGACGCCCATCTGGCGCTTCTGGAGAAGGCCCGCGGTCCGAGGGACGAAATCGAGACGATCCGCCGTCACAAGGACGCCTTGATGCGAAAGTTGAAGCAGGAGAATGAGAGGTAGGTATATGAGGGAAGAAAGGAAAAAAGGAAAATCAAGAAAAAAATTACCGATTTTCGAAAAATTGAAGAAACTATTCCAAAATTACTTTTTCGAGGTTCGCAGAAATGGTACTATGAAATTGGAAATGCCATAGTAGATTTGAAAACAAAATAGGTATACACATCCTTATGATGAATAAGAGCCTTAAGGAGTCTTCGATTAGATTTTTGCAAAGCTTCTTCGAATATTTTTCTCGTATGAGGGCTTTTTTTGAAGTTCAGTAAGCCCCATAGTATAAAGTTGGCTTTTTTTATTCGTTATAAAGAGTTTTTTGGCCTCCATTTTAGCCTACATTTTTAAAACAACTTTGAAGTGTTCGAAGTTTCAGACGAGCCCTAGTAGTACGACCCGAAAGTGCTGCTTCAATGGTTCAACCTGGTGCCAGCGTGATTCCTGGAGCCCCGCTGCCTCTTCTTCCGCCCTCGGGAATCCTTCCGCCGCAGAATGTTCCTGACGTCGACGAGAACGACGGCATCTGGGCCTGATAGAATTTTAATATTTTAGGTCATCGAAATTATTGTTGTTCCCTATATATCCTTTCAAATTTTGAACTGAATACTGCCGATTTTTTCTCACTTCTTTATACATTTTCACTGCTCTTTTCCATGTCATTATTCTCAGTGTTAGTCATTTCTCTCTTTTCTCGATCTCGTAATGATCAGGTTGTGATTTTCTATTTTCAAAATAATTATTCCAGCATTTTTTCACTTATTCCACGAAATCGTCCTCGAACTATCCTCAGCTCACAATTATTGTGCCTCTGAGGTATTTTCAATCAAAACCTGACAAATAATTTGAATTTTTTTTTCATCATACTGAGCCGGTTATTTTCATAAATGCATTTTCATACTGAACAAAGTCTTTCGATCTTTTTCACTGTAATATTTCGACGTTTTCCTTGTCATCTCGGTGCTTCGTTGTATTATTTTTCAATTTTTATTTCATGTAATATTATTTCTATAAATAAATTTTTTTAACATAAGAAATTTTTTTCACAGTCTGCATTGTTTAACGATTTAGAAAATAAACATTTTCCTGAACTAGAAATTATTGACTTTTCAATAACTGCGAGAAGTTTAACAAGTCTTTCGAGCTTATATAACAATCAATCCGTTAGATTTTAGCTTTTAAAATACTTCTCAACTCAGAAATGGAACACTCAATCAAAGAAACAAGCTTCAGAAAAAGCTAGCTGAAAAATTCGATTTTTCTGCATGGTATTGGCCGCCCGCGTGGTTGCGTCCCCGACGTCGAATCTCACGACAAATATACACGTGTTGAAAATTAAATTTAGAAACAATTCTTTTTTTATTTTTTTCTGAATTGATAATTTACGATTTTGGTTCATCGTTTCTTGATAATTTAGCCGAAAGTGTCAGTATACCAATTTAAATTTTACTTGATTAAAAACTTTGCAGACAGAGATGATAGAGCTATTTTCGATTTTCAGTAAAGGCGGCATCGTGCTATGGAGTTATCAGGTAAACACACTAGTCAAGCTAGACTTGACTATTTTGTTTTAGGAAGGAACACAAATTTTCAAGGACACTATCAACAACTTCATCAAAGATGTCCTCATGCAGGTTCGTGTATAATATTTTTGTTTTTAATCGCTTGTTTTAATTATAAATTTTCAATAATTAATTTAGGAGAGAGGCAACACCATGCAGTTCAAAGACCAGAATTATACGATGAAGTTTCATTTGGATAACGAACTGGATGTAGTTTTCTTGGTATGATTTTTTTAATAAGGAATTTTATGATTCTTGAAAATTCAGGTTGTTTATCAATCCATTGTACAGCTTTCCTACACAGAAAGGCTTATGTCTTCCGTACGAGAAAGGTTCCGAAAGGCTTTCTACACAGAACTCCAAGATAAAGCTGTGAGTAGTCTTTTTTGTTGGAATGCAAGTTTTTTTGAAGGCTTTATACAACAACCCATATGAATTGTTCGAGTCTTTTGATGAAACTTTCCAAGAGTAGGTTTTCTTCGTTTCAAAATAGTGAAAACGAGGCTTCAGGTTGATGATAGATGCGGCGAAAACTGCTAAAGCGGCTGAAGCTGTCGTCAAAAAGCCAAAGACTTTCCAGGTTGGTTTTCTGCTCAACTTAAGTTTTCTGAATATCTCATATTTGAGTAAAAAGAAAAAAACTTATCGTTAAAAAAACTAATTCGGGGTTCTTTCTTTCAAAGTGAGAGTAAGTTTTAGTTTTATCAAAAAGGGGTTATTGTAAGAGACGCTAAATAACCTCTTTTTAAAAAAAGAAAGCTCGAAATTAATATTTAAATATATCAGTTTTTCACAGTTTTTTTACAAACAATATTTTTTTCGATCTTTCCATTTTTTTGAAGTTTTAGTCTTACATGGGGAAAAAAAGCAAAATAGATCAGATCCTATTCATTTTTATAGGCGAAAAATTAATGTTTTCTAAAATGCATATATTTTACTTTTTTACTCCATGCTTTTTGGCAATAATTCAAGACGTTTTGCCCTGCAGGAGGAAACTTTTGTCACAAATTTATTACTGCTTATTTCAAACTAAATATTTTTTTCTAAATTGCCAATTCATTTCGTTTCAAGGAGAGCGCCAAGTCGCAAAAAAACGATCGACTCTTTGATTGTCAGTCGTCCAGGTCAGGCAAAAAAACAGAAAAAAAGGAGGCCAAAAAAACGTCTCCAGCGACAGCTGCATCGAAGAAAAATGTTTTTTTATTTTTCAAGTTGAATATAGTTAATTATATTTATTTCAGAGACAATGCCGCTCTATCGGACGGCTATGCTTCGTCTTCTCCACCGGAGTCTCCTCCCCAAGGCGGCGACGACGAGGTCCGCAAACGACGGGAGGAATTCTTCAGCAAAAAGAACGCTACCAAGGCTCCAAAGTTGGCCTTTGAATCATTGCCGGTATCATAATAGCACATTTTCAAGGTCTCCGGAAGATACGAAAAAAAAGAACACGAAGCAGGCTCGTGTTTGGAATCTCAGCGGAAAGGCAAAAGACGCCGTTGTTCTCGACCGCTCCGATCCTAAAGATGTGGGATTTTCTGAACTTTTCAAAACTTTATGATTTTTTAAAGACCCAAGCCGATGGGACGGATCCAACGGAAGAAGATTCGAGGTTCGTCGAATCGATGAAAAGTCAGGTCGGGCAGCACAAGGGCGAACTCCGCTCTTTTGCCGATTCTGACACCGAAAGCGACGCAGACGACGATGTCGCCGAGGAGGAGTGAGTTTTTTTTTTTTGTGTTTTTGGCTTTTAAAGAACTTGAAAGGCGCAGATTTCTCGCAATGTAATAATCAGTTCAAACTATTGCCAAAGCGATTTTAAATCTTCTTAGGTGCTTTTTTCAGCCTTTCGTTTTCGAATTTTTCCAGAAACTGAGATTTTTTTGCGTTAGAATATGCTCAGAAATCTTTTTTCAGGTGTTTGAAGGCGTAAACTTATTTATTGAAATTTCCAAGGGAAATAACTGATTTACGCATTATTGATTCACGTATTTTGAGTTCAGGAATAATTTTTTTCAAACTACGGTTTTTTTGAACATGCTTTAACCCTTTTTATGTGTTTAGAAGGGTTCCCTTCATTAAGATTTCTTTTTAGATTTACTTGAAAAAAAATATGATTTATAGTGTCGTGAAAACGTCGAAAGTCGGATGGTTCGGGATGCTGAAAGGCCTCGTCGGCGACCGGAAGCTCTCGCAGGACGATTTACAGCCGGTCATTGAAAAAATGCGCGATAACCTTATCAGTAAGCTTTTTCAAGTTCATTTTGATACTATTGCTTCGTGATCTTCCTTGGGTTAGCAAACACAGTGTATCTTGATTCAGGATGAAATAGAATAATTTTTACTACTATGTACAACGACTTTATGTTATTCAGAAGAAAAAAAAGCACTGGATATTCTTTAATTTTTATAAATCTATCTTTTTTTAGTGAAAAATGTGGCGGCTGAACCCGCGGAGAAGATTTGCCAGTCGGTCGTGAGCAAACTCGACGGAAAGGTCATCAACAACTTTTCGCGTGTCGCCAATGAAGTCAAGACGGCGGTCCGAGAGGCTCTTGTCCAGGTTGGCGCCATTTTTCCAGGGTTCTCAAAGCTTCTCCTTCAGCTTCTGACTCCAAAACACCGTGTGGACATCCTCCGCGATGTCGTCGAGGCGAAAAGGGACGGCCGACCCTACGTCATCGTCTTCTGCGGCGTCAACGGCGTCGGCAAAAGCACCAATTTGGCCAAGGTTTCCAGCTGCTTTCTGAACGTTTTCCATTTCTTTTTAAGATCACGTTTTGGTTGAATGAAAACGGCCACCGGGTTCTGATCGCCGCTGGAGACACTTTCCGTGCTGGCGCCGTTGAGCAACTCCGGACCCACACGAGGCATCTGAACGCCCTTCATCCGAATTCCGTCCAGGCAAGTCGTGTTTTTTTGAGTACGTCGCATTTTGAGGTATAACGAAATAAACACAGAAATTGCAAAAAAAAAACTTTTATCTGAGGAGAAGTTTCGATGCCGCTATGTAGACCAAGTCAAAAAATTTTTTTTCAGCTTTACGAACAAGGATACGGTAAGGACTCGGCGGGTCTCGCCGCGGCAGCCATCAAAATCGCCTCGGAACGGGCGATCGACGTCGTCCTCGTTGACACCGCCGGTCGGATGCAGGACAACGAGCCCCTGATGCGAGAACTTGCCAAGGTTTTTCCTTTCCAGGACCTTCTCATCCCTTCTTTTTCAGCTCATCCGTGTCAATGAGCCCGACTTGGTACTTTTCGTCGGAGAGGCGCTCGTTGGAAACGAAGCTGTCGATCAGTTGGTGAAGTTCAACGAGGTTTGTCTTTTATATTTGAAGATTTTATTTTCAGCAAAATTTATAAATTAGTGATTATAATGACTTTGTTATTTTGCTTTGAATATGAGTAATATATAGTTTAAAAAAAGTTAAGACGATAGCAGAAAAAAATGAAAAGTTTTTTTATCAGTCAAAGATTCACTATGAAAACTCACCAAAAGTTCTTTACAGTGAAAAAAACTTTTTCATACTTTCAGAGAGTCTTAAAACTAGAATTTTTTTCAAAGTATGTTTGAAAAAAATTCAGTTCGAAAGTGTTCACTAATCTAAAACTTAATATGAGTTTTCCTTGATTTTTTTAGAGCTCGGTTCGTTGAATTTTTCAGCTTCAAAAAAATATGTAAAAAGACGTTTCATCGATTTTTAGTTTAATTATGGCATCTGTGGCAGAATATTATCAGTTTACCAAGGTTTTTGTGTAATATCAACATTGTCGAATTATTCAAAAAGATTTTTCAATAAGAAAGGTTTCTGCAGGCTTTGGCCAACCACGCCGCAACCGGCCAGAAGGCTCGCCTCATTGACGGAATCGTTCTGACAAAGTTCGACACCATCGATGACAAGGTATTCCTTTTTAAATTCCAATCATTGCCCTTCTTGTTAATCATAATTGCTTTCTCGTGCTCATCAATAAACAAAATACCTCAGGTCGGAGCCGCGGTTTCGATGACCTACATCACTGGACAGCCGATCGTTTTCGTCGGCTGCGGCCAAACTTATGCCGACCTGCGGAATCTCAACGTCGGCGCTGTTGTTCATTCTTTGTTATCCTGAGTTTTTCCTTTTTTTCGCATTTTCAATACTGTAGATTCGACTAGTCTCATAGACATTTATGCATACATATCTTATTTTCGTGTTCAAAAAACTGACAATAATAATCTCTCCAAAAAGTCAATCGAGTCAAAGTATTATCTTTTCCTGATACGATTCAATCTTTTAACTTCCGGTTAATTATTTTTTTCTAAGCTCTTTCGCCATCTTTCCTTTCTATACAAAATACTTTTTTTTCGTCAATCTTTGTGGGGTACTTCGCTTAATTTTCCTGTTACTATACTTCATTTAGTTTTAGTTGCTTGGCATTGGGAGTCGTGGAATTCTTTATTGTTTGTAAATAATCTTCAGTTTTTTTTTTGCAGATTGAATTTTTTCCTGTGTTTATTGAGAAAGAGAGGTGGCATCAGAAAAAAAATAACTCAGCTTTGAAATAACCTGAAAAGATGTCTGGGTATTTACAAAAGGCCAATTAAACATTTTTATGTGCGTCCCATCGAAAAAGCTTGTAAACTTCTTAAGTTTGGCTCTGAAAACTGGACTTTTGGAAATTCATCATTTTTGAAAAAAATTTTCCTGGAGCGTGTTTTCAAATTCCTAATTGGCTCTTTCGATCACGGAAAGTCAATTTTTTTAAAGCTTTTTAGCGCTAATAAACAACTGATAACAGAAATGAGCGTGAAATATGAATGACATTTGTTGTTCGGGTGGAAAGATAACAGAAAGAGCTGTGAAGCATCAGATTGAAGAAGTTGGCAGGGGGTTTTTAATGACAAAAATGAAGATTCGAAGAGAAATCGAGAATACGGTAATGAAGTTGTTTTCCTTTCTTTACTGAATATTTGTGTTGCTCCGTGTCGAAGGCGCTATGACAACGTTTTGAGGACGTAGCAATTTCTTCTCTATGCCGAAAAATTCTTGAATTCCCGCTCGTAGTTTCCTTAAGTTGTTCAAAGGTAAAACACTCTTAAATTCCAAAATAAAATATCACGGAAAACTTGTTTTCCCTAGAGATGAAATTTGATTCCACCTGTTCATAAGGAAATACGGCATTAGTGTGAGGAAGTTGCTGCTGAAGTTGATATGATTCATTATAATTAGAGTTAATTTTCCGATCTCTGGGGAATAAATATAATTCACGATTATGTAGTATATGATGCTTATAGTCGTCATCAAAAGGACCTATCAAGATTTCATTGGAAGTAGTAAGAAAGAGTCAAACCTGGTAAAGCATTCGGAGCTCTTTGTCTTTCTTCCAGGATATATTCTTGCGCACCGTGAGAATTAGGAAAATTAACAAATAAATCGCCGCCTGAAGATAAGTTGTGATGTCGTTGGTGACGTTCATGTAACTTAAATGCGGTCATTTTTCCATATTTCATGATTTTTCGAACTACCTGATGTATGTTTTCGAGAAAGGTAACTGTTTGATTGAGGCGTAGCTGAGGACCCCAGGAACGAATCGATTTCCGACCCAAGGCGTCAAAGACAAAGACATTTGAAAAAAGAACAACAAGACCAGAAAAGCCAGTACAATCTGGAACTTTTATCAGTAGATATGGTACTTTATGTTTCCTAACTTTGGAAACAACTGTGCAGTAGTCTTTGCGACTCAGGGAAGGCAAGGCGGTGTAGCAGAATTGCTGGCCGAGCAGGAACAGGAAGAAGATGACGTTGGTCGTGTCGCTGGCGAACTGGAAAGCGCCGAAAATCTGAACTCATTCGATAAATGATTGGAAGTAGATCAACAAACCGACCCTCCAAAGTATCTGCACCTCCCAGGGAGCTCTGATCAGAGCACAGAGAAGGGCCAAGATCCAAACTACAGACGCTTGCAGACTGCTCAATGCCGAAAGCCCTAATATTACGTAGGCAAAGTTGGACTTCCAGCCCCACAATTTGCGGATACCCTAAAAAGTATATCCAATTTCGAATAAATGCAAAGAGAGCCTTAAGAACGACTTTTGCGGACGAAGGATATAATTTTAAAAGTTATAATCAAAGACTCACAATTAGAAACAAGGAGTCAGATGTGATGATGAGCAGGTTGATGAAAATATATTCCAAAATTAGAGCTATTCGGAGCGGCTCCTCGTAGAACTCGGGCGTCGGATTCGCTGTCACGTTCCCCATCTGCTCAAAAATCATTTTTGACTATTGATAGATGAAATTATATTTGATTCGAAAGTCATCGCTTGAATCTTTAAAGGCATTTTAATGAATTTATTGAGGCGAACAACTGTTTTTTTGTGTAAACATGTAATACTCCTCTTTCTGTAAGAACCTCAGTTATGGTTTTAAACCAGACTGAACTCCAATCAAGACCGTTTTTGAACCAGCAGAAAAGCACTGATCGTTTAAAAAAATGTTTTTCTTCGGAATTTTTTTGAAACTGGGAAAGGGTTGGCGATAAAATTTGAAGTACAAATTGGTTGACTTTCAAAAAAATTAAAAAAAAAAACCGAATGAAGTTCCTTGTTTGGGACAGATATATAAAAATGAGAGCAAGTGGAGAAAATGGGCGGTTCTGATATTTCCTATCCGTGTAATTATAGTTCTTTATATCAAAAGAGCAAAGTTTCAGAACCAATTTCAGGTGTCTTATTATTTCTCCTTATACGTAATAGAACTGAGAAAAGCTCTAGAGTAAAGAATTTAGGAAACTCAAGCTTCCAAAATTTTCAAGACAATATCAGCTAGACCAGGGTCACCGATTTTGAAAGAACTTTAGCGAAAAAAACACAGAGAAATATTTTTCTGATTCCAATTGTCTACGCCTTAATCAGATTTATGAAGACTCAGATTTTCTCGCTAGGTTGTCACCATTTTCCCGGAAAAACAAAGTAGACATGACTTATACCAGGGTGGAAATCTTTTTTTTCAGAATCCACCTGTTTGAAAACTTCCTTGCAAAAAATTAATGATGTAGGTTGATTCAGTCAAGCTTTATATCAAAGCTTGGCTGAAAACTGAACGAAAATGGAAAAAGGTGGTAAATCATGAAGGAGCAAGGAGCATGTCAGAAGCCAATTTCGTGTCCAAGTCGAACAACGAAAGTTATGATCTCAAAATAGAAGTAAAAAGACAAAAAAATACACTTTTTTACTTGTGTTCTCCGTATAAATAACAACTAGAAGGTGCGAAAACGAACTCCAACAAAAATGTGGAGATTAAGGGAAAAAAAGCGTAAATGAGCTGTTTTATGAATACATAACTGCGGCTAGAACGACTTCCCCGAAACGGAATGAAAAAAAAAACTAGATCTGAGGGCATTCCTGGAAAATATTTTTGAAAAAAAAAGAGGACGAAGTTTTCTTTCGCCGAAGTTTCAGCTGCTGTTTCTCGGTTGACTCGACTTCTGCCTTTAGTAAAACAATATTCAATCAATCATCAAATTAGTTTTCGGACTTTTGCTTGTGAAAGCAACGATTTTCTATGATCTGATGAGTCGATTCTCTCCGTTTCTGCTCATTAGAACATAGCAAATTTTAAAAAAAAGGTCTGCAATAGATATGCTCAATTCCATTCTTTTTTCCATTTCTTTAAAGTCGAATTCTCTACAAATATAACTCATATTTTTCGGATGTGCTACATTCTTCTGATACTGGTAAGAGGTACCAGTGAAAATTTTCACGATGGAGGTGCGATTTTTCCTCCTAGAATGGGTAAAATTCGACAAGAGCCCTCCATGGGAGGCTCAGCACCTGCGCCCCAATGATAACGCGCGAAATCCAAGGATTCGAAATTAAGGAAATTAATAAATTAGTTTTAATTTAAAAATTAGTATTTACCTTTCGAAAAAGCTTTATCAGTCCTGGTTTAATTATTATGGTCTTCTCCGTGTTTCTTCTCCAATTTGAGCCTGTTTCGAGGAGTTTTTAATTTAATTTGTTGTAGTTTTTTTTTTTTCTAATTTAATTTGTTATAGTATTTTTTTTCGTGTTTTGGTCTAACTTGCTCATAGAAAGAGGTACTGATTGAATTGCTTTGTTAAATACCGTGTTTTTCGTGCGCCCGCAAATTATATATAACTTGACCTTCTCGCTTTTCTTTTGCTTTTTTTTCTGTCCCCGCGGAAGATACCGCATGTTCAACAACTTCCATTCAAATTTCACGCACCATCACTTTCAATAATGAGAATCTTTTGTAAAAAGCGACTTCCATGACCTTTGCTAGTCAACTTCTCAAGATAGATTACGATTTACATTCGAATGAGCTATGAAGAATAGAACAGAGGTCTGCGGATTATTGGCGTTTTTGTTTCATTCAACACATCTGTTTTTGCTGTCGGTTTATGTTGCAAAAGAATATTTTTCGCCATCATTTTCTGCGAATTCGTAATTTATTTTCTTTTTGACGTCCTTGGCTCAAAAGTTTGATTCTCGTTGGAAAAAATGCCGTTTTTCAATATTTTCCCAAAGAAGTGATCAAAACGATTTTTGTCCACTTATGTATTTGAAAAATTTACTTTTTTAGATTTGAGATAATATCATAAAGTTTAAGTTTTTTTTAACTCGTTCTAACTCCTTTTTTAATCTGATTATTTCTTGTCGTGCCGTTAAAATTATTGTAGTTAAATTTAAAAAAAAAATGACTAAACTTGACTTTGATGTAGTTTCATTTTCTTTCATGTACCGTCTTGGAGAGCATGTTTTTGGTGGGACACCTCCCAACGGAGTCATCTCGCCAAAACGTGCATTTATTTGGGTGGTGCGACGGTCAGTGTGCCATTCATAATGACGCCGAGCAGGGACGGTTGCGTCGTCACGATTCCTTTTGTCTGATGTGACCGCCCATTTTCGGAGGCTGGTGCCATGGTCGGTCTCCGATTCGAGGCTCTTAATTGAGGCTCAATGTAGGATGTCCTACTCTTTTGTTTCCTCCCATTCTTTGTCTTTTTTCGGCTGTCACCTGTCCGTTGTTTATGAATTCGTTTTTCACCCAGCTACTTATGGAAAGAGTACTTGGACTGTTAGGGTTTATATTTACGTATATTTAAGGAATATTGAGAAAGTTTACCACTGAACTTCTCTTCATAATAAACATGAAAGCTCGCTTCAGCGGTAATTTGGTTTTCTCATTCTTCCTATCCAGATAATTTACATCTCTTGCTTTGAAAGTTATTTTAGTCTTCTGCACGCTTTCCAATTTTGGGATCGAGCTGTAAACTTTCGTTTTTTCCTTTCTTGCGTAATCCAGAAAGGTGTCATAAAGTTCGTGAAAGCAGCGGTTGTATAGTTCTTTGGTGGCGTTAGGCGGCCCATATTCTTTCTTGTTTTTCATGTATCTTGGAGCATTTCCCGCTGTTTTTTTTTCCAAAATGAAAATTTCCTTTTTTGAAGTAACACGAAAATTTTTATTTTTCTAAAATATCCTTTTTTATCTTTCGATTTTTTGAAGCTCGTATCTTCTGCCTCCTTCTTTTCTGTTGCCGGTAATGCAAAATCATTGCCTGTAGGAAAATAAACATGAAAAGCACACATCAGAATTCAATCATTTTCTGTCTTTTCACTAACATATTCGATTTTCAACATGCTCGAATATTTTCCAAAGTTTGAAGTTCAAAACGGAAAGAAAACAGGAAACTGAGCAATCAGCAGCAAGATCGGAAGGCGTCCGAATGTCGATGCGCGATGAACGCCGACGGTTACTCGACGTCAACCTCCTGACGTTAACGGCGGAGCTCGAAGTCGACGACGTCCTTTTGCATCTTCGCGCCCGCCGCGTCTTCACCGAAGACATCGCCGACAGGATTCAAGTCTCCCACTTTTCTCTCCTTCTTCCACACTATTTCCCTCTTTCAGTCTCAACGCACGGCTCGTGACCGACGGATTCAACTCGTTAGATTGTTAAAAACCAGAGGAGACTCAGCGTCAGTCAAAAATTATCATTTTTCTCTTTAGTCGAGTTAATTTTCAGGTTTGAGGTATTTTACGAAGCTCTCGTCCTGACGGAGCAAATGCGGTTAGCCAGTTTACTCGAGCCGATGGTCGACCGAGAAGCCGTTTCCAAAATGTCCGTTTTCGACCTTACTACTCATAAATAATTCGGCGCCCGTCGCGTCATGAACCTTTGTTCTTTGCCATTCACCTGCTATTTAATTGCGCGAAATGCTTCGTTTCCGAATTGGATTGCGCAGTGGCGGGTTTCAAGAAACAACTCGCGTATGTGTACTAAAGAATAAAGGACTACTTAAAAATAATTGCCCGGGATAGACGCTGAATGGACTTTTTTAGACGTTTTCGAAGTAATACAATTCTGAGATTTTTCACCATCATTTTTCAAGAAAAAAATTTTGATACTGTAAAAAAAATCTCGAAGAAGCGAAGAGAAAATTCAAAAAAAGTTTTTTTGAAAGAATCGTCGTTTTCGTGACTTCGAAGTCGTACTAGGCTATTGAGTTTTTTTGAAATCCTGTCATTTTTTTGAGAAGTTTTTCGAATTACAAAAGTTTGAATTTTTTTAGAACTAGTCCTTCGGTAAAAAAAAAAAAAAAACTTGAAGAGAAGAAAAAAAGGGGAAAACAATACGATTCAAATTGAAAGGAAAAAAAAATTGCAATGATAAAAATTTAAGCGAGGAAAATGATTTTCTGACGTTTAAAAAGTTTTCAATATTTTCCAGAAGAGGCGCTGCTCCTTCAATGGAGTTTGAGCAAGGAAACTGTCTGTATTCCCCAATCCGTACCCGTTCTCGATCCCGGGGTAGACCCGTCAGAACCCTCGGAGTTTCTGATCGTTTCAACCAGAATTATTGCATGGAAACGTCTTTACCCGGAGGTTCTCATCACTACTTCGAGCAAAAATATTAATTCCGTCATTTCAGAAGAAAATCTGATGAACGGAATGTTGCCTTGGGGAACAGAACCTCAAATTCTCACCGATCTAGGCGTAGAATATTGCGATGCTCCTTTTATAGAGCGAATTTTTGATCCGAAAAAGGTTTTGAAACGATTTTCGAAAGTATTAGGAGAATTTGGATTTTGAGATGTACCCGAACTTCGCGAAACCACGAGGTCTTTGCTTGGTTGTCAACAATGAGAGATTCGATACGATGCCCCATAGACAAGGTAAAAGAAAGCTATAAAGTTCAGTTCTAATGTCTTACAGGTACAAACGTGGACAAGCAGAATATATCGACGCTTTTCAAGACGATGGGATATGATATTATTGAAAAGAATAATGTTACAGTAAAGGTTTTTCAAAACTCTTGAAGTGTGGGGTTAGAAAAATCATTTGTTTTTAGGAGCTGACTCATTTGGTCCGAGCTTTTGGACAAGATTCCCGCCATAAACACGCTCAGTCTGCGGTTGTCGTTATATTGTCACACGGAGAGCATGAACAAATTATAGGTTCCTATTTATTTCAAGAGAATATTATAAAAAAAAGAAGGAAAGCATTAAAAAAATCGAGTATTTTCTTGATTTTTCTGGAGCAAATTTTCATTTCGAATCATGAACAGGGTTATTTTGATTTCACTCAACCGATGACCTGTTGAAAAATAAGTTATTTAAAAAAAACCCCAAAAGAAGATAATATTAGTTAAATTTCTCAAATTAAAAAAAATTCCAAAACCTCCAATTGGCTGCTGCCCCACAAAGATTCAAAATTCAATATTAAAAAAACTGATTTTTTTACCGGTGGATAATGATAAAAAAATAGAATCTTAATTTTTCCCCATAATTCAAATTGTAAATGGGAGCGATAACTAGGGGAGAGAATCCTTCTGAATATTCCATTTTTTTAATAAGCATTTTTTTATTTGTATGTTTTCTAGTTCTCGGAACTATAGAATTAGCAAAGAATCATTGAAAAATTCACCTAAAATGTAAGAAACAAGCTTGGATTTGTTTGAGGGGTGGACGACAACGCCGTGTCGACCCACAGACTTTTCGAGTTGCTCAACGCGTCAAACGCGCCGCTTCTCGCCAAAAAACCAAAGTTGTGGTTCATCCAGGCGTGTCGCGGAGGTTTTTCTGGTTTCTTTGATTCGAGGTGACATTGAAAGCGTTCAGAACGTCGCGACCTCGGCTTCGCGACCTTAGACGAGGTGGATGGAGCGCCGCGACGCGAGTTCGACGGCGGCGACGGCCCTTTCAACTTTTTCAACTGTGTTCGGCCGCAGATCGCGCAGCAGGTATCTACTTTTTGGTTACAGTACACGGATAAACTAGTGGATTTTTAGACTTTTTCTTCAGTATCATTAAAAAAGGAATTTCTCAGAGAGCAGAGAAGAAGTTTTTTTTTTGAAAAAAAAGAGCCGGATGAAATAAGTGAGATAAAAAAATATTTTTTTGAAGAAAGTTTTTGTGAGTTAAAAAAAGCCTATATTCAATTTTTTTCAACCCAAAACTTTTTTTGAATAACTGGTAAAAAATTATCTGATGAAAATGAGGTCCGAATGATTTTTTTCATACAGCAGTGCTAAAATTTTTAGTGACGACTTTTTGCGTGGCAGGTGTTTCAAAAAAAAATCAAGTTTTTTCATCGAGGTTTTTTCTCGCGTTTCACACTTTGATGTTCGGCATCAGCTCATTGCCAGCTTCTGAATATAGTCAATGTTTCCCGACTTGAAAGGCGAGGGAGGCGGGGCAAGGGGCGGGACGCGTAGCCTGTGCGTTCGCGGTTCTTGGCACGTGTTCAATTCAACCGCCATTGACTCTTTGAACATCCTGTTTTTGCTCATTTCATTCCTTTATCAATTATTTATTGATTATGTTCATGTGTTCATCAAAAAATAGTAGAAAACATTGAAAAAGAGCGGTTGCCGAGCTTTTTGAATAGCCGGCGGCAATTGAATTGAACTCGTGCCAAGAACCGCGAACGCACACGCTACGCGTCCCGCCCCTTGCCTCGCCTTCCTTGCCTTTCAAGTCGGGAAACATTGACTATACTAAAAAAATAGTGAAAAAAATTCCAATCCTCCGGGAGAAATGAAATTTGAGTTTGATTTTTTTAACTTTCTGAACATGAAGCTGCTTCTGGTGTGGGATAAAAAAATACAAAATTTGACTAACAAAACTGATATTTCAATTTTGAGGCTCACATCCGAGTTCCGAACGAAGCGGATGTGATGGTGGCCTACGCGACGACGCCACAATTTGTTTCTTGGCGGAATTCTTTGCGCGGCAGCTGGTTTATTCAAGCCATTTGTGAGGTAAAATAGGTTTCAGGGATGAAAAAAAAACCTTTTTTTGGAATTGAATGAATTCGAATGAAATTCGTTTTCACGCAAAAAAAGAATTCTGGCGTTGAGACAAAAGAATGTTCAAGAAAATCTAACGGTTTTGTGCGTCTAAAGAACATAAGGCCATTCTCTTTTCTTGATGTTCATCGCGCTTTCTTAGGAACCCTAAAGTGGTCACTAGAGAGGCGAATATAAGCGTTCTTGAAGGTTCCCTTCTAGGGGACTGTTTTTGTTCGCGCTTATTTTCAAAAGTTTGAATTTAGCCAATTTTGAAGGTCCAGTGTTTTTGGAACCGAATGTTCTTGAGGACCAATTTGTTAAAATTCGTCTTTTTGCAACGAGATTGGGTCTTCCGGAGTTGAACTTTGCTTTTAATATGAATTCGTGACTGAATAGTTGCAGATATTCGCGGCGCACGCGAAAGACGAAGACGTCTTGACGTTGATGACGATGGTGAACCATCGCGTCGCCATGGGTTATCAGACGCAGCAGCGCGACGGAACCTGCAAACAAATGCCCGAGGTTTCTCCAAAAATCAAGAAAATCTTAAAGTGGAATTTTCAGATCACTTCTCGGCTCCTCAAAAAGTTTTACTTTTGGCCGGTTAGGTCTTCTGGTTCTGCAGTCTGATGCTTACTTCTTTCATTCATTTATCCACGATTCTAGGAATGAAAATAATATTTTTTTTTGTTTGTTTGTATGAAACGATTCCCCAATGCTTTTCTCAAGTTTTCTCACTTCCTTGGAAATTCTTGTAAAATTTTCCTTTTTCTCTTGAAAATTTTACTCGTTTTTTTTTTACTTTTGATCATCGGGTCTCTAATCGATTGCTGAATGAGCCATAATATGTGAAAAACTTGTTCAAAATGTATCATTTCATTCATATCTGATTGTATTTCTATTCTTTAATTTTATTTGATTGTACACGGATCTTCGATTGTGATTTTTCCCGTGCCATTTTTTTGAGTTTTTCTATCTTACTTGGCATAAACCAGACATTGTCTTTCGCACAAAATTGGTCTTCCTGTTCAATTGTGATAGCCATGATTCCTTCTACGCAATGTCAAATGTATATAAAAATCATTATCCTTCCCTTTTTATTTGAAATATGCTGGTTTACAGTTGATTTGACCTACCTCTCGTATGTGTATCGCAAGCTTTAATAATCGCTCTGAGTGAAACGTATTGCCTGTTTTATCGATTGTGCTCCTGCTTTACTGTATTCTCCGTTGGATATATTATCGATTGCCGATGTCTTTCTTCTGTTCATTGTTCTCCCATGTAAATGAAAGCTTTTCCGTTTTTCGGCTACTCTTTTTTTTTTAGCAGATTTGTCCACTTTCAGCATTATTCTAGATGATATTTGTGGAAAGATTGATTTTTTTCCTTTTGAATAGCGTTGGTTGCAGTCGGAATGGCTCAACGCGTCGCGATCGCGTATCGGTTATCTTTTTTTGGCGTCCTCAACGGACGAAGTCGCTAAAAGTCGGAAGCAATTTTGCAGTAAGTACCAAAATGTTTGTCAACCATAAAAATCTGAGCCATTCCACGCAGTTTAATGACATCTGAAATATTGAAAAATCGAGTATATCTGAGCTCCTCTGGCGCTTTCGAACGCCAGCCGACGCACGTGTCAGACATAAACAAAAACCTCTTTTAAACGTTTTTCAGAACCTTCAAGAAGCTTTCAAACGGTCGTGAATCTTGAAACGAAAATTTTTCGGCTATTTGTCTCCTTTCAAAGCTGAATTATTTCAGTTTCGAAGGCCAATTTGCTTTTTCCTATTTTCTCTCAACAGTGAATTCTTTAGTTGATTTTTTTTTTGGATGTTTAGTCTATTGGAAAGCTTCTTGTTATTTTTTTTTTTAGGGGAAAATAGAAAATTTACGAAGTCTTTTTCTATGGTTTTCAAAGTTAGTACGAATTTCCTGATTCTTTACAAAACAGCTAAATAAAGGATTCTCAAACAGTTTTCCCGAACTATTTCAATTATCTATGCATTGGGAGTCGATTTGTTTTTGATTGGGCAGGTGATCTCGAAGAAAAAATTTTTTTTAAGGTTACGATTTGTATTTTTGCATTGAATCTCAGATTTTTTAGTTGATAAAGTCAAAATTTTTTTTTCTGAACGTAGAAAAGTCAATTTTTTCGAGCTTTATCTCAAAAAAGCACACCTTTATTCAAACGTAACGGAAATTGGTCTTATAAAGCAACTCCTGGCTTTTTTTTTTCGATAATTACTCTATTTAACTATCGCTTCTCTTTTAAAAGTAAAAAAACATATTGTGCACTTTCAAACATCGAAGGAGTTTTTTTGACCCTAAAGAGTTTTTTTGGTATATTTTTCCAAAAAAATAAAATAACTCGAGAATAATACTTCGCAGCCAGCCGCCACAGAGTAGTTGAATGCATTCAAGTCTTCGGAAACGAGTTATTGGAATTGACAAAAAGAAAGAATAAGAAAAACACTCGAAAGAGTGGCAGAATGGGTTGCCGTAATCCTGGGGGCCTACGAAACGAATAGCGGAAAGGTTTAAGAGAGCCGGGGTCCAAAATGGAGGGCGTGGCCTGGACAGTTGTCCTGGCTCTCGGCCTTTTCTCCTCGGCTTCCTGGCCGCGGAAATCCTCTTATTTATTCATCTATCATTAATTATGATCTGATCGGAATAATCTTCCGCGAAAAAACATGGCAGGTCTGATTATAGTTGCCCTGGTCTTTGGACTACTCCACGCCTCGACAAGTAAGTCTTCAAATATGCGCATTCTCGATTTACCAACCCTTTTTTTGTTGCAATCTTATGTTTTTCTTAGTAACTCTGGCTTTTTGCTTTGTATCGGAAGTTAAATTTAGACCTGCAGTTTTTTCACCGCTGCTTGAGAAAATAGGATATTTCTTTACAATATGAGCAGAATAGTGGGCTTGAAGGAGGGGTTTAGACTTTTTTATTTTGGTTCCTAGTGCACAGTATTTTTTTTAAGTGAAAAAAAATTTCATAGCGTAGTAAAAAGAGATTTGGAAAAAATAGGTTTTTTGAGCAGAAATCTAACCGAAAAATAGAGTTTTTTTTAGAATTTGGAAGTCTAGTCTAACTTTCTCCATTATTTTTTTAATTCAAAATTTATTTTCGATAGAGATAATTTCAATGCTTTTTGTCATGAAATCGTTCATATAAGTTGCTTGATTCAGCCCAGTTTATGTAAAGTTTTGAAAAGAAAATTTGGAATAGTTTACAAAAAAAAAGTTCGTCTCTACAGTTTCTTTTTTTCAAGTCATCGCTTATATAATATTATTTATTTACAGGCAGAACAAAATAATATGTACAGAAAAAAAAGAGAAAAAAATTTGGCATTAAGCCTGAAATAAATAAATAAAAAGGCACTTGAGGCCCTCACGAGCCTCTGAGCCAGTAATGAAAGAATAAGAGGTGAGGATTTCACAAAGGTAAAAAAAAGTAAATAGAAAAAGAAAGTATAAGTTATGACACAGTGTAGCACAGGTGAGTGGGGAATTTAATCGTTTGTAATGATATAGACGCGCATAAGATGGATTAGAGTAGGGCTGAAGCACGGGTGCCTGGTTCAACGGAGTCTGCTGGGAATAGATCCAAAAAAAGGAAATTGTTATCGAGGGATAGTAACAAAGACCTGAAACGTTCTGGAGAAACATTGAGGTTTCCCAATGTAGCCAGTTTATTCCAAAGAGGGATGAACGTCTCAAAGAAATTTTCGAAACGAATCCCTACTCTGATAAGACGTGATGGAGCACGTACCGAATTCGATCTCCTGAAAACACTGTGAGCAACTGGCAAATGACTCTCCTTAATATAAATTTTATGTAGTGTTCTTAGACAAAATTCGACTCGTCTTCTAAAAAGAGAGTTTGTGTTAATCTGAGCTAACCTGTCTTCATAACTAGAAAACCTAATGTTTGATCTCATGAATGTTTGGCGAGTAAATTGACGGAAGATGTTTTCGAGGGTGTAAGATAGTTCTGAAGCTAGGGGGGGACTGAACAACTCACAACAGTAGTCCATATAGGGAGCAACGTAAGTAAGAAAAATCCGGCTCATTAGAGCGGGAGACAGGGCGCGGAACGCTCTGATGATTTGTTTACTTTTTAGTTTGCATAAGGCTATAACTTTGCGAAGGTGAGGCTCAAATGTTAGTTTGTTATCAATAAGAATGCCTAGATCGCGAACAGCTTCCGCGGATGAGATAGTTATATTATTTATAGTATACAGAACATGAGGGTTGCTACGGCCTAGATGGAGAAGGGTGGTTTTGTGTTCGGCCAGGGGAAGACCCCATTGACTAGACCATTGGAAAACGTCGTTGAGACCTTGCTGAAGCGCTATAGGATCGTCAGAAAAAATTTTAAGATCATCAGCAAAAAGATAAGCCTTTACATTATCAGATAAGTTGCTGATAATGTCATTAATGAATATTATAAATAAGAGTGGGCCGCAGACTGTTCCTTGCATCGCTTGTCACAGCTTTGAGTAATCTTCAGTTTTTTTCCCCCTAATCAAGGATCTCTCATCTTTTAGATCGATCTCAATTTCAGAAAATGCATAATTTTTAGCCACCTCATTTCCATTCTCAATTCCATACATTTTAGTCTTTTTCAAGGTTCAATTGGGTTAACTAGGCTAATATCTCCTTTTTAATTTCGTTCTGGCTGCCCTTCCACCATCAAAGATGCTTTGAACGGGATGATGGAATGAAAGTTTTTCCATGTTGGAAGCTCCGATGGGTGAAAATTGGATCTGGGCCCAGATTAGCAGTGTTTCTAGGCGTGTGAAGCACTTGTCCTGGAGTGCAAGGGCCGTCGGACTCCTTTTATTCTACTCATTCCATTCTTCTCCACAATCATCATTTCATTGCACGGAGAAAGGGCATTTTTGCTTCTTGAGACCTCTTTGGTGAGTTAGAAGTCACTTAAGCAGTACAAGAGGAGCCTATAGAAGATTTTTCCAAAATCCAGAATTATCCAAGTTCTACGGTTGAACTTAAACCATATGGTCGCGATATCTTCTTTCATGGCAACTGTATAATTTTTAAGTACCCATGTAAATTTTTGTTTCTTCCTAATAAGTTCCACCGCTTCGTCTGAAAACAAGAACCGAAAATCTTATTTATTATTACTAGAAAGCTTTTCGCGCCAAATTTGGCGTCTCTGCCACGCAAGAAGTATCATTTTACACGGACAAGACTACATTTCAAGAAAGCAAAGATTTATCGGTAGTAGAGCTAATAAATTTTTTCTCATAGACACGCAATTCAATGAGATGATCCACATTTTCTGGAATGAAACGATAAATTTGTACAGAGTGTAATGAAAGAAAAAATGGTTGCTTTCCTCTCGACAGCCAAAGATGAATGAACAAAGAGCCATTTGATGGAAGATCCGTTGCCCTAACGTGTATTAATGAGGTACCAGAAAAGCGTATATCGTAAGTAAATTAAGAGCGATCAAGTATGCGCCGCTGGCTATGAATGAGCCGCTTTCCCACCGGGAATTACGTCTTTTAACGGCCTTTTCCAATTCTTTTTCGGTCAGTGTTTCCAATTGCAGGCTTTATTAGGATTGATGGTGGCAGTTAACTTCGATTCAATCCGCTTTTCAAATATTTATAGACTTTTGCGGCTTTTATAAAGTGCAGCCATCCATAGTTGGGCTCAAAAACCAATTCTCCTTTCTTTTTTTGCGCATTGAAGTTATAAAAAAAATAAAATAGTTATTTTTGAGGAAAAGACGTCATTCACAGGAGCAGTGTCGCTTTTTTTGGTTTTCTTTGGTAGCAAAAAAACAATCTTTAGGCGGAAAAATTTTAATGGGTGAAGAATGAAGACACACTGTTAGAAGTTTTAAAAGAGAAAAACCGACGAACTAGTGGAAAATTTTTCTTCTTTTATTCGGCTAAAAGATGAAACAGGAAAACTCAAATGGTTTCATACAAACATGGTTTTTGGAGACCGCCGAACAAATTTTGAAGTATTTTTTCGTTTTAACTTTCAAATGATCAGAATGCTTAGCTTTTCAAGCTTCCAAAGATTTTTTTCTCTCGAAAACTGGCGAAATTTCCGGCTTATTTTTTGTACGAGAAAATCATTACCTGTTTAGGTAGCTCTTTTTTTCTTTCTTGGATGTAAAATTTATTCTGACGAATTCAATGAGTCGTAACAGTCGAAGTTTCAAGGAATAGCAAAGTTTCAACTAATTCCTTAAAAAGAGACTTCGATCTCTCGAACTTTAAAAATTAATACTTGAAAAGTGTTGGCGTCGATTCATTCTAAACAAAAATAGCTTCTTTTCATGGTCACCAGATACCAATCCCATTCGAAGAGCAAGCAAAAACAATTTGTTCAAAATTATAAGTTCCTGCTTTCGCCATCCTTCATTCATAACGACCACATCAAGGCTTTTCAAAGACTCCTCTCCCAGTTTTTCCACGCCCATATGTCGAACTGAAGCACGCATATTTCGACGAGGCCCGTCGCATATTCAAATGCGTGGAAAAAAAGCATTTATGACGCGCCGATGGACTTTCGACGGAACGTCGTTGAGCCAATAGCAAAAAAAAAAACGAGCCCAAAAAGTAAAAGAGTCGTGTTTGAAGATGAAGAGGCGCGCGACGCCATCAGGGATTATGACAAGGCGAAGCGCCGTTCGCCAGAAACGGGGACGAAAAAAGTTGCAATTGGCCTTCCTTGTCCTCCTTTGCTTTCTTTTCTAATCTTTCCTTACTTTTTCCCTGAGTTTGCCAAGTCAGTTTGTTAGAAGTTTTGCTAAAAATTTCCTGTTCATTTATCGCGTTTCTATCTATTTCTTGTCAGTACTATTTTTTTAGAATACTCAATTTTTTTAAACTACCTTAAATCTACTATCAATCAGTTTTTAATTTGTTTTTGTTCAATCATCAGCGTATTTTGAGTAAGTCTAGATTTTCCTGAAAATAATCGAAAATTTTTTGGAGCTCTGTTCGAAAAAAAAGGCTAAAATCGAGCGCTTTTCTGATGATAATATTGTCTTGGAAATCTTACGAAAATAAGACTGAAGCTGCATTATTTTTTTGGATGGTCATTGGGTTTTTTTGAACTATTTTTTTCGAAATAAACTTTTTTTCAGAAAAACTCATTTCAGCTAGTTTCATGATATTTCATTTATTTTGTTATTTCATAGGTTTCAATTTCAGTTTGACATGGATTTCTCACAGGCATCCAAAGCTTAATGGTGAAGATATTAGAGGAAAATTAAGCTTTTTGAAAGGTGTCTCTGAAATTTTCGATAAATATTTGACGTTTTTTTCATGAATATATCGATTTACCTATAATTTATTCTAACTATGCTTCAGCTTTCTGTTATATTAAAAAAAACGAGTGATGAGCTATTTTTAATAGAAAGTTTTTCAGCGATGGCGGACTCAGACGCCGAGGACCGGCTGATGGTGGATTTGTTCCGCGGGTACAACTCTTTGATTCAGGTTTCTTTGATTTCTTGGATAGAATAAATGAAAAACCATCTTTTCCTTTTTTTTTCAAATCAAATAGACTTTCAGCCGGTCCGAAACAAGTCTGAACTTCCGATGATTGTCAAAATCGCCATGCAACTTGTCCTTTTGATCAACGTTGTGAGCTGTTCCTCTCATTTTCATTTTATCAAATTTTCAACTTCAGGATGAAAAAGAGCAAGTGATGCACACAAACGTTTGGCTTACTTTGGTTCAAAAGGAAGAGTGATTTTTCAAAAAGTTTTTTTTCAGAAATGGCACGATTTTCAATTGCAATGGGAGCCACGAGACTACGGCGGGATCACTCAAATTCGTGTGGCGCCGGAAAAAATCTGGCTTCCGGACATTGTTCTCTTCAACAAGTTCGTTTTTTTTTTTGAAGAAATTTTGCTTTCGTCGACCTGAAGCTTGCTGGTCGCATTTGGAATGGCTCAACGCGGCTGCAGAGCGGTTACCAAGAAGATGTGTTTGAAAACGTAAAAGGTTAAATTCATGCTTCGAGAAGAGACCGTAAACCTTTGAGCCATTCCAAGTGCGACCAAAGGATATCATGCGAATAAAGTCACAGCAAAGTTCAAGTGGCCATTTAGGAAACTTGAAAAAAATGCAGAAGCTGCCTTTTAAGCGGTTTTGAAAACCCTGAAAAACTTTTAAGGGCCTTTTTAGGAGGAAAAACATCTTTCCAAAGCTCCTAAAAAGATCATTTCGGAACTCTTCTGACATGTGAGCTGTTTTTTCCCTTTTTCACGAAAAAAATATCATTTATCGGTATTTTAAACCTTTCTGCAACTCCGTCTCTTCAACACCTTTTCTCATTGAAAAAGACCTTTCCGATTAAAATCAACTAAAAGGCGTTAGGAAGGTCTTTTGAAGGCCTTTCTTCAAAAAGCTTCTTTTTAGGTACATTTCTACTATGTGGTTTGAACGCTTTGGGATTTCAGTGCAGATGGGAACTACGAGGTCTCTTTCATGTGCAACGTGCTCGTTCTCAGCAACGGAGACGTTCTTTGGGTCCCCCCGGCCATTTACAAGAGCAGTTGTATCATTGGTATCTTCACAGAGTACGTTTGGATTGATGTATCTGATGTTTGCAGATGTCGAATTCTTCCCATTCGATGATCAACTCTGCAGCCTCACCTTCGGCAGTTGGACTGTTCGTTTTTGAAGTTTATTTGAAAGCTATAACTAGGAAAAGGGCTTACTTGGTAGACTTTTTTGGTAGGTAGGCTGAGGATAGATTAGTCTGAAAAAAAAATTAATATTTAGCGCTACAGGCTGTTAAAAAAGCTTGTCGAAGTAGTGCAAAAGAAACAAATAACTTTTCCCATTGGTTTATCTCCTGTTCTCTCCTTTTCTCTTGCCATATTAGGAAACCCTCATAGATCATTTTTCAGTACAACCGCGATGAGATCAAGCTCGATTTTTTGCACTCGGACCGCGTTGACTTTTCCGAATATGCGACCAGTTCAATATGGGATATGATGGTATTTTTCTCTTTTTCGTGATATTTTCAGTAAAAATCTCTTCAGGATGGCCCGGCAGTACTGACAGCTGACCGAAGTCGGATAGAGTTTCAAATTAGGATACGGTAATACCCAATACTCTCTTATCTTTAAAATTTTTCATTTCAGAAGAAAAACACTTTTCTATTCGGTCGTCTTGATCCTGCCAACCGTCCTCATGGCTTTTTTGAACGTCACTGTCTTTTACTTGCCTACAGCCTCGGGTATAACTTGTTCAATTGTGAAAAAAATGAGACTTCCAGGGGAAAAAATGGGTCTCACCATGAACGTCTTGCTCTCGATCGTTGTGTTTCTGTTGCTCGTTTCCAAGATTTTGCCACCCACTTCTTCTTCCATTCCTTTGGTACGTTGAACAGATGGTCATAAAAAATAGGGGTTTTTTTTTTTGGAATCTTTGAGGAAAGATTGAAATGATGACTTGGGTCAAAACCTTTATCTTAGCACAATATTCGTCTAATCGGGTCCCGACCCATTTCAAGCAATTTAGAAAATAAAGAGAACCGTCACGGGCAAGTCCAACCAGCCTCAAAAGAAAGAGTCTTTTTTTTAAAGTGATCTCGTTTTTTCATCTTTTCCCGTCTTCTTTTTTCTTTTTCTCTCAAAAAGGTCGAAAATGTAATTTAGGTTGCCAAATACCTGCTTCTCACCTTCGTGCTCAATATCATCACGATCGTCGTGACGACAATCATCTGCAACATTTACTTCAGAAGCCCCATCACTCACAGACTTCCGCCGTGGGTCCGAAAAGTGTTCCTCGACGTTAGTTTTCTTTTCCGATCTTCCAAAAAAAAAAAAATAGTTCGACATATCGTTCGGAATTTATTTTGAAAGTGGGCCTCAGTGACAAATTTCGTTGGTATTCAAAAATAATATACACGAAAAGCGCCTTTCTCATCCTTCGGATGCTTATGAGCCATTAAGGGATCACTCAAGTGTTGGTAGTCTATCTTCAGTAATCGCAAATGTCAGACGCCACCTCAAAAGCGAGTCTAGAAAACTTGGTTGGAATATATTTCTTTCTTCAATTTTTGTTGAATATCAGCATGAAGGAAAGAAACTTTGAGCTCTCCTTGGGTCTAACTCTTTGTTCGAAGCTTAATTTTTCAAGCTTTTTCAAGAAAGAGCTTCTAGATTCTTCCACTTCTGATGTGCATGCAAAGGCCGCATCGCAAGAACGTCCTGCACAAGCAACAGCGGAAAATGCTGATGCAAGGACCGTCGATAGACAAAAATCCGCTCCAAACCGACGAGCATCACCCTCTCTGCAGACACACCGAGCATCAGTACATCGTAACTTTAGTTCTACGAGTCAATAACTGTTCAGAGAGAACTCCAAAAAGATTCGCGTCCACCACGACTGTGTCGAGGAACTGTCTCCTGAGGCTCAGCGAGCCATCGACGCCATCGAGTTCATCACCGAGAACCGTCGAGATGAGGAGATCACTAAACAGGTAGGGCAAATTTTAAAGGTACATCCTTTAGTATTTGGGTCATTTGTTTTCGGAGAAAGATCTGAGCTTTCAGAAATTTCATTCCAAATCACAACTGCGAAAAGAAGGCCCGAGCAGCCACATGAATACTTTGTGTTTAAAGATCATTCGAAAAAAACATATGAAAAAAAAAAAATCTTGAAAGTTTCGAAATGAAAGTTTTTCGATTTTGCAACTTATCAAAATTCCATTCGAGTTCAGCCCCACATATCACTGTTCAATAGAGCTTACAAGGTTGTTCAAACATCATGAAAGCGAAAATCATGAAAGTTTCGCCGCAAAAATCTATGTCGCGACTTACTTCTGCGCCTTTAAACAACCCAGGAAGAGTTTTCGAACGGATATAAAGAAAAATATCGTCCTAGATGAATTTCATAACGAATTCATCACAACTTCAGTTCCGAGACGATTGGAAGTTCATTGCGAGCGTCGTCGATCGCTTTTTGTTGTATGGATTTTTCGGAGCGACTCTTGGAGGAACAATCGGTTAGTTATTCGGCTTTTACTGATTCAAAAAATGCTTCAGGGATCGTCTTCTCAGCTCCTTCCGTCTTCGAATACGTCGACGAAGAGAAGACTCTGAAACGACTTCGACAACTCTACAAGATGGGGCTGACCAACGACTCTTATCCGCCTTTCGATATGTGATCCCACAGAGTTTTATTTTTCTCACAAAATATGTCCTTTCGCACCCTACGAGTAACTTTGCTTCAAGTAACTTCAGAAAAAAATGCTCAAGCAAATTTTTTTGTTTCCATAAAATATATTTATATATATATTAATCTCTGTGAAGTATTACATCAAAAAATGTACAGACAATGGGCGACATAGTCGCTACTAACGCAACGGTACTATTGGCTCGCAAGACCTACGTATTGAAAGACTAAAAGGTTTTTTCTCAATCAATGATACCCGAGAGGAATGAAAATCACAATTTTCATCGGGAAAGACATACTGGAATTGCACGGGAATTTTCTGAAAGGCTGGGAAAAATGAGCAAAAGCTCCTGGGTTTTTGAAAAAATGAGCAGAAATGAAAGTGTCAATGACCAAAAAATGTGACAAAATTCTTGGAAACTAGCAACGGCCGCAAGAAGCCTTGCAGAAGATCTTCATGAACTTGCTCTCGCTTTTGCACTCGCCGATCTTGGCCCAGTAGCCGCAGAACAAGTTCTTGTCCTCGCACTTTTCCAGCTTCTCCTTCTCCTTGACCTCAACCTTCTCTTTCTCCTTTTTCGTTTCCTTTTCCTCCTTGGTTGCCGTCGTCGTGGCTTTTTCTGTCCCTCTCGTCGGGCTCGTTGGCTTAGGCGTCGCTGAAAACTTGGTTATAGCCATGTCCCATAAAGTTCAAAAAAGGCACTATGTTTTTTTTTAAACGTTTCAGGTCCCTTTTTATTGGCTATAACTCGAACCCTACTTTGAGTGATATTCGGAAAAGTTCAGGAATATCAAAAGACGCACTAGTTTTGGTGTCTTCGTCGCAGAAGCCGCAAGCCTTGCGGCAATAGTGCGTCATGTACTTGACAGAGTGCTGACAGTGGCCGAGCTGTTCCCACATGCCGCAGTGGGCGTTGAGGTCTTCGCATTCTTAAGATAATATTTTTTGAATATTCAAAACTATCTTCCGACTTCTCTTGGGCTTCGGAACCTCCGTGGTAGTAGTTGTAGTGGTAGCGGTTGTGGTTGTAGTTGGACGAGACGTTGTTGAACTTTTCGCTCCAGTCTTAGTCGTCGACTCAATCTGAGGTGTGAACGACAATTATATTGAAGTTGAAATAAGATCTAAGAGATTTGATTCGCAAATAAAACTCTGAACGAAAACTTTTTAAGGATGGTTTTTTACAAAGTTGCCGACGAGGCGCCTCGGGCCGCGCCGCATACTGAAGCCGTTACCCCCGGGCGGTTTGGTCCGCAAAGTTGAGAATGGGCGAAAAACAAGCTGGAAAAAAGATTGAGAAAAAACTGGCTCAAGTTGACCATTTTCTTGATTTTCTCCCCAAATCTTCTGAAATTGAAGTCAATAATTACCTCCCTTACCTCCCCTGTTTCCCCATGTATGCCTGTCAAGTAAAAAAATCAAAAAAAAGAATAAAAACCTCTTCGCTTTCTTCACTGGTAGTCAGTTCGTTGGTAGTCGTCGTCGGCGCAGTTGTCGTCGTGGTAGTTGTGGTCGTCGAGGTGGTCGTCGTTTTTGAGAACTCTCCGCATTGGTAGAGCTTGTTGATCTGAAAAATGAAGTCATGAAAAAATAACTTACATTGATTCAAAATAGAGTACATCAAACTTCTCGACTTTGAGAGGCCGTTACTTTTTTCAAAGGCCTCGAAGGCAGTTTTCAGGAGCAGATTCGGAATCAGCGTTAAAAAATACATCTAGTGAGCATAATCTCAATCAGTAGTCCCCCTGTGAGCTAAGAACATTCGTTCGTCAGCGGAACTCATTCAAAGACTTAGTTTTCTAGGGCAAGTCCGATTTGGAACAAACCTTCCTGGCGTCGACCTCCGACAGCTTGTAACGTTGTCCAACTTCAGCCGACGCGTCTTTCGGCACGATTGTCGACTTTCCATTGCGAGAGAACGCGAGCTTGTGATAGTGCATCACAGATTCGTAGTCATAAGGCATTCCCAGTGGGTCGATGATCTTTCTTGGGTACTTTTCGAAGTTGCGCATCATTCCTGTGAATTATTTTTGAATGGAGGGGAAATGGGATTGTTTCAGACCTGGACGGATGTTTTCCTCGACGATGTCCACGAACTGATCTCGGTCCGTGCGAGAATGTTCGTGGAAGAAGCCCAGAGCGTGCATCAGCTCGTGAGCGATTATTCCCTGAGTTTTTCACGATTTATATTCATTTTTTGATAAGTTTCTTGAAAATCTAAAAAAACCCTGACGTCTGGGTTGTTTTTTTTTTTGAAACAAGGGTGATAAATTGCTTGTTGATATCGAAAACCAACATGATTTTTTTTTTTGAAAAGTAGGCCTAGATGTCATTCTGAAAAGGACTCATCCATCATAGAACTTTATTCTGGAAATATGATTTTTGAGAACTTCAAAGAATTGCTTACAAGGTGATTCAGGGTTGAACACGAACTTCGATAATTTAAATCTTCAAAAGAAAAGTTCGCGCAAGCTCGCATGCTGAGCAGGTGTCTCAACGGGTGTACCCGTAAGAAACCCGTGTTTCTGAGGTTATTTTAGTCTCAGTTGGGCTAAAACGGGGGAACAACGGGTGTAAGAAAAATATGTAACCCAGCTGGGCTAAAGCGGGGTCTCAGTTGGGCTAAAAAGTGCCAAAAGTTCTATCAGCTGGGCTTATACGGGTTTAATACGGGGGCACCCGTGGAGACCCCGTGTTAGCACGGCTGGGTTACCCTGCTCAGCATTCGAGAGTAGAACCAATAAGGTAGTTTTATCTAGAGCTTCACAGGCCCTTGAGAACATTTCATGAAAATTTTCGAATCTCTAACTAAAACCCTTCATTCAGAAAAATAAATATCACTCAGATTATCGTTGAAGGATCAAAAAACCACAGGAAGTTCAGGCGGATGAGATGATGGTTCTCAGGAAAATGTAAAAAAAAAAACCTTGGAGAAGCATTTGTCGACCTCGAGCGAGACGGTCTGATTTCCTCCGGCGCGTCCGACATAAGAAGAGCAACCGAAGGCGACGTTGCGCTTCACGTAGATGTAGTCGAAGTCGTCGTCAGTCCTCGGCACGAATCTCACGCAAGTCTTCTGTTTGTACTCGTCGAAGGCCTGAGCGATCGCCGCTCGTTGACTGAAAAGGAGAAATAAAAAAAAAGAAACGTCTGGGAAGATGAAAAAAAAGACGTTTCTGAGAAACTAACTCATTGGTCATGCCCTCCTCAAGCATGTAAGGTACTTGTCCGTCAGTCCAGAGCTTGTCAGGATAAGTGACCAGGTTTAGAGAGCTGTGGTACTGAAATTGACTCGTGCAATAGTGGGCAGAAGTTTCGAAACGAGAAACCATAGTTGATTTGTTTTAAAATCCAATATTTCTCTATAAAAACGTGCGCGTGAGATAAGATGTAAGTAGAAAATTACGTCTACTTTTTCCTTTTCGATACTTTTTTTGAGCAACGTTTGAAGTTCAAGAAAATTTCTTCACAAAAAATACCGGCTTGCGGAAGATTTCGTCCTCGTCGAGCAGCGGATCGTCGCGCATCCGCTTCGAAATGACAGCGTCGGTGTCGCTTGGGATTCCGATAATGTCGCCTTCGAAGAGCAGCGAATTCTGCATTGCTTCGATCTCCGCCGGCGACGGTTTCGCCACTGAAAGATCGTAGGTTTCACGAACTTTTCTTAAGTATAGCTAATTCTACGCCAGTTGGCCATGGTCTTCATTTTCCTCTGAGCAATAGAACCTTTCCGGGAAGCTTCCCTTCGAAGTGCGGGACCTGTCTCTGTGTATGCGCCATTAATAAAACAGAAAATTTAGGAAAAATAGAAAGCGCATGCTCAGGGTTATGTCACGTACATCGAAGAAAAGGTTTTTGTTGCTCAGAGGAAACTAAAAATTGAGAGAAGCTGGCGCGGAATGGGCTATAATAAATCTAACACCCTCCGTTGTAATTAATAGAGATGAACTGATTTTGAACTAACAGAATCTTTCGGTTTTGATTGGAAGTTTGAAAATGTTAAAAGACATTTTAAAGTTCTTCAGATAGGGACCGCAGGCAGTTTTCTAGAAACCATCAGATTTAAATGATTTGCATATGACCGTGTACTTCATAGTCCTGGCAACTTTAAAAAAAAGAGATCTTGGAAAAAATATTGACTCTGAACGAAGTTACAGCCATTAAAGCGCGCGTTTCGCGATTTCAATTCTCTGTAGAAAATTTGGTCGAGGTCGCGAAAAAAGTGGGCGTTGCAAGGGTGCGGCGCGCTCTCAAAGACCAGTAAAAAAAATTAGAGAAAAAGTTTCTTGTTAATTTTTTTCGCACTAAAACACACTAATGATAGTTTTTTTCATTATTGGAAATGATAGAACAATGTCCAAAGATGAGGACCAGCAAAAATAAACACTGAGAAAGAATAAGTTGAACGATTTTCAACGGCAAAAAAAACAAAATTAATATTTACGGAGTTTTCAATGCTTTTGATGTTCAAAACTGTTAAAATATCATTAGAAAGCACGGATAAACGCAAATTCTCCCTGAAACAAGATTCGATACAGAATTCGGAACCAATAAAAGGTTGTGAATCCATAGAAACACGAATAAATTAATTATTAATGACTTTTATAACCATTCTTGTAGCAATACAGCACTTTTTAAATGCGCTCAACTCATTAAAATCCACGTTTAAGTACTATTCAGGTGAATTTCCCGACTTTGAACGTGTTTTCCAGTGGAATCCGGATAGTGGGAGTTTGGCGATACTAAAAATAATTTTTTTGTTCTGGAAAAGCATGTGAAGTTCTATTTTGTTTTTCCGAATTACATTACTGAACATTTTTGACTCATTTCAAAAAAAGTTTTACGCTATTTTTTTGCTTTGAAAAACATCGCGAATTCGGAATTTTTCGTGGGTCGGTGAATGCACAATTTCGCCAACGCGCAAATGCAGGACGCTGTTTTTTTATCGTTAGAATGAATCAAATTTTTGAAAGCACAAGCAGGATTTTTTTATTTTTTTGACTATGTTGAAGAAAAAAAGTAAATCAAATCAAAATAAGAAAAAAAATAATTTGCCTACGACTGCTAAAAACACTTTTTCCAAGTGTTTCAAAAAAATCAAAAAAATCAAAACTTATTTTTTTAAAATTAAGGTTGGAATGAAAATTTGGTTTTTTTATTTTTCAAAATGTTCTAAAATTTATAGAGAACAGTTCAAAAAAACATTTTTTACGATGTTTCGCGGAAAAATGCCAAAGTTCCCGAATTTCGAAAGTTGCGATTTTTCCGACGCTTCGATATTTGAAAGCACAAGCAGGAATCTTTTTATTTTTTTACTTATATGGTGTATTTTTTTACATGCTTAACAAAAATAAGAAAAAAATAGCTTGCCTACGAGCGGGATTGTAAGTATTCAACGTTTTTCCACTTTTTCGCACAAAGGCGTCGCGAAAAAACGTCATTTTAACCGATCCTTTTTTTATTTACAGCTATTTCTTCTATGTAGAATTGTAGAGCATAGCTGATTGTATGTTTCCCTCAATTTTTTCCCAAAACGGTTCAGGGAAACTGCATAAACAACAATGAAATGTCAAAAATGCAACGAAATATACGACGTTTTTTGGTCAGCGAAGGGGTGTGGCCTTGCGGTCCCTATCTTCAGAATACTTGCAAACCTACCCGGAGAGTTGGCGGCGTTCACAAAATCGTCTGGTAGAAGATAATGTTCGGCATAGTCTGGAAATACATTAATTCTATTTTGAATAAGAACCCATTTTAATAATGGAAATTACCGTCAAATTTAGTCTTAACGCTCTTGGCTTGATCGTTGGGTATCGGAACGACGCCAAGGCAGGTTACTGTGGCTACAGAAAGAAGCGCGACGAAAGCGCTGCTTTCAGAGAGAAATTTCATCGAATTAAGAACTTTAGCTGGTCAGGAGAGGGCAAGAAGTTGGGAAAATGAATGAAATATTCAAGTGGGGCTTTCAGATCTTTCTTGCCACTGTGAGGGACCAGAACCTGAAAAAACAAGAGCTGAACCATAAAAATTTAGATTTACACTTGAGAAAAAGCACGATAATGTAAACAATCAGAGAGTGAGAGGAATTATAACGATAAATTCTTCCGGAGCTGTCAAAAAAAAGGTGAGATTCTGATGGATTTTCGAAAAAATTGAAATTTTTTGGCTTCATATTTAAACGTTTTTTTCGAAAAAAATTCTAATTATTTTTGGTAAGCGATTGAGCTTGAAGTCGGAAGTGACTAGGACTTCCAAAAAGCTATCTGCAAATTAAAGCTAAGTTTCGCTAGACTTTGAAAGCAAATTTATCGTGGGAAGCTAGAAAAATGAAACTGAGATAAATAGTTGTGTAGTTCCCAACATAGACTGAAGAAGGTCGGGAGAACTTTTGAATGATACATGTAATAAATTCACACCCTATTTCCCTATGAATATCTACCAAAACGAGTACAAAACAGGAAAGATGGCTATTGATTGAGTTCAAAAAACAGTGAAACTGAGAGGATGAGAGGAGATCGGAAGAGAAGGCGGCTGAGCATCACCGGAATGCCTGAGCGGATGGCTGAACTCGAGTGGCCTTGCCGGACACCACTTGCGGCGCAAAAAAAGCGGGACCGGACAAGCACGCTGATTCATGAAAACTCTATATTTGGAAAAGGGCGCAACTCGAGGGCCTTTGCTCTGATCGCATGCTTCAAAACAAGCAATAGCGGTTCAGAAACGAGAATTTGACTTGTGAACTTATGGAGAGAAAGTACGAATTTCAGATGTTTCTTATTCAGTCAATAAATTTTGATTGTAAATAAACGTTTCTGCAAAAAAAAAATAAAAATTGAAAAAAACAGGTCTGAGAACTATTTTTGGGTAGATTGAGCCGTTTTCAAAAGCAAATCTGCGAAATTCCAAATAACCGTCAAAGAGGGAAGAAGATTATTAAAATCAGATAACCAAAGTTTTTTTGAATTTCGTGAATACATTTTGAATACTGGGATTAAAAGAGAAAAGACAATTTTTTTCAATTACTGAGGCGAAAAGCTGTCTCCAGTGCCGAATGAGGACATGAGAGGCTTTTTGGCTTTAAGAGTCCGACGAAATTGTTTTTAATAAACTTTGAAAAGTATTATAAGGAAATAATTTTTTGGAACGCAAAAGGATTAATCACACGTCATTTCAGAAAGGACCTATCAAGCTTCGAAAAAAAAGTTAGACCTTAAGTAGATATTACAAATGCACAAACTCTTCGAGAGGGAGGCTGCGGTCCTCTAAGTTCTCAAATTAAAAAAAACAATTTAAAAAACTAAGAAAAGAAACCCGAGGGAAAGCTGAAGAGAAGGTCATTAGGAAAGAATCCAATGCAAACACTCGCCGTTGTTCACACCTCTAACGGCTTGAGACAAAAGCGCCGTCCTAAAACGTTGCGACAAACGAACCGACCACGCCCCCAGGAAAAAAAAAACACAAAAAAGGTTTCGTCAGTTTGGAGCTGAAAGCTTGCCAAGCTCATAAAAAAATTTTGTTAAAAAAAATGTTTACATTTATTTTCAGAACCTCAAGATTATAGACTTGGGTTTTTTCTCTGTGCTTTGCAAGGCGAAAGGCATTGAACATGTTGTCAGCCCAAAAATATCAATTTTTTAGAACTATTGAAGATATTACTAAAATTAAAATCTGTGTGAAGACTTGAAAAAAACTTTATGCAAAAAAAGAAGGCTGACTTTTTAAATTTGCAAATACCGATTTTTCTACATTCATTATTATTATTCATACACTTTCTAGGGTTAAAATTTTTCTAAATTTTTTTCTAAATCGAAGTATTTAAAGAATTTTTCTGGTCGCCCAAAAACAACTTCGTTTGTTTTTCAATTTTTTTCAATTACTGTCCCTATAACGCCTATATGTCTTTAAAAAAAATTTCTGGTCAACGGATCCTTCTAAAACTCGACAAATTTTCAAAAAAAAAATGGAAATTGCTAGCTAAAGAAGAAGGAGCGGCGAACAGCTACAAAATGTTGTGCTTTGAGATGTTGTGTGAAATTTGAGATTTTTCTGCTGGACCGTCGGAAAAGTCGAAACGAAGAGGACACCCAGGGAGTTAGGGACGGTCCGACGGGTGAGAATTTGTTTTCCCACTCTTTTGTTGTGGAGGTTCGACTCGAAAGCGGCTCTTCTTCTCCTGTTCTGCTCCGAGAGGTCGTTCTCCTGCAGCCAGGCGTTTTGTTTGCCTTTTCCCTGCGCGGTTCAGCCGCTAGCCAGAATCGTGCAACGCGTGTCAAATCCATTTCGGAAATATCATCCGGCTATTCTTAATTTTTTGTTAGCATTGATACAGTACAAACGATAAATTAAATTATCCCAGAAGAATTATCCCAGTTCTCACGGAAACGTATTTTTTTAAAGTTGAGAGAAAGTTTTTTTCTTACAATTAAAAAAACTACAGGTTGAACCTCCCCGTTACGCGCACTGTTCCTATAATAATGTAAAAAAATCTCATTAATGTTTCAGCCAGTAGTTCAATAGCCCTATCCACGATCACACCCTGAGATTGTTACCCGTCGGAAATCTATCAAAAAAACAACTATACACATCAATTAGACTATATATTTTGAACCAAAAAACGACACGAAAAAAAAATATCTTTAGATTTCGAGTTTTGAACCTATTTAGGAGCCGTAAATTTTGGACGTACAGCTTTAAAATTCGTTTTCTGCTTCGCAGTACTCTACATATTGAATTTAAATGCATAACAAAAACACTAATTTAACAACAAACCACTTTATGCAAAGTTGACAACAACCATTTTGAAATAATTTAGTTTCCTCCTTTGTAGTTCTTGTGATCCTCAACGGAGACGTTGTAAAGGTTGAATCCCTAAACAAGTAACTCGCTAAGAAACGCAACTCGATGAAAACAAACCAGTTTTTCGAGCATGTCCTTGGTCGTAGGATCGACTTTGAGAGACAGAAGCTGGCTCGGATCAACCTCAGAAACCTCCGGCATGTAGTTGTCACGACGCTCGCGCTCCTCTTCTTGCAATTTGATGGAGATACCACGAACTGGGCCACGCTCGATTCTCTTCATGAGATGGGTGATGTATCTTTAAAAAAATTTGAACCATATTGAAAACAACGTTAAAACAATTACCCAGCGATTCTATTGCGAAGTGCCTTGCTACCAATGATAGCTACTTCATCGCAGATCCTCTTGTTGACGTGAAAATCTGATCCCATGCGAGTGTAGTACTTCTCGATCAAAACTTTAGAAGCCTTCTTGACGGTCTTAGTACGAACGCGGCTCATTTTCAAGCTGAAAACTAAACACAACTAGAAGGACTCTCAATTTTTTGTAGACCAATAAACGCAAAAAAGATTGAAGCGGCCTAAAATTTTTAGAACAGATACTTCTCTTACACAGCCTGAATGCGCTATGAGGGACAAAGATTTCTCTAATTTCGAGACCGTTTTATAAAAGGTTTTGCCTCTGACTAGGTCGTGACTTAAATTTATAAAAAAAAACAAAAATTTAGGTAAACAAAAATTGAAAATTAGGTTTTTAAGAAAAAAATATTTCCGGGGGAAAAGTTTTGTTTGTAGCAACTCGGCCGCAATTTTCCTGCAAAAGTCGCGAAGAATTTTCTCAATGGAGCGCGCTCACGTTTGAGGGTGAAATATTTTATTTTCAATTTTGGATCAAAATTTTGCCTCTATTCTTTGTGGCTGTTTTACGCGTTTTTAGAATATCTGGAACTGTTTTGAAACTGTGAAGATCTTCTAGTTTTTGAGAAATCACTTATGGATCAAAAAAGCGAAAAACTTTGATATAGATAAATTTTTTTGGATAGTTTTTGTTGTTCTGTAACTTCACAATTGAAAATTTTTTGTGCTGATAACATCCAATACTTTTTTTTAAATCCAGGTTTTTCAGAATGGAAGAAATTGGTGCTCATAATACGATGCCTCAAAATTTGTCACATACATCATTAGCTGAAAGATGTACTTCTGCGAGCTCAGAGGGAGGCTCTAGTCCGTCAGGAATAATCAACGATGGGAACGACAGTGGCGAAGACATCATTTGTGAAGGTTGTTAAAAGAGTATAGAAATCCATAAGGTCGTTTTTCAGGTGTCATGTTTTTGCCTCCCAAACATTCACACCCAGTCAAGAGAAAAAGTTTGTCGATTACCCTTTGAAAACTTTTTTTGGATTTTTCAGATCGCGTATTCAGAAATGAGCTTCAAAAGCTTGTTTTTTCGGCCCCTGGTGAAGCGACCTTGCGTCATTTGCCAACGGATCGCGAATTAGTGGAGAGTCTCTGCCTAGATCCGATATACCAGACAACCGACATGCGAAAGCAACGAGCCGCGAGATCATCTTCTCATCGTGAGTTTTTTTGAAATCATTTTTTCGGCTCTCAAATTACTATGAGAATTTCGTTAGTTATTTTAATAGCTCTAAAAAAAGTTCTTGCCCGCCTTTCCAATGCGCAGAAGTCCGTCATGATTGAAAAAAGGTTCCTGAAACTGTCTTTTCGCCTGGAGACCTCTTTGAATGTTTGCTGTGCTTTATAAAGACATTCAGCTAATCAATTATAAAGAGTACGGAAAAAAACGTTTATTTTTTCTATTCAGAATCTGAAAAACCGCCGATGAAGGTCGGGAAACAGTACAGCCACAATGCAAAAGGTGAACTTATTCTGAATGAAGACGACAAACCTGAAGAAACCTACGATTTATGCGACTGTCTCGACGTGAACTGCGACGGTTGCGAATGGCCCTGTTCAAACTGTGGAAGTCAGTAAAAAAAAATTATAATTTTTTTTTGTTGCATAACACCAACGGTTTTCAGGTTCGAAGTGCGGTTATGAGTGTCGACAGAACCGCCGTCATTGCGTTCTGTGGGTGGCCGGGAAGGATCCCATCACTGAAGCTACCTATAATCCGCAACAAGGCTATAGATACAACCCATTGCTTCCTACAAGTTTGACACACTGAAATTTTTCTACTTGCTTATTCGGGTTATGTAAATAATCATTTATCACTTCGAGTGATTCTCCCATCCGCATTTTTCTTTTGTTTCCCCGTGAGGATAAAGCATTGAATTTTCAATTTCTTTTTTTTTCTCTAAATATCCGAAACGCGTACTTGCGCCTGGTTTACTTTTCAAATTCTTCACTCCATGGGCTTTTTCAAAACTCCTAGAAATTTGTTTATGTTTAAAAAACAACTCTTGTTTTTTTTTGTACCGTTTGAAGATTTCAGTAAGATTCATTGAACAATTTACAGCCAAGAGATTGTTTTTTTTTAATTGTCAATAATTTCCTCCAGTTCCCAATTTTAGAGCTCTGGTCAAAAAAAAAAATGGCTAGGAAGGTCTTTAAAAACTTGTTTGTAGTGTGAACAGCCGCGGGGCACAAAATTTGCGCCAGATGCTGTTATATTCGATTCTAAACATCTGGCAAGGTTGTTTAAAGACGTAAAGGGTCAAATTTGACATCACATTGAAAAAAAAATTTTACTGCGAGTTCTTGTTGAATTAAGCCTAAAAAACCATCAAACTTTTGTAAATTCATTTTTCGACTATTTTCCAAATAAATCTTGGCTTTTTCTTCTTCTCATATCTCACCTCCAATTTTGAGCGCAGCTGCGATCTAGTTAGATATACACATCTTCAAGATTCAATCTTCAGAAAGCTTTTTTAGTTCTCCTACCAAGTTTCCTCTTTGTTATTTCTGATTTTTCATCTTAAGAAAATCTCAGATACTTCAAATAGTTAAGAATAAGAGAACGAAAAAAGTCTTATGAAACAGACCTAGCTTTTCGAATTCATTCAATTTTTATTTGCGCAGCATTTCATAGCCACGAATCTGTGAACGTTTTTTTTGTTCACTTTTGCATTCATGTCTTGTTCAGCAGTTGATATCTGCTCGTTCTTTCTCTTTCTGTATACAGTTTTGTGTCCAAAACAACGTTATTGTTTGCATCCAAGCATGTAGTAGTTGACTCAGTAGAAAAAAACGAATTTGAGTAGTTTTTAAATGATATTTCATCGATTTTTTTCTCAAGTTATAGTATTTTTGAAGGTTTTTTTCTATACTTTTTCAGAAGTGAACTTTGATTTTTGAATAATTCCTATAAATTTTTATTTTTATTCATTTTTTTGAAACTAAAGCCGTGTTTAAGTAATCTCGCCGAAGTTCAAAAAAATGTATCTGACTTTCCAGAATTCGGTAAAAATCTTTTCCTTCTCTGACGACTATTCTGAGTTTCGCGGAATCATTTTGAACACGGCATAATGACTTCATCTCTTGTTAAATTGCATAAAATTTCATCTCGCTGTTGTTTGACCTGTTCCAAGTGTTGAAAAAAATCGATAGTATCCGTTTTTTTCGAAATATTTTTTTGTTTTTTTGCCTCTCTCTTTTCCATTCAACAGAAAGAAGAAAAATACAAATTTTTTTCAGTATAACCACGGTAAAGAGACTTGCCTCAATAGAACGGATATTTTCACAAGAAGTATTCGATGCCAATTGGAGATGCCGACGAAAAACCCCTTCTCCACTCGCCGGCCGTCAAGATCATGGTTTTTTTTTTTACTTTCTAACTGTTGAAGAAAGAATTTCACAAGGAAAGTCGTGAAATTTGTTGAAAGAGGAAAATATCTCATCGCTTAACCCGTCTCAAGATAGAAATCTGAAGCGAAAGTGCTGAGAATTTTCTTCAACCTGTCTTTTTCAAAGATTTTTGAGTTCAAAATTCTTGAAATATCCATTTTCTTACGATAGTAAGACGCCGATTTCAAACATCAAATATGTAGGAAAATTTAGAAAGTTGACAGAAGATCAAGTCAGAAGTTGAAATGAAATTCAACTGTATAAGAAAAATATAATGTCACCGGAAAGTATATTTGAAAGCATAGGCAGAAAATTAATGTTAGTTGCGCTTCTGTGTTATCAAAAAAATTGATAAGGCGAATCCAAACTTATTTTTTCTGTGGGAAGATCAGCACTTGGCCAACCTGAAAGAATGCGTCGATAATGGAAGGTTCGAATAAAAATTATTTTAAGAAATAGAATCCGAAATCTATATTATTTTCTTTATAGTTACTTTTCACTTATACTGCAGATTTTTTGCTTTTCAACGATCTTTACAAGATATCTGTTATATAGACACTTTTCAAGATTTTTCTTCAAGCAATACATGTTAGATGTGGATTTTAAAAACTTACAAAAAGAAAAAAAAACAAGGAATATCTTCTCAATTTGAATATTTGTCAGAGAATGAGTCCAAAGTGCAACCTTGAAGACTTTCCTTTTTGTTGGGATTTCGGATGAAAGAAGTTCGGACATGATCCAGCCTAGTCGGCTATGTAAAGATGCGAGAGGCAGATAGTACATGGGCTTTGCCTTTGCGCTTTTTCTCCGCCACTTAGCTTCATCTCCTTCTAATTTCGTTAAATTTTTTGGCTTTTTTATTCTCCAAGTATTAGCGTCCTTTTCCTCCAGTTACATTCCTGCGGTTTATTTTTTGATATGATGGTTTTTGCTCATAGTAAGAGCAGTTTAAAGTTTTCAGTAGCTAGAGTAACCATGGCGAATAAATTTTATTCATTGCGGTTTTTTGAGATATTCGAAAGAAACGAAAAATGTTTGATTCTTATGATAATCTATGTCTGAGCAACGCCTTGATAAGACTGAAGCTGGATAAATCGAAAAAATGGGCATTCGACTTAGAAGCTGTACGATAAGCTCGTAGATCATCAAAATCATGTTTTTACAGTACCGGTTTTTTAAAGGTTAACGGCACAGATTGCATCTTTTTGCTGTGAAATAATCGCGAATTTTGCTGTTCTTTTTTACAGAAATTTGGACCTTTTGCTGTATAATAATCATAAGTTTTGCTTTTATAATCCGTAAAGAAAATTTCAGATGGCCTCATCCACTTTTTATATTAAGTCCCAACAGTTTTTGAGTTTTCCAAAGAGCCAGAAGGTTTCGTGAACAGACAGTACTTGAGTTTTTACCTGAGGATATTCCAAAAGTTGTTTCAAAGTTGGTTTCAAGGTGCCCCGAGTGTCTATCGGTAGAGAGCAGACGGCTGCCGGCAGCAGCAGTAAAATGAAGACGACGATTTTGGTCTGGTTGACCCTCCAAAACAGCATACACACTCTACTTATTAGGTAGATTCTCGTCGTCTTGAAAGATCCGAATATTTCGTGTTGTTAGGTACTCTCGAGCTCGAGAAGTGGAGGCGATGTTCGTGTCAACCGTCGCTGTTTTCCTCACCGAAGTCATTAAATGTCTCATTTGTCTATTTTTGGTCCTACAAGAGGAAACTCCTCGGAGGTTTTTCTTGAGTCTCTCATAATTATATAGAAATGATTTTTCTAGGTTTTTCTCTGCGTTGAAATCTCAAATAGTCGAACAACCGGGCGACACGATCAAAGTTTGTATTCCGGCGATGATTTACATCGTTCAGAACAATCTTTTTTACGTCGCCGCCTCACATTTGGATGCTGCTACCTTCATGGTATTGGTTCTAAGGTCGACAAAAAGAAAAAAAAAGTTCAGATCACTTCTCAATTGAAAATCTTCACGGCCGCGATTTTCACAGTTATCATTCTTCGACGCTCTCTCAATAGAACTCAATGGTTGGTAGAAAATTACATACGCACAAAAAATAAGGGGCTTACACATGTTAGCTTGTTGATTAAATTTGCATAGGCTTTATACAATTTTAAGTATGAACGAAAGTTTTGCTTGAAAAAAAAAGAAAATCTAGCCTAAAAAGGAAATAAACTCTGGTTGAAACTTTATATGCTACAATTATGGCGGAAAAAATTGATGAGAGAGCTAATTTCTGTTTATGACTTCATTAGTTTGTATAAGGGTGCCGTTAATTTGTAATTTTGAATTGTTCGATTTTTGTAAAAAGATCAATTCGAAAACTGGCTTTTCGACGCATGTTTTGAGATAATCATGGTTTATCCTACTCATATTCCAATAACATGTTTTTCGAACCACTCACTTCATCTATGGAACAGTCGCCTCATAAAAATTAGGTTTTCAAAAGGAAAGATTTTTTTTTAAAAAAGCAAATTTCGTGAAGATGTTGCCTTTCTCACTAGTCAAAGTGATAATACGATTTTTTTGACCGCTTTTCTAATATTTTGATAATAATGATGTATTTTGGCTGGTTTTTTTTTTGTGTAGCTTTTTTGGGCTCACCGGGGATGAAAATTTCGAAAGAACGATCCATTGGAGGTGAAAAAAACCTGGCTTTTTTTACTCAAAGAGAAATATTCCGTTAAAATAGGAGTTCCTGTCGAGTCTTTCCTAGTCATGGAGAAAGACGAAATAAGATATTTTTTTATAAGTGTCTATCTGTACTGATAAATAGATTTTTAATAATTGTTTTTTTGATGTTTTTCTGTCTGAGATGTAAAAAAATAGAGAAGTAATCGGGATGGAGGCCAAGTACAATCTCATTAACGCCGGAAAAAAGTGTTGATTGAGGTTCGCCCTGGGTGTACTCTTTGTCGGCGTCTCTTTGGTGCAACTGCAGACGACTGGCGCCGCTTCCCATTTGGCCGGACAGAGGCCGGTCATCGGTTCGACGTCCCGATAAAATCTCATATGCCTTTTTTCGGATTCAGGATTCACCGCCGTGGTGATAGCCTGCTGTCTCTCCGGCTTCGCTGGAATCTACTTTGAAAAAATTCTCAAAGGAGCTGCCCCAGTTTCTCTCTGGATGAGAAATGTGCAAATGAGCGTCTTCTCGATCCCGGCCTCATTTTTCGCAATTTATATGCAAGTGAGGTCTTCACTTGAATTATCTTTATAGTAGAATTACACATCTCGCAAAAATAGCTTGTTTAACGAGTTTTATTCAAATTTTCAAGAAGAAACTAAAAGAAGCTCATAAAAATTGCAGGATAGCGAAACGGTCGCGAAATACGGACTACTGTATGGATTTGATAGTATTGTTTGGCTTACTGTATTGTGGTACGGTATTGGAGGTAAGCTTCATCACAGTTTTTAAAAGTATTTGATCAATTTTCAGATGATTCTCTCTGAAATGACCATTCTCTTAACAAAAGAAAAAATAAATCAGAAAGTTGAAGGAAAGAAAAAAAAAGTGAAGTTTTGCAGGTCTCTCTGTGGCAGTCTGCATCAAGTACGCAGACAACATCGCCAAGAACTTCGCGACCTCGGTGGCGATCATTCTGTCGACGATTGGCTCGGTGTTTCTGTTCGACTTCGTTCCCTCGCTGAGCTTTCTCCTTGGCGCCTCCCTCGTCATCTTCAGTATCTTCCTGTACTCTTCGCACTCCTCCATGGTCCACGCCTTGTCGCGGTTCCGATCCGACGTCCTGAAGAGGGAGACTTTCTGTTTGTAGATGTTTCCATGCTTTAATCTCATGCGGGCGTTTTGTCATTCATTTAGTATTTATTGATGAACCTTTGAAGTTAGGTAACTATTGTTTTTCCTTTTTTGTTCTTTTCGCCGCGTCTTGAAGTACTTTCCTTCGCAAAAGAATGGCTCAACCGCGAACCGATTGCTTTGAGAAGCGCCCGACTTGAAACGACTCCCGCGCACAGTAAAGAAAGAAAACTAATTTTAACCGCAGTGTATTGAGCCTTTCTAATTTCAAGTCGTGTCGAAAAAATACTTTTAGAATTAAAAAATTCTTTTACTTCTTGTGTTTCATTTTCTTTTTCTCAAATAATACGCATTTCCGTCTTAACAGCTCTAATATTTGAAACAAAATTTTTGACAATTTAATCAAATCTCAAAATAATATTCATCAGTTCTCGGTTTTTATACGGTTCCCTTTTCGACGCAATCTTGATAATCTTACTTTCTTTTTTATTTCAAGTGATTGTGTTTCCGGTTTAATTGTGACCCAGTTTATATAATAGTTCTCATGTTTATCGATAATCGATGCTTTCATTTTTTTCAACTGTGATTCCCTCTCTGTTCCTGTGGTTAAATAACAATTTTATGGGTGTAAAGTGAAGATTTTATTTTTAGATTTGTTTTTTTTTTCTGAGTTTTTCGGAAAAGTTGTACCGTTGTTTTATCTTGTAAACCTTTTTTTTTTCAAAAGGAGGAATTTTTCGTATTTGGGAAGCTCTTTTTTTTAAATTGCATAAGGGGGTCATATTTATGGAAGTTATTATACGTCGAGTCTTGAGGGGAATCTTTTTAATTTTAGCGTCTGAAAACTTTCGAGGATAGGCTGGAATTCCAAATACTATGCATGCATACACCCATATGGATGACCTCGAAAAAGGCTTGAGGTTTTGAAATCTCTTATTATTCTTGAAAGGTCATATTAAGGTTCCGTTTAGTCAAAACTGTTTAAGAACTTCAGATCGTTCAGTCACTCCAGGTACATAGAAATTTGCAATCTTCAACATTTTCATAAAATTTGCAAAGATTTTGAGATAATTTTCAGTGGGTTCTGAAGTTGCAACTCAAAGTAGTTTCATTCTGGGACCTTGCGAAGTTCGATATTATTTTTTTTTTTAGGATTCCTCGAAGTTGGATAGTATTCAGAGTTTTCCGGTTAGAAGAGCTAAAAGAAGAAAAAAATATTTGAATCGAAGTAGGACGAAAAGAACTACTCGAGAATCGTATAAACTGAGGGCATGAGCAATTGTGTGCATACGTGTATGATTCGGGGTGTCTGTCCGTTTTGTGCTTCCAGCTGTTGCTGTTTCGCATCTCTGGCGTCTCGTCGCCCCTCGTCCCGTCGCCGTTGGATCCAACGCTTTGATTCTCCCACGAAGTACGCCTTTGACGATGCTTTTTTCCAAAGCTGCCTCTCCATTTCTTGTTTTGTCTTTGTTTTGTATAATCAGTCCGTTCAAAAACGCTTGTTGAAGTCTTTGAAAGCTCAAAGTTAGAAAACTTCATGATAATATAAAACTTCTTGAATTTAAAAGTTGAAAAGCACGATAAATTAAATTTTAAGTACTTCTGATCAATCTGTCAAGTTTCAAAATTATCAAAATGTGAGAAAAATAGTTTTCCTATGAAATTTTTTGTAATCTCACCACACTCTTGGGCTGAATAGCTTCGAGACTGAATTTTCGAAATTCAAAGATTGATTTTGGCTAGGAATTTTTCCCGTGATATCCAGAAATATTTAGAAGAAAAAATAGCGTTAATTTCACTACTTGTGCCTTGAATTCATTTGGTAACTTTTAAAAATTTCGAGGCTTTTCCTTGGTTTCAAACTGAAAACACTCTTTTTTCGATTAGAGCGAAAAGAATGAAATGGCTCTCGATGAGAATTCGGGGGAGAAGAATGAATCATTTGCGGATCTGTTTTTTCGCCCCATTATTCACTCGGTTTCCACTTTTCTTTTCTTTTTTTTGCCGATAATTTGATTTCAAAATTTTTCTAGTGAGGAAGTCCTTTTTCATTCACATTTTGAGAAAGCTTCAAAAACTTTCATTCGGTTGTTTTCGCTGTCTGTTTGGTTTTATAGAATAAATTTGCATTTTTGAGCATTTCACGCTCGAAAAACACAAAAATGTGATCTTCACAGTTTTATAAGTACTCCCTGATTTTTTTGTTATCTCATCCACATTTTTCGGATCTAAAACGAGAATGTTAAATCATAAGAAATTATTTTCCAATGATCTTTTGCTTTTTGAAAACAATGGATGTCATGAAGTTTTTTTCACCTTTCTTGCACGTTACCGAACTGATAAAGCGTCATTTTTATCGATTATCATTGGGGGCAATTCTTCAATCTGAAGAGGAATGACGACAAATTGTTTTTGAAACATTTTCGGGTTGTTCATTGATATTTTGATGTCTTTTTTGTTCACCTCACGTCTCAGATTGTTATAATTTGTTCTAAATTATGATTGAATTGGCAAGTTTGCATTGAATGCAAATCAATTTTTTTTTCAACGATTTTATTTAGCTTCAGGTTTCAGAAAATGAATAGTTATACTACCTCGTTTTTGAAAAATGAAAAAAATTTTCACATGAGCTTTGACCGTCGAAAATTCTCGAAACGCTTTTAAAAACAGTACTTTTCTCCATTTTAGAAATATCTTTTTACAGTGGACAAAGCTTTCGATTTTTGATATCTTGAGCATATAGCGGCGTCGACAGGACCGTGAAATGGCTCTCAAAAATGGTTAGACCTTTGTTTTGGTTCTAAATTGTTTTTATTTTATTACAGGGGACCTGATCAAGTATTCATCTTTAATAGTCTTGGTGGTTCAGAACTGTTCTCTAGTTCTTTGCATGAGATATGCTACCACGGGAAACAGGGCAAAGTTTTTGAAGGTTACTTTTAAGTCCAGACCAAAGTTCATGAACATTTTCAGACAATTTGCGTATTTTTCGGCGAGATTTTCAAACTGTTGGCCAGTCTGCTTCTTGTTATGATCCAGGAGCGCAGCATCAAAAAGTGAGCAGTTCGAACCGAAATATAAACAAAAAATTTTTCTGTTGGAAGAATTTCTTTCTTAGGAAAAAATGCAGAGTTATAGTAATTTGGGAGTTTGTCTGGAAAAGAAGACATTTGCTTCGAATTGAAAGAAAAAATCATCATTCTAATATATTTTCCAGGGGCTTTTGGGTTGTCTATGATCAGTTTTTCAATCACTGGCGCGACGCGTTGAAAGTTAGTTCAATATCTGAAAAATTGAAAAATAAAAGAAGATTTGAAGGTTTTGGTCCCGGCAGCCGTGTACACTGTGCAAAACTTCTTGCTTTATGTGGCTGTGGAAAATTTGCCAGCCGCTACTTATATGGTTCGTTTTTTCTCAGCTAAAAAAGTTTTCTTTTTTCACGAAAATCTGAGCTTTTTCGAGTGTTGCGCTCTCTTGTTCCATTCCCAGTTCGCTTGATACTTGGGAAAAAAAAAAGTTTAAAAGCCACTTTAAGGTGTTTGAAATTTTATTGGTCACTATAATATTCGAATTAGTGGCCACTTAAGCGGCTAAAATTTAGTGGCTTTTTTATAAGTCTAAGTGGGACTATTAGACCACGAAAAACTCCTATAGTGGTTACTAACCCAAAAAATAAGGACTTTCATAGAAGTGCTTTCAATAGCCACTTTAATGTCTTCTTCAAGCAGTCCTTGAGGAACCTCTTAAGCGGCCACTGGAGTTTTCTCAATATTTCGTAAATTTTATCCTTTTTTCTTATTTTTATTACTACAACACCTCTCGGACGATCGTATGCTTTTAGTAAATTCTTGACAATTCACAGTTTTTTTTGGCGCCATCAAAATAAGCTTTTGCAGGTGACCTACCAGCTGAAGATCTTAACGACAGCCGTTTTCACAGTTCTCGTCCTGAAACGGAAACTTTCGTTGCAACAGTGGCTGGCTCTTCTCATTCTATTCGCGGGAGTCGTTGTTGTTCAATATGTGAGTTTTCAACAAATTAGTGCGTTTAAATCGAATTTGAGGACCAAAAAATTTCGGATGATCGGGCCAAGGAAGCCGCAAAACCTTCTGGAAGTGTTTCTTCGACTTTGGCGCCTGCAATCAACCCGACTTTTGCCTCAATTGTGAGCTTTTCTTCATTTTAATACAGATAGTTTTGGTCTTAATATTCATTCTAATTTTTGCAAACTGCAGGTCCCGGAAAACTCCACGATGGCTGAAATTCTGGAGCAAGTCAACGTCAGATCGAAACGTGATACCCACCAAGACCAGAATTCCATCCTCGGTAATATTTCTCTCAGAATATTCACCTAATTTTTAACTTTCACAGGTTTTATTGCTGTCCTTATCGCCTGCTTCTTGTCTGGCTTTGCTGGAATCTACTTTGAGAAAATCTTGAAAGGTGAAAAGTTTCATCGGAGTAGGATAATCTTGTCCTGAAACATTTTTTTATTAGTTGTGTGAAGCGAATAGGATTCTTTGAGAGGGAAATTAAAGAAATTCGGATTTTAAGAATATTTTTTTGATGTAATGAGCTTGTTTGAAGATATTGATATAATATTTGAAAGTGAATAGTTTAGGATCTGATGTGTCTATCTGGGTCAGGAACATTCAACTCGCCTTGCCGTCCATCTTTTTCGCCTTGCTTTTTTTGCCTTTGTGAGTTTTTTTGGGGGGATTAAGAGCAGATGTCTAGTAGGATATTTGTACGGAAATTGGCTCCGAAGATCAATCGATTCATTTTTCTTTTGAAGCATATCCGTTAAAGATAAACGCAAATATCAGAAATTTTTAATCTTTATCTGAACATTTCACTTTATTCTGAAACAGTAGAAAAACAAAGTTTAATCATTATTTTTTTTAGGCGGTTCTGTCGGAAAGCTTTTTGAAGTCAATTAAATCGGTCTTTGATGAACTAAATTAAAAATCCGGGCAGCTAAGTCCGGCAAAATTTATCATTGTTTTTTTCAAAAAAGTTAACTCGTTAGTCGCTTGCCTAAACTCTTAGAAAAAAGAATCATAGATTCAAAAAGAGTTGAAAAACTGGCCGCATACTGTAGACTTCCAAGAGCTTCATCTGGTGAAAAGCTCTATTTTCGGTCAATCTTCAGATATTTCCAAAGTCGAGTATAACGACCCTTTTTTCCTTTATTCCTTCAAACGACAATCTTATAACAATTTTTCAAGGTAAAAGACAACGAGAAGATCTTTTCTGACGGAATCAACCCGGCATCGATTTGGGACCGCATGATGCACGGCTTCGACTGGGCCGTCTGGCTCACGGTCTCCATTTCGGCCTTCGGAGGTCTTGTCGTCGCCGTCGTCATCAAATACGCCGACAATATCTTGAAAGTGATTCCACGTTCTTCGAAAAGATTCTAGAAGCCTTCATTTTGAGGCCTTTGCAACTTCCTTCGCCATTGTGCTGAACTGCGTGGCCGCCTACTTCCTCTTCAATTTCCAGCCGACGTTCCTCTTTTTGCTCGGCGCCACGGCCGTCATCTCCGCCGTTTTCGTCTACAGCATGTATCCCTATCGGTGAGAATTGTTTATGTTAGGTTACGTCGAAACTGAAATGCTTCCCTCTTCTGACAGGCAAAATCCTATATCCCTCTCAAAATAATCACACAAGTGTGGCAAAATCGGCTCAAGTTGTTATTTTAAGGCATCCGATAGCTTTCCAGGGTTTTTAATACTAACTTAATTTTTTTAAAAATCAAAGTTAAGCATTGGTTCAGCAAACTTTTAAATAAGTCTAGAAGAGTATATCTTAAAATGGATCCATGATGACCTGTATTTAAGTCAGTTCGAGTAGAATTTTTTAAGCACGGTTCGAATTGAATGCTAACTTTCTCAGTTGAGTTTATGTTATTGCAAATATTGAAATTTAAAAATGATAAGAATTGAAATCTAATTTTTTTTTTTTCTGAGTGGAGGGCTGTAGAAATTAACCGGGTTCTTCGAAAATATTCAAATGGATCTATTTTTAGCGCTGCTCACCAGCCGCTACCGACAAGTGCCGCAGAAGCTTCGAAAGCCGAAGAAATGCAATTGGTCGAAACAAAAAAATAAGCCATGGTTTTTTTCTGGTTTGTGCCTTCTTCTTGCATTTTCTAGAAGTTGTTAAATTGAGGATAGCTTTATAATTTTTTCAAAATGGTGTTATATAACCTTTTTTTCCTCAGGTTTTTTTGTTTCACTTGTATTATCTGCAACTTGTATTATCGTCTGTCAAATGTCTCCAAATGCTGTTCTCCGGGTGACTGCCAAAGTTTTTCACGACATAAGTTTTAGCCGAAGAGAAAACATTCCTATGATTGCTTTAGATTCATTAATAAATATATGTTTATCGCTGATGTTGAGGTTTTTTCAGAAGTTGAAGGAAGAAAGATGTTTGATTTTGGGTTTTTCTATTGAAAAAAAATAACGATTCAAGTCTGGGTCATTAAATAAAGCTTTCTTACCGTAAACTTACGTTCCTTTCGAATCTAAACTCGAAAGCGGCCGTAGACACTTTTTCAGAAAGTTATGATCGCTCCATGTTGGAAAAAATCAACCTTCTCATTTTTTGTTTTTGTTTCCTCGAAAAAAATTGATGGTATCAATCTGGCAACGAGAAATGACCTCTATTGAAGAATAATTTTTCCCATTTTGCGTCGCCAGAACTTTAAAAAATATCTTGGTGGCGGTTTTTGGGTTTGTGTTTTCAACGTAGAAATCTAGCGATATCTCCTCCACGAGCCCCATTCTAAATTCAGAATGAAATTCCGTAAGCTGTTGCGATCGTGTATACCCAGGAAGTGTTTCGTTCAAAATATTATCGACAGAACTTTAGTTTAGATGAATAAATGGAAATATGCGGATGAAGCAGCTGATAGGCACGTCCTAGAAGCCGAGAAAAGAGGCTTATTATCCGTCGGATCAGCAAAATCGACACCTAAAGCCGGATGAGCGAGAGCCGACGTAGCCGGCCGTCGGCCTCGCCAGTCTGTTTTTCTCCTAACTTACAGCTCAACTCTCCTTGAACTTCGTAATAAATCATTTCCTTCGGCCAGTCTTATGGTACGATTTCAGCGAATCCTGTGAGATCTGACTCAAAAATGTCGGACTTTCCGTTGGGGCTTCTTCTTGTTGCTTTCTTCTGCCTTTTTGGGGTGGAAAGTCAACGAGGGACCAGCGAGAATATCTTCAAAGACCCTTTCCGTCTGAAGAGAGACGACGAGAACAGGTCGTCCTACACGCAGTTCGACGTCGCCGCCAAACTCGAAGTCAATAAGCAGAAGAAGCGCGTCATCAGAATCGGTCATCTGGGAGCCGTTGGTTGGTTTTCAGTTGATTTTCACTTTGTTAGAACTGAAATTGAGAGGTGACAGAAAAAAGGGAGTTTCTGAAAGGCTTGGAATATTATAAGAGTAAAAGGAGAGCTATTCGCACCTTTTTTAGAGGAACGTTTGAAAGAAGCTTTACCTCCTGTTTTTTTTTTCGGCGCCATGATTAAAAAAGAGGAATAGCACATAAAAAGCGCTGACAGATCAGGCCTTTCCAGCTTGCTGAGTGAAGCGATTCCAAGATTTCATAATCCTGTAGAAGCTCCCACCTAAAGTTCCCACTTAGGAGTGATGCCGAACGACGCCAAAGTGCTGAACATCAGCAAGCAAACTCTGAAGGATGACAACCTTATCGGAGAGGACATTGAGTTTGAGTGAGATCTTTTTTTCACAAGTACGATCTTCGGAAGACAGGAGAATTTAAAGGATAATCTCGCGACAAACGTGCAGCGAGGCCTTCGAGGGAGTCGCCGTCGCCGCGGAGATGTACCACGTCCACCAAGTCCGAGCTTTTATCGGCCCTTACTGTACTTCAGGTCTTCAGATCTGTTTGTTCTCGTTGACGACCATTTTTCGCAGAACTCGAGGCGGTGACGAAGATGGCGACGTTCTGGAACATCCCAATCATCTCCTATTCCAGTGCTACCAACACCTTGTCCGGTAATTTCAGAAGCTTCATAAATCTTTCGGCAATGGAAAAGACTTGATCTTTTTTTTTTGGATCGGTTTTTTTAATCTCAATTATTTTTTCCGTCTGGCAAATGCTTTCTGATCCACATTAGGCTGAATTTGAATCTTCAGAATTTTCCTCTTGCCCATTGATATGCAAAGTGTTACAGCTGTGCGCGATAGTATTAACAAAAAAGCGAAAAAAAACTACAAGAAAAAAGATTGAATTACAAAAAAAAAGAAAGTATATATTCATAATGAGAGTGTTAGAATGGATAAGCTCAAACAGTGATCTTTGGTCAGAAGTAGAAAAAATCGTGGTTCTGGTGAAGTTGGTCTGATTTTATTTATTGTGTAAGTGATTTTGTGTCATACCAAATCATTTTCAGCCTTTTTTTCAAAGTTTGAAGGCTCCGGGGAATGTTTTTCAACTTTTATCACCACTTGAAAAGCTTTTGAAATTGTTTATCTATGATGAAAGAAACCGGTCAACTCAGAAAAAGTTTCAGATAGGAACGTTTACAAGACGCTGGCTCGCATTTCATCGAAAAATTCCAACTCTTTTGCTCAAGCCACCGTGGCCATGCTACAGCACTACAAGTGGACGAAGGTGCTCGCAGAAAAAAATATATTGAAAAGTATTTTCTTCAGGTTGGAATCGCAACGAATACGGGAAGCGCGGCTTATGACTTGGTCCAAGTTTTTGAAGATGTATTCCATCGTGTCGGCATTGATATCGTCAAAAAGGTTGGAACTGAAAAGGCCTTGGTTGAACTTCTGATGGGATTCCAGAACTTAGAAAAGAATCCCTCCCAGCAAGTCTTTTTTGGGTAATGCCTTTCTAAATTTCGAAAACTGGGAAAGAAAACTTTATGTGAGGATTTGGAAGCTTGAAACTTGCAAAAAAGATCCATCGCAGGAAAACTTTTTCTTGTTCTAGAATCAGGAGAATTAAACGTCAACCAAGCTCCCTCAAAGGTTGACCCAGATCCAAAAAGTTCCCTAGTAAATTAATAAAATTTCAAATAAAACGCATCAGGTGATGTTCGAAGAGAACGGCGACGCCAACGAAATGATCCGCTCCGGGCTTCTTTCCGAACTTTCCAACAATGCACGAGGTTTGTTTTAGTCCAAAGAATATTCAGCGAAAACGGTTTCCAGTGATAATTTGCTTGTTTTCCTCGACTCGCGAACTTTCCAAGGAATTCATGCAAGCCACTTTCACGCTTGGAATGAACAACGCCGAGTACGCCTACATATTTCCCTGGATGCAGTTTGGCCCTAAAGTAAACATTTAAGTTTCTAAACAATATTATGGGAAAAAATCATGGCAAAACTTGCTGTTCGAGTTTCAAAAAGCTTGCGCTGAGAAAAAATATAAAAGTTGATCTCTTTCCATCAAAAAAGCGGAATATAAAAAGAATTCGAAGCGAAGAGTTTTGTTCTTATTTGGGTGAAGTGGAAATTCCTCGGACCTTGGTAACGCGAACGGGACGCGAATCTGCTTTGGGCACTTCTAGTGACCACTTACCACTTTAGTAGCCACAGGACTATTAAGGAATCCCTAGAATCGCCCAGAAACTTCCGGAGCACGTCCGTTTCGCGTTATTAACGTCCGAGTTAGTTTGCTGTACCTTATATTTGTTCTTGTAAGCAGGACTCACTCCTGTTTCTTCGAATATTTCAGCAAGCTACTATTAATAGACCAAAAAAGTGAGGCCTGAAAGAGAGATGAACATTTATTATTTTTTTTTCTAAAATTTTTCTTTCACTGCATGGAGAACTCGATAGGAAACGACTCCCTGGATCGGCGCCAACGGCGAAACGCTGCAGTCGGTGAAGGACCACTACGCCAATGCCATCATCATTGATGACGTCAACGGGTTCGACGACACGATCGTCCCAACTTTTCTCAAGAAAGTCGAGGACTATGGCATGAAGCCTGATGATATCGACACTGTGAGTGACATTTATTCTTTTTTGGCATTATTCTTCAGAGGCAATAAGAAAACATTTTGAGTCCAAAAAACATCGAAAAAGTAAACAAAAATTGAGAAAATACATCTATACAATGTGACTGGGAGACTGTATAAGAGGTATTGGAAATAATTGAACTTGATTTTGAATTGAATTTTCAAAAAAAATATTCACGTTGCAGACCAATATTTACGGATACCTGCATCTGTATGATTCACTGCGACTTTACGCGTTGGCCGTCAGAAAAGTTCTCAACGAAACGAAAAATGAAGCTTACGTCATAAATGGCCAGCATGTCTGGAATCGCATGCGTCGGATGAGCTTCGAAGGTTTTTCGATTAAATGTTTTTCAAGTAAAAGAAAAGCTTAGGAGTCGTTACAAGGGCTCAAGAAGGAAGTGACAAGGAATCTGGAACCATTGGGACTGTTCTGATGGACGACGTGGCCGATCGAGCTCCCATCTTTGCGGCTTTTTATATTTCTCCGAATCGGTTGGAAAATTACGCGTCTGCACGTCTTTAAAAAAAAACATTTTTTTTTTCCGAAAAAGAAAGTTTTCGGGCTCTAGCCATGAATGTTGAATTTGTAAATCAAGCGGTAAAAAGTTTCCTGATGATATCCCGAAAATTCGCCTAATATTAACCTTTTCTAAAAGTTTTCAATAATTAGTGGGACATTTCTTAGAAAAAAATACCCTTTTTTTGAAGTGAGGAAGAAATTCTCCCGGATACTCAAAAACAATTCGAGAGAATTTAATTTAAAATATATCCTCTTGAAAAGTTCGAATGTATAATATTCAAGTGATCGCGTGATGAGAATGGTGAACATGGAGAGCGAGCTGATCCCCAACTGCGATGGACTAAAAAACAGAAGCGGTTGTTTCGTTTTGGTCAGATTTTACAGCAAGAATGAATAAAAAAAGGAAAGATTACAGAAACTGACTGACGTCATGAGTGGATTCTGGCCGAGTGAAAATGGACAGATGCCCCTCGACGAGCCGTTGTGTGGTTATCGAGGGCAGAAGTAAGAAAATGTTGCTGAACCTTTTTTCATGAATTTTCTTTCCAGGTGCAGCTACTTGCTGGAGATCAGCGCGGGAGCTCTTTTGATTGCTTTTGTCGTCCTTTCTGCCGCCGCTTACTTTCTTTACCGTTTCTGGTACCTAATTTTATGCTTATCGTCATCGACAAATAATTGTTACAATCCGTTTTACATGAGTTATAATTCAATTTTCTCGGCTTCAAGCGGCGGTATGCGGCATTCGCAGTTCATATGCGAAGCGGTTGCGATGCGTTTGGTGGAAATTCAAAGTTATCCCATTAGTAAGAGCCTTATATAGCTGATTCACGGCTAGCTTGGAACGCTGAGGGGCGTGTCCTGTCTGCGCTCTCCACGAGCCAGGCGCTGTTTCGTGCATTATCGTGTCAGGACCATTTTTTCGATGGCTCAAGCCAGCCGTGTATTCGCTATACAAGACATCATTTTTTTGGATTTTTAAAAGACATTTTTCAAAATTTAAGAGGAATAGCTGTTTTGGTTGGTGAACAAAGCCGTTCCGGTTTTAGCTCATTAAAATACAAAAAAAAAATTGTTATAGAACATTGTGAACCACTTGATCTCTAACTTTTCCAGCGAGACTCGACAACTGGACAAAATGCCATGGCGCATGTTCCACGACGACATTCAGTTCATCGACGAGGAGCAAGTCAAATCCATGGTTATTCCAATTTCGATATTTCCTTGAATCAAAATCACGTTTCAATAGACTGAAAATTTCAATATCTCAGATGTCGATTGGATCCTCAAGTACGAAGCTGAGCAACATGAAGACTGGCCAAAAACGGCATGCCATTATTGGAATCAACACTCACGCTACGTATCACAAGTACCAAAAAAAAAAAATCAAAAAAACGTTTCCTTTCACATTTTTTCAGGTATCCTCAAAGGAGACCCATCAAGTTTGCCAGAGATGACCTTCAACTTCTCACCCAGGTAAAAGGGACAACTTTTCACCTTTAATGGAGGCAAAAATAAGATGAAACAAGCGGTGCACGACAACCTGAACCCGTTCCTCGGAATGGCGTTCAACGAGAAAGAGGAAATGCTCATTTTGTGGAAGTTTTGCAGTCGAGGAACGATTCAGGTTCCGTTAAAACGGTCTTCTGGCGAAAAATGATTACTTAGGACATTATCTACAACATGAACGTGGTTCTCGACGAAAAGTTCCATGCGGCGTTCGTCAGGGACATTACCTTGGTAGATGGATAGAACAGAGAAAAGTTAAAGAAGAATTAATTTGAAGGGTCTTGAATATTTGCATGCTTCTCCAATCGGCTACCATGGCTCGTTGACCCCTTGGAGCTGTTTGATCGACAGAAATTGGATGGTGAAATTAACCGATTTTGGGATTGGTCCGTCTTTGAGAAATTCAAAGGAAAAAAAAATAGAATGGGAGTTTCTTTCTCCCATCCTGTAGTTTACTGTTAGAGTTGGAGAACTTTAATTGCACTTGAACTGAAATAACTATAAATTCCGTTTGGTTATCCAATACCCTGACTTGATGAATATTTCAACTTCACATCGTATTTTTTTGACGATACCCCGCCCGAAAATCTCGTAATTTATGACGTCTTTGGTGCATACCCAGAACGGCGCTAATTCGAATACTCAGTAAAATCGAAAAGGAATTTTTTTCTAAAATAAAATCCCTGTTTTGCTTATTTTTGATAATTTTCAGCGAATCCACTCGAGAGGTGGGAAAAATCAGGTGCAATAACCATCGAAACCCTCAAGGATGACGAGGACAAGTCGCAAGCCTCCCAGAAAACTTGTAAAGATTTTCGAAATAAACGAAAATAAATTGCAAGTTACAGCCGTACTATACAGTCCGCCAGAACTTTTGAAAAATCGAGAGGCAAACCGACGGCGCGGCTTCGAACAGTCCTGGGTCCGACAGTCGCAGGCCCGGCGGCAGTCCGGCGACATATATTCCTTTGGAATGGTTTGTGTGAAGCTTTTCCGTCATGAGCTCAGGACTCCCGGTCCAGGAATATTTTTTTGGACCAGTAAAACATGAATCTTTTAAAAAAAAATATTTGAGGTTAGTTAGACCACTAGTCGACGAGTCATTTTTAGAGTCTAACCAACCTGGTAAGATTGGGGAAATTCAGGTGTAAAAGACATTTAATTAATTGGAAAGGCCGTGAAACAATGGCCCAGAAAAGTTTGAATTTGTTTTTCAGGTTCAACAGTTAATCCTTTTTTCTCATTTCAGGTAATGTACGAAATCTTATTCCGAAGCCTGCCATTTAGGAACAATACGGATATTAATGGTAGCCAATATTATTCCGGAGAAAAAAAAAGGTTTTTTGAGAGCTTTGCGAGCTCATCGCCGATGGAACGAAGAACGTCGCTCCAGAGATTCAGAACCAGATGAGCCTTCACCCGGATCTCAACGCTTTGCTAAGGTTTGATGAGGGAAATTTAACGAACGCGCTTTGATTTTTTGTAGTTTAAAATATCAAGGTATTCAAAAAATGATCAAAATCGGTTAAGTTCAGTGGTTTTTTTCGGAATAGCAGACCTTATTTGAACTTTTTTCAAAAACCCCACATTTGGCCATTGGGAGCCCATTTCATTAGAGAGTTTGAAATGCGATGAAAAGTTACTCGAGAATCCCATGAAAGTGTAGACAAAAATACCTGTGCAAATTTTTTTGAGATCATGAATTCTCAAAGTTTGCGTTTAGACAGAGTTAGGCTTGAAAGTAGTTTTTCGCGAGTTTGAAAATTCATAAATCTAAAAATAAGATTTGCGCAGGTAGCCAGGGCAAATCCAAAACCTTCAAGGAAGGTTTCGGCAAGTTTATGGAAAATTACGAAATTCCTAAAATTGCCATGTGAGCCTAAAAAACCAAACTTTTTCACGACGATTTTTTCAAGCAAAAAAAAGAGAGAAACTTAAAGAGATTGCTGGAGCGACAATCCAGAAATCAGACCTTCGATTCGACGCGTGCGCCTCAACACGGAGATGATCCTGAAGACGTAAGACGAATCAATATTGAAACTGCAAAGATTGGATTCAGAAAAGGGTCTCTGGTAGACCAGATGATGAGAATGATGGAACAGTACGCGAATAACCTGGAGAAACTCGTCGCCGAAAGGACTGGAATGCTCGAGGAGGCCAACATCCGTGCTGATAAACTTCTCAGCCAGCTACTGCCACAGTACGGCTTCTCATATATATTATCAAGCCCTTTGGCTTGTTCATGCCCTGAAAATGTTTGGTCGATATTTCATAGTATCATGGAAAAAAGAGCTTGTTTTTCACGAGAAAGCTGATAACTTTTCAAGATATGTCGCGAATGAACTGAAAATGGGCCGATCCGTACCTCCAAAGCTCTACTCCTCGGCCACCGTTTTGTTCTCGGACATTGTCGGCTTCACTACGATTTGCTCCAGTTCTTCTTCCATCGAGGTTCAACGTGAATGGATTTCCCTATTAGGTGGAAGTTTTATTAGGTCGTCAACATGCTCAACGGTCTTTACACTGGTTTTGACGAATGCATCACCAAGAACAATAGCTACAAGGTTTCCGGAAATGGTTCATTTTATTTGAAGACTAAAGAAAACAGGTTGAAACGATCGGCGACGCGTACATGGTCGTATCAGGAATCCCGGAGGAAAATGGAAACTTCCACACGAAGAACATCGCCAATATCGCCTTGGACATGAGACAGGTAAAAAAAGTAGAAAAAAGAAATTTTAACGGATAAGAAAAAGAGTTTTTTTTGTCGCATCTTATCATTTGATCTCTGCAGTACCTGACTTCGTACCAAATTCCCCACCGGCCGAAACATCGGATCCGCTGTCGCTGGGGCTTCCACACGGGAGCCGTCGCGGCTGGAGTCGTCGGCCTCAGTTCGCCACGATATTGCCTTTTCGGAGACACGGTTTTGAACTGTTGTAGAAAAGAAATGGAAAGTCTTGAAGGTGAACGTAGCGTCACGAATGGAGTCGAGCGGCACCCCGGGAATGATTCAGATGAGCGAAGAAGCGCACGAACATCTCAGAAACTATCATCCGCAGTTCGTGACCAGCGAACGCGGTGATGTCGACATTAAGGTGCGATGTTTCATCAATCATCTAGATAATTTGAAGTAGAAGATGGGAGAATCTCTGAAAACTATGCTTAGATTTTGCCATTAGTTTGAGATTCAGTTCTAGAAAAAGTGTCCGAAAAAAATGTTCAATTTACGAAAATCTAGATATTTTTTTATCAATTCTCGGGGTAAATCGATTCGTAAGCCAAAAAAATTTTTTTCCAAGGGTTCTTAAAGTTTCTATGCTGGTTTTTTTATAAAATTTAAATTTGGATTTTTTTCACGCATAAATTTACCTTCGATCTCAGATGTGTATCTCCTTGAAATTGGAAATTTCTTAACAGAAAAAAAAAGAAAATAAAAAACTTTTTATTTTCTTCATTTTTCTCGCGAAAACTTGATGTTTTTTTTCCTGACCACTTCATAATTGCATGCTTGAAACTCCATTCAAAGCTGTCATTTAGGGTTTTATTTTATAATTACGACTTCAGGTGAGTTAGTAGTTTCGAACCGGAAATTTGTGAGAATGGTCAGGTTTTCAGCCACTTTTTAGAGGAAGTAGCGTCGATTTTCGCGAGACCTTGAACGATTGATAATTATCATAGCATTTTGTCTTCCTAATTTTCAACTTTCAGGGAAAAGGAACTTGTCGGACTTTCTGGCTGGAGGACCGCGAAGGCGACAAATCCACGGCAAACTACATTTCGAGCAACTCTGGTCTTTGATTCCAATTTTTCGTGCGTCCTTTTCAGTATCATATCAAGATTCAAACTTTAAACTAATATTATCTGAACGCAAATTTCTTTCGTTTCCCTCAAGACTTGATGGACATTTTAATAAAGTTAGATAGCTGAAACGAGAGAGATATCTACAAAAAATTGGAGATGATTTTTTCCAAGTATGCATTCAAACAATGCTGAATTGTACTAATTATTGACTACCTTTCTTTCAAATAATTTAAAAAAATACTCTTCTATGACCAGCAGTGTAAATAATGACCACAGTTTTGAGGCTCGTTTTTTTGACCCTCCAGTTAATCGAACGAGTAAAACTGGTTGAATTGCTGATTAGATTATCGAATTAGGAGTTTAAAACTGTTTCAATTTGTAAAAGATGATTTCACTATTAAGCAATCATATCTTGCTGGTCTTTTGTATACACAAGTTAGGCAGAAAAAACTGATGGAGTTTTATTTTCACCTGCAAATTTCTCCAATCAAGTCAATGAGCTTCCTTCTCAAAACCAGATCCGCAACACAAATCAAATGTCTTTATATGTTTTCTTAAAAAAATCCAAATCTTTCTCGCATGAATCTTTATTTACGACAAATCTAAAGCTAGCACAAAGTGCATGTTTAAAATACAACTTTGAGATGTAGAAAAAAAGGCAGTACAGTACACGTTTCGCAATTAAAAAATTGTTTGCTGGTGGGATTCCGATGTTTTTTAAAAACACAACTGAGTGAAGTGGTGGTTTAATAGCAGTTACCCGTTTGTTTTTACAGTTTATGCTCGGTATCCAGAGTTGGTAGATGGAGCTGGCGCTGGAGCAGACTCTTGCTCAGCTGGCGCGGCTGGCTCCTCAGCTGGAGCTGGAGCTGGTTCTGGGGCAGAAGCGGCTTCTGGAGCGGGGGCAGCGGCGGCGGCTGGCTCATCTCCGTACGAGTTCTGGGCTCCTCGCTTGGCGCGGTATCCAGAGTTGGTGGATGGAGCTGGAGCAGCCTGAGCGGATCCCTGGTCAACTGGAGCGGCTGGCTCCTCAGCGGGCGCGGCTTCAGCTGGAGCTGGAGCGGCTTCTGGGGCAGCAGCGGCGGCTGGCTCATCTCCGTAAGAGTTCTGGGCTCCTCGCTTGGCACGGTATCCAGAGTTGGTGGATGGAGCTGGCGCTGGAGCGGATTCTTGCTCGGCTGGCGCAGCTGGCTCCTCAGCTGGAGCTGGGGCTGGTTCTGGGGCCGCGGCGGCTTCTGGGGCGGGGGCAGCAGCGGCGGCTGGCTCATCTCCGTACGAGTTCTGGGCTCCTCGCTTGGCACGGTATCCGGAGTTGGTGGATGGAGCTGGAGCAGCCTGAGCGGATCCCTGGTCAACTGGAGCAGCTGGTTCCTCAGCTGGAGCTGGAGCTGGTTCTGGGGCTGAGGTGGCTTCTGGAGCTGGAGCGGCGGCGGCTGGTTCGTCTCCATAAGAGTTCTGAGCGTCTCGTCGGACAACTGAAATGAGATTTTCTTTCAAAGACCTCTTCCAGTAGGCTTACCAGAACGAGCGTTGACGGCAGCGAGGACCGCGAAGGCGATGAGGAAGAGTCTCATGTTACCTGCAATCATCCGATGTGAATCTTTTCGGATTTTAGTTCTTTAAATATTGAAAAAAGCGATCGAAAAGAAAGAGTACTGAAGAGAAGTGGAGACTAGTTCAAACATCAGTGAGAGAATGGTCAAGGCTTTGCAAGCAAGTTCGAACAAACATAATGAGAGAAAATCTAAGTTTAAGAAGGATAGGGAACTTGAAGGACGGAAAATATTTTCGGGAGAAAAGAGAAGTCATCGCAAAGAGCGAAGTGGTCGGTGTTGTCTTGGTGTTTGCCATTTCTGGCCTTTATATACCGGACCGTTTTCCAGCTACCAACGCCTCTGCCCTCCCCTCAAAACTTTTTTGGACGTTTTTCTACCAATGTGCCAATTTACCTTAGCAATGGTGGAGAGTGGCAGACGACAAGAAGAAGCGAGAGAAGAGCGCTTCTTGCCATTTTCTTCTCTGAGAAAACGGCCGTCGGCGCCGCCCCATTCGGAAAAGGCTCAAGCACTAGAATTTTGTTCCGTGTCGATGGTTTGGTTCGGAAAGTTTTCGAAATTTGAAATGAGAGTTCGAAGAGAGGAAAAAGAAAAATCTCAGAATTTCACAGATAATCAGTCATTCGGTCAGTCAATGAACCTTGGAAAATCAGAAGAAAGACGAGGAAAAATAGTTCACATTCAAATATACATACATTGTAAATTGAAGACAAGATTCAAGTAATAATGGATCAGATTTCAAATTAAAAAAAAAGAGAAAAAGTCCGGCTGAGTATAGCGATTTGATGCGCGTAACGCGAGATAGAACCTGAATATTTATAAATTGTAACAACAATCAATAAGAAATGTCCTACAAACAAAGTGCAATCGTGTCACGAAAGTTCATCTCGTGTTCGTGAGAAAATTGTTAATTTTAGGTCATGACAGGTGTTTTCCAACTACAAACAGTTGCACTAATGACATATTTAGTTTCTTTTTTGCGGGACTTGTGATCAAAAAATTTCAAGTGCGTTTCATTTGAACTAATAATTCCTTGCTGAAAAAAGTCCAGATAAGTTCTCGAACTTGAAAAAGAAATCGTATTTGTAGTAGATTTAGAAAAGTGTTGCGAAATCATTCTGACAAACGGATGTTCGAAAGATCCCTGAATATTTTCAGGGGAAAAAAGTTTGAGTAAACTTCATTTTTAAGAAGAAAATTTTGTCTGCCAAGCAAATTTTCGCGAAAAAGTTTAATCTACAAGAAAGTTAGAACTCTTCGTTGTCCTTCGAGTCTTCTTTCTACAAGTTATTAGATTTTTTTTAACGTCAACCAGTTAAGCTTTATTGCCATGTTTAAGCAATGCGAGAAGGTTTTTAAGCTTCGATTCTTCATTTCCATGTTCCTTGTCTCGAAATAAGTTTGAGAATGAGGTAACTTTGTAAGTGTATTGTTGTATCGGTGCACGTGAACTTTCGGCCGATGAAAGTCTCCATTTCGATTAGATCATGTTCTCGTCCTCAATCGGTCACACTAGGACCTTCCTCGGGTCCGAGAGACCACAAAGAGTTGACTTTTTCCTTTTCAAAAACTGTTACAACGGAACTGATGCCAATCGCTAGCCACTCGCCAGATCTTTTCTCTGCGGCACTGCCTTCGGGTTCGCAGTTCCCCTCCAAAAAAAAGTTGCGTAAAAAGTTTTCTGAACTTAATTCGATTAAGCCCATCTTTTCATTGGGCGTCTCTCAGCGTATTTCAAGGTTTTCGATCAAAGATCCCGAGGACCAATACTTTGGCGCACAACGAGTGAAAGTAGTTCGAAGAATTCATTCTTCGTCAGCAAAATCGCCCGTTCGGTTGTCGTTGACACATCAGCTTGGAAACTTGGAGGCAGAAAACTGTACCTCGTCGGTTTCTTGACGAAAAACGGAAATGACACGAGCTTTTTGTACAATCTCACAAAGGGACAGAAGGACGTTCAACTGTTTAAAAAATTGTTCGAAGAAATTGCCAGTCTTTTTTTGAAATCGACTTCAAATACGGCGATGAAAAATTTGCTTCCTTTCGTAATATTTTTTTCTTCAAAAAGCTCCTATTAAAAAAATTAAAAAGTGGGAATGTTTGACCTTTTTTTATCAATAAAAAAATTAACATTTCAAAATGAAGGTAAATTCTTTCGTTTTTTAATTCGAAACCACAGAAAATTCCAAAATTCAGATTTGATTTCTAAACAAAAAAACGAAGACGGAAACAATGCTGTAAATTTGCCAATTTTCAAAAATAGCTTGTCGATTAGATCCCTAGTAGAAATTTAGTTTATTATTTCACGTGAAAAGGAAAAAAACGAACTTCCTCAGATCCTTTTCAATTGGAAAAAAAAGTTTTTTTGCCCTTGATGCATTCAATTTCGCCTCAAAATTAACAAACCATTTTTTTAGATCGATTTATGCGAGATTCTGTCATTTTTTTTTATTATCCTTGGATTTTCGGAGTGTTGAACACAGTGCGACAGTTTTTGAATTTGATTCAAATTTTTGCATGAGTTCGTATTTAAATGAATGTGCCATTTGCTCTTCGATTTGCTATGCGAACAAAAAATCAAAACCATCCCATTAATTTTTCAGGAAAGTTATTTATTGGGTACATTTTCAACGACTCTAGGCGTTTCTGTGAGAAGAGACGTTGTTACACCTGTTCTTTCCTGCAATTTCGATTCCTCCCGTTCGCCTGGACAACTTCTTTGTAATACTTCTCTATGCGAATGGTTCCGAGGAGGATGGTTTAATGAGAGATAATTTTTCATCATTTTCTCATCAGACAGTCTTTTCTTTTGTATTCTGGAGACTACCAAAGAACGTTGAAGCAAGGTGCAAGAAAATTAGGTTTCGGTCAGATTCCTTGAAGGCAAATGGCGCGTTTACATTGTCATGTAAAAAATAGAAGTTTGTTTGATTCAAGTTTGTTGCCGGAAATGTGCCAAAGAGCGGCAATAATAGCACTTTCAAGGCGACGACCCTGAACGGTGGGCCAAGTTTTCCACTCTTTATGCGTTTTTCGAGAAATTCTCGTGGTTTCGAGTGCAAATTGAAGTTTTTGGTTGTGTGAGGGGCTATTAGGAGCGCCTCAGCGAATTTGTAAGGTCGTTCTTTTGAACCGTGGTTTTAGAATTGTTGGTTGGGGACAGGCAGAAATTGAAGAGAAGGATGCTAGAATCAAAAAAAAAGGATAGCGATTTTTTTTTTCATTTTTTTTAAACACAGAAACAAAAAACGGTACTGAAAAAATTATTTTTCATATTTTATTTGCGAAACGAAGGCGCTGCCTTTTACCTGATGCCTTACTTTCAAATTCTATCATTTTTTAAAATTTTAATTATTCAAGTTTTAAGCGGAAAACGCGTTTCATGAATTTGAAACTACGGCTTTCACACACCGTTAAAGTTTTTTTCTTACAAAGAATCAAACAAAAGTGCAAAATTTTATATTTTATTCAAATAGAGAAAATATTCAATTCATTTTCCACTTCTGCATTGTCCGAATGAGCAAAGCATGCGTACTGGACCGACAGGTGAGGGTGGGGCGTTCTTGAAGATCTAAGAATAATCATGAATCGACTCTTTTTTCAAAGTTTTAATAACCTTGTAAGTCATTGTTCCGTTGATTCCTTCGAGGTGAGCTTGCGTAGATCCGATCAATTTGGATGTCGGAGTCGGTGATTCGCCATAAGTCTGAACTTTTTTTTCCCTTTTTCCGAGTAATCTATACTTCTTTTTTCTAATTACAGTTTTCTCCACAAAACTTGACTAGTAGCTTTTTTTCCAGTTTTTACTTCTCTCTCCGCGATTTTTCTCAATGACATTTATCTGAACGGCCACTTTTTGGACAAATAGATTCTGTTTTTGACCGATTACATTTCTGTCTAACTTTTAGGAAAAGGGAAAAATGGGGAAAATTATCTAACATTAGCAAGAAAGGTGAATTCACTTTAAGGTAGGGTGTCACCTGAAATTCGGCCAAAACGTTTTTTTTAACAAAAAAAAGATTTTGAAAATTTCAATTTGCACAACTTCCTAGTTTTCGACAAATACAGGCTCGTTGCTCCAAAATAGCCGACTATAACGATTTTCGAGAATTTCCTTTAACTTTGTGGTGTCCTCTCTCCAAAACTTAGAAGTTGTGCATTTTAAAACGCTTAGGACCTTCTTTTGGTACACCAAAGAGTGTTCTGACCAATTTTCAGGAATTTTTCAACCACAAGGGAAAATGATCTTTCTTGTAAGAAGTATGATTTCAATTACCGTTATTAACAATACAGTTATAATCAGTCATTCACGACATCAAAGCCATGATTGCATATGTAAAGACTAAAGGCGTAGCAGCTGCACTGCGATGACTTTCAGAAACGCCCGACCCAAAACGACTTACGTCGAGGCATCGGAAAGCTTCAAGCAGCATTTCCCCACCGCGGCGCTTTGAGCCATTCCTCGTGCGGTTATAGTTTTCAAAGTCAGAAGCAATTGAAGCATAAATCCGCAAAAAACCGTTTTTTCTCAAATTTATTTCAATTATTATTTCAGATTTTGCCACAAACAGGCTTAGATAAAGACCGCGATTTCTGATATTTTTTCCTTTTTTTCAGCATTTCAAAAAGAAATATTGGTCTGATGGACGAAGTAAGTTTATCTATCGGTTTCATCACTTTTGAAAAGCAAAGAGCCACGAATGGCGGAATATAGTTCAAGGACACTTGATCAGTCTCGCTACCAACGTAAACGAGACAACAAATATTATCACTCCTTTCAGTAAACCGGGGGATTCAAAGTTCTCCGTTTTTCGATCTCTTTTTTTGGGGAAATCGTCTCCTACGTCACAGTTGATGACCAAATCAAACTGTGATTAATACGATGCAAGGGAACGAGTTTGACCTTCAAGATTGTGGGCGCCAGGCTGCACATCGTCCCGACCACTTGTAGTTCTTTCTTCTGGCCGAGCTTTTCAAAGCGGAGTCTGAAGTGACTTTTTCCTGTTAATGAGAAAATCAAAGACGAACGGTTCACTGAGAGATTTGTTGAAGAAGGTAAATTGAGCCCAGATTTCGTGGTGAGTCTCAGACATGACGATAACTTTGAAGTCGCAGCAAATGGAGAAAGAAATTGAAAAGAGCAGAAATACAAGCGCAGATTTCATGACTGGTTGCTGCAGATCTCCGTGGAAGAGAAGTATCTTTGAAACAAATCTGGCGAATCAATATTATCGGCAAAATATAGGTCAGTACGTTCCTTTGGAAATAGGATATTTTTGTTTTATCCATTTTACGATTGAATTTTCTTGGTGAGAGATTTATGTACAGGGTCAAGGTCAAGGTCAAAGGACTATTGCGTGGCATTTAAAGTTGGGAAAGGCGACGGTGCAGAATCGGCGGTTGACGTCGCCGGGGAAGTGGAAGACGCGGTCCGTGCAGATGGCGCCCATACTCAGCGACGTCGGAAACTTCTCCTGCAGCTTCTGAGCGATCTTCATCCGCACCTCCAGCGGATCTTCCAGAAACGAAAACTGAACTTTCTCATCAAAAACCAAATTAGTTAGAGCTGCGATTTCTTTTGTTTCTTGAGGGACTCAACAAAACACTCACCTCCTTGATGATGTCAAAAAGAATGGCGTCATTGCATCTTTCGCTGTAAGAAAAAGTTCAAGTTAACACGACGACAACCTTGGTGACGAACGAACCCTTCTATGAGTTGCGCAGATGAATAAACAACAATGCCGATGGCAATCGCCAGTGTTAAACTCCTCATACTCGGGGGAAATGTCGAAAAATGACTTCAAAAAAGTGAGTTGCGGTTTATATAGTGGGGGTCTGCGTTGAAACGGGAAAACGTTCACGAGCAATAATTTGGAGGTCGTCGGAACGCGTCAAGAGTACGAAAAGAATGCAACTTGTGTCCATTTGCGGTTTTAAAATCATTTCCAATGCCGTTTTTGTTGGCAGTCGAAGATTGGCAAAACAGTCGAAAAAAAAACGGAGTACGATGAACTGGTTTCGGATGGTCATTGTTTACTTTTTACTCTGACGGCAATTCTCATTGTAATGAGCGAGCCGACGCTTTGTTTCAAAACATTTCTCGACCTTATTTTCAAGTCTTCAGGAGGTTCTTCAATGGGAGGCGGAAGCTGTCGAGCTTTACTTATTCAGGCCGAGGGCGTCTGGCTTTTTGTTCCTTGATTCTGGTCGAATATCCCCCTGGCTCGTGTTTTGCACCATTCTAGTTTGACATTTACCCAAACTTCAAATGCCGCTGATTTTTCTCTGTCCGAAAACTATGAACAGTCTGGCTAATCTGCACAAAGCGTCTTCCGAAGACTCGCTTCTTGTCAAAGGTTTCTGCTTTCTCCCTTCTTTGTTGCTGTTTGGAAAAAAAAATAGACCTCTGAATCAATTATTGTAGTTAAATCGTAATGTTGAATTCTTGAGAACCATCAGCTGTGGTCCAGTTGTACAAGTTGTACAAATCGCTCGTAAAACATCAATATCAACAATTATCGTGGTTCTTGGTACTTTTTCGACTTTCCAAGCGAATGGCAAATATTTGAGCTTTTTCATACAGCTCCCAAAAGGGAAAAGCTTGGTAAACTTTGAAGGGACCTTGTGAAAAATTAATATTATTTTTTGAAACTGATCTTTTCTCTAATAATTTATTTTTTTTTATGAAAAAAGCCATTTGGAAGTTCATTTTCAGATAGCAAACCCAACACGCCACGAATCAAAGAAGTTCCACAGGGCGTCTCAACATCAACTCCCAGCTTGAACAATTAAAAAATTTCGGTTACATACTATTTTCGAGTCCATTTCAAGGATCAGTTCGCTGTAAATTTGTTCTCTGTTGCCCGAATAAAAATAATGTGGAAATTCGCAATTTTATCAATCTACGCAGTTTCCTTCAGAATGGCTACAGAATATTTGTAGGCACAGTATTCTTCTTATGCAAGGTCCAAATAAGCCCCGCGAATCTAGTCATACCGATAATGAGGCCAATTGTGAATCCAAACTATAAACGATTTCTAATCTCTGACGTAATCAGGTAATTAAATAGACAGGTGAGGCTCACAGGGCGAGCGTCTGAACGCACCTGTCGGTCTCTTTCCCGTTACATTTTTTTGTTTTCATCCAAATTGAGGCTGTTTTTTCTTTTTTTCTGTAGGTATCTGGATGTCAGACTATGAGAATTGTGTCAAAGGGGAAATGAGCTATGATACACCGAGAAAAACTTGCATCAGAATTCTTCACTTCGCTATGCTCCGAAATAACGATCCAATTTCCATTTTCTCCAAAAACTCGATTCACAGTTGAGCAAGGACTTTGCCAGAAAGTTTTTTTTTTTCATCGACGCTCTACATATCAGCTTAATTTTACTCATTCTGAAGCGGCAAACATAATAGTTTTCCCCGGAAAAAGCAAATAAAACATAAAATCATCAACAATATATTTGACTTGAATTAAATCTTTTTTTTAGCATTAAGTATGCCACATTACTAGGCTCTAAGAATATTTTGACTCAATTTTCTAAGTTAGCAGTTAAAAAACATTCTACGCACTGCGCACAGGAGGAAAACTTATTAATAAATATTTATTTCAAAGTAACGTCTTCTGCGCGTGGGGTCTAGGGCTTTTAGAGCCTCCGATAATCGTATAGCTTGCCTCACGTAAATTGACAAGAGATTTATCGTTGGGGCTCGCTTTTTCACACCCCTATGGTTCTATTTTTTTTTCTTCTTCTATCAATAGATGTTCTAAATTTCTTCTTCCTTTTCGGCTGGCTTGGGACAGTGAAGGGGCGCTTTAACTTACGCGGCGATGGTAGATCATGGCGGCCATACATGCAACTTTTTAAAAAGTGCCTTATTTGGCGAATTATTTCTGAATCTATTTTTTTGTTTGAATTTACCTCATTGTTTTTTTAGATTTTTAAATTCACGAATTATAAGAGAAAAAAGAATAATTCATAAAAAGGCGCTTTTATTGAAGACGCATGAATAGTCGCCATGATCTACCTTCGCCGCGAAAATTAAACCGCCTATTTGCTGTCCCAAGCCAGCCGTGAACGGGCTATATCTTCTCGGACTTTGGTAACGCAAAATTTTTCAAAGAGATCCTTTTTTGATTCTGCGAAATCAAAAATAGCGGTCAGACAGACAGAGGAGCGATTTCAGCCATTGTGAGTTTACTGTTATTTCTTTCTTCGCAATTTAACAAACAACAAAAAAAAAACCCTCAGCTGCTTTTAAGAGCATCGGGCTGGTACCTGGTATTGTTCAGCCGGCCTCGGTCCGCCATGGACTATTTTGAAACCGTTGTCGCCATTTCCATAACGGAAGGCGCATTTATTGTCATCGCGGTAACTGAATTTTCAAAGATAAAAGGCTTTCAAATGCGGAAAAAAAATGATCTAAATACAGAAATTGGGCAAAGTCGGTCGGTTCGGTCGGTCGGTCGGTCGGTTTGGAAAACCAGACCACGTCGCAATTTTGCTCCATGGAAAATCGAATTTCAGACTTTTTTCCCTTTTTCTATATTTTTCCTTCCTTTTTATCAGTTTTCTAGGATATGGGACACATGCTCCTCACTTCGACTGAACTGTTCCTCATTTATCATTGTTTCCCTAGGTAATTTTTTACCTTTTGTTAAGGGTATTTTTGTTTCTCGCCTTTTTGTGTACTTTACACATTATCTCATTTTCCGATTACTTATGATTTTTGATTTCGCTCATTCGGTTATATGAAGTTATTTTGGATCCAAAAAAATAAATAAGAATTTTTTTAAAAATTGAATCAGTTTATAATTTTGAATGTAGTAATCATCGTTTTTTTCTCGCGAGAACGATACAGTTGAATGAAAAATAAGCGAAAACCTTTTTTTAGTAAAATTTAAAAAAAAGTAAGAAAAAAATTCGGAAAAAGAAAAAAAGTTTGAAATTCTATGTGTTCCATGGAGCAAAATTGCGGCGTGGCCTAGTTTTTCCAAAAACGACCGACCGACCGCAGCCAAAGTGTCTGCGGCCTTGAATCATAATCGATTATGTATAGGTCATTCCGCGCCAGCTTGTCACGATTTTAATTTTCCTCGGAGCTAGAGAATCCATTTCGGCGCTTCGCTTCGATGCTCTCGGTGTCCCCCTTGCGTGCGCCTTTAATAAAACATTATTTTTTTGATCAAGATATTGCTTCAATTTTTCTCTATCTCTTTTATTAATTTACGAGGTTGTTTTTTTAATGGATTGGTTTCCTTTTTTTCGCTTTAACTATACACACTCAGATTCTGTGCTGGATTTGTAAAAAAAGAAAAATCAAAAAAAGATTGAATTATTACTTTTTTTAATTGTTATTAAGGAAACCGACTGTTCGAGCTTTTCTTGCATATAATTTTTGGGTTAGTTTGATATAAAATTTGATGTTACAACTGTTTCTGCAGAACAAGAAAATTCGAAAGTTCGGAAATAATGAGTTTCATTAAAGGCGCACGCAAGGGGGCACACCGAGAGCATCGAAGCGAAGCGCCGAAATTGGTTCTCTAGCTCCGAGGAAATTTAAAATCGTGACAAGCTGGCGCGGAATGACCTATATCGTGAACGCGATGAAATTTTGCACACGCTAATCTTTCTTTTTTTTCAGTATAAAATTTTTCGAAACCGAAATCTTCGAAACCTCACATCAACTGTTCCAGTAGTAGTCGTTGATTATTTTTTTGTTTCCAATTTTAATCGTTCGCTCCAGACGTTCCGCCTGAAGGAAAATAATTTTAAAAAATTTTTTAAGATATCAAACTGTACTATTTGAAGCTGTCGTCGAATCTACATGGACTGATCAGAGCAAGTTCGTTGAAAGCTTCCTGCAATAATTTCACCATTAAAAAAAAAACAAGTCGATTACATTATTCGAACTGCAATTTTTTGACTGATTAGCTATGTCAAGTCACCAAGTAAGTTAGGAAAGCTTTATCTAATCAGAAACAACTAACTAGGCGGTGCGCTAGAGCTCCGCTCGGCCTTGTCACAACTAAGAATCCTAGACGCCGAAAGCCGTGACGGCATTTTCCGCGGGAGTCCCATCATCGCTTTGTCAGCATCGCGCTGCCAACAGTTTGTGCCTCGGCCACCGGAATGGGCTTCGGCGTGACTTTGCGTATCCAATTTGCAAGCAAAGAGGATCGGCACTCCGGGAGTCCCACGGGCCCAATCTACTAGCGCTTACAAATCATAAACTTATTTTGTAAAATAGAAGTATTATGGAAATTCAAAACTTATCTTGACGTTGAATGTAGAAAGAAGCGAGACGAGTCGTGAGGGAAGCTGGAATGAAATCTTAAGCCCATAAAATAAGATATGACACGTTGCCACGTGGTTTTTCGTATGTTGCATTTTTTTTTACGTGGTTCATGTTATTTTTTTTTTTTACAGAGAATGAAATTTTTGTTCTCAATGAGACTCTGGTTCATATGATTTTTTCTCTAGTCCCTTTGGCGTATTTTTAAAACCGGTTTCGTGTAACTTAGAGCCAAATTTAATTAGCGGATGAAGTTTGAAGTTTTTTTATTTTTATAAATAATCTGAATTCCATTATTTTTTTCTAGTTTTTTTGATGGTTTTTTTCGAACTAATCAAGCATTCCGCCGTACAGGTTTTAAATTTCTGCTTTCTGTCTATCAATTGTTTATTTGATGCATGAATGGTGTGAAAAAGCGCGCCCCAACGATAAATCTCTTGTCAATTTACGTGAGGCAAGCTGTACAAATACCGTAGGCTGGGCTTTTAGTTCATTGCGTACGAAACAGCAGACCGCACGCTCTCACAAAAAAAGTTGATCCAAAAATATATATTATATAAATATTTCATATTATTTCAGTTTTTTTCCAAATGGTACCGTATTGCAATAATATTTTACTTCTGTCAGAGTTTTTTTTTACTCTCCGTCGCCTTGATAATGCCGTGCATTGATTCATCTCTTCCAGTTTTCTAAACGTTCCAAGTTACTTTATGTGAAACAGTATATTTCATTAGATATTCCCAGGTTACAGTAATCTTCACGTAAACAACTTTTTTGAAAGGAGTTCCGGCATTTCGTGTTCTTTGCCCTCTCAAGATCTTTTTTGTTCTTTGAGTGTAAGTACGAGTGGGCAGGGAACTAAAGTCTGAGACGAGGATATTTCTGAACTCTATTTATTATTTATTCATTAAAACCCTTTCATTGCTACGTGTTAATCCAAAAACTTGCTTTTACTGTAAGCTAGAGACATGGACATTAGCTTAGATTTTTCGTATAGTGGGGCTGAAACTCCAAATTTTTCGATTAACTCTATAATTTCACAATAATTAAGAAAGCAATTATTGAAGGTCTAGGTACTTTGGTAAACTTTGGAGTTAGCGATTAAGCAGTGAACACAGGAATTTGGGAATAATTGTAGGCTTGAAATATTTCCATACCAGGACATAAATTCTAATCTTTTTTTGGGTTTTACTTTTACCATTTATGTTTTTTTGTACATACAGGTAAACAATTCGGAGACAGTAGCAATTAATGTGAAGGTGGGGTTTTTAATATTTCAAATCAGACGAACCTTTGTTTATGGAAACAACTTCTAAAAGGGTACTTATTAAAGGAGCAATAACTGTTTTAAAATGTTGTTTTGGCTTTATTTTTGTTTTTGCAAGGATTTTAAGTATCAGGTTGGCCGACCAAATAGTTATTTGAGGTCCAAAAAATTATTTTCTGATCGAATTCTGAATTGAATGACTCACAGATTTCTTCAAAGATCATTGCTCAATAAAGATAATGAGGATATAATTGGACGGTGATGTGGAGAATATATAAACAGTTTGAATTGTTCTTCCGGGATGTTTGTGTTGTCTGAAAATTGCGGGGAATAATAGACGAGAGAAGACGACCGCCTACATAAAGTTCAATTTTTGCCGTCAAATGTCATTTTGCACGCCTCGCTTTCAAAGTTTTTTGACCTCATTTTTGAATGTCTGAGGCTCCCAAGGGAACATTACAACAAAAATGTCACGTTTCTATAGTTATGAATTGACAAAGTGACCTTAGTCCTTGCTAATCTAGAAAAATTGCACTTTGGAACTAGTTCGTGGGAGGCTTGAGAAGTTTGATCGAAAAAAGGCAACTATCAAACCGAAATCTTAGTTGGGTGCTATTTGTAGTTTTTTTTTTTGAACGTCTCTGAAAAGTTTCCATTTACTGTAAACTTGAAAACTTGTAACTCGTTCAAGGCGGCTTCTGGTGAAGCTGAGAAGTTTTAAGATGGGAAAAAAAGTATTCTTCCAATTGAAGGTGTATGTTGAAAATGTTCATCTCAATGAGAATTTTAAAGTTAAAAATTTGCCCTATAGAAAATAGCAGTCCGGCGTCTTTTCGGAATTTTAAGAGGTTTTTCTCTTCTTTCATATATTTTAAGTTTATCTTCTTCAATTTTTCTGAGACTCTGACCTTTGCAATGCCGACACTTCGAATCATTCAATCCGAAATTTTTGAAAAAAATTTAAGGTCAAAAGTTGAGGAAACTAGTTATTTTTTTATACTTATTGGTCGTGTAACTCGTTAGTTAAGACTCAAAAAAAATGGAATTACCCCAAGGGCCATTACTAAAAGGTCGAAACTATACTTTTCTGACGAAGCGGCGACAAAGAATTGCTACCCAGAACCTTGGAATGTAAAAAAAGCCCCAGAGATCGTTGTAACTCATCATTATTAAAATAGTTCTTCTTAAAGGTTCAAAAATGGTTGTAAACAGTAGTTGTTCTCCAAATATGCCTCACATCAAGGTTTCAAAGGGGAAAGCGCCTGGAAAAGTCGGCCATTTATAAACTCAATTAAATTTGACGAATAACGCATTAATGACTACGGCATCAGAATGTCGAGAATATACCTATAGTTCTGAAATTGGTTGAGCCGAAATAAAAACCCGAAAAAAACAAAAATAATTAGAATTTATTTATATTCAATATCAATATCATTATCATTCCTTAGTTCTAGTAATAGATATAATCGATTAAAACTAAGATCTGGATTTCTAAACTTTTTAGTTTGTTTGATTTGCATGGAGAAAATCCTCACAAGGTGGTTATTTCACATATAATTTTGGAGCTTTCAGAAAATTAACCTAAAGCTTTCAGATGAAGGCCTGAAAGTTTAAGTCTGCTCAACTTCCTAGTTTTTTGAGAATCGACGCTTCAATTCGAAGTTCGTTTTCGTTGACGCTGTGTGGTCGGCTGAAACTTTGAGACGTCCTTTCTGGAACACCTGGAAATTTTGCAGGTTAAAATTTTCAGGACATTCATCAAATCGTCTGAAGAGCGTTCTGACGCGTTTTTTTTTTCGTTATGACATAAAATTGTGGAGGTAAAACAACTGACGAAACTGACAAAAAAAGTCTTTTCGTTCTAAAACCTTTTTATGAACGCCATCAAAGGGGATATACATAAAGGCGAATAGAGTTGCATTTTGAAGTTAAATAATTTTATTTTACACATAAAAAAAGAGTCGTTTCGCATGATTGTTATTCTAGGACTGAAAGATGCAAGAGATGTGTCCAGTAGGTCTTCACTTCAGTACTCCATATTTTCATGCCCTTGAAAGTCGGTACGAGGTTTTTTTTTTTTCCAGCAATGAGCTTAAAAATAAAAGCGAAATTCTCGAAAGACCTCCAAGAAACCGAGTTTTTTAAAAATCGTCTGAAACTGATGGAAGAAAACCAACTGAAAAAATCGTGAAAAGCTAAAATTTTTGTCGAAGGATTCAGCTTCTCCAACTCTTCTTTCTTTTGAAGCCTTCTTTTGAAGAACAAGCTGACTTCTAAGACTTATTCCAGCCCTCCCCCCAATAGAACTCTTCTAAAGTTTTGGAGTGATCTTCTTATCGACATCTTCCTTCTGTACCTACAGACTTCTTTCTTCATCATTGATGTACTTTATCGTTTTAAATAGCCTTCAATGCGTTGCGGTTTCCAGCGTTGCGCCAAAGATGGGTGGAGCTCCGCCGGAAAAGGTCACGCCGATGAGCTGGAGCAACAGGCTCACCATATCCAAATATGTTGGGAGGAGAAGCCTCAGGTCGGCTCCGCCCCTTTTGGAAAGCTCGAACAGCTCAAGTCACTGTTGGCTCTGTTCGGATCTTACGCGATCTACTTCTTCTCCAAGTGTCCTTCCGCCATGTTATTCCGAGAAGCCGCTGTGTTGGTGAGTTTCTTGTCTCTACCTTGACTAAAATACTATAGGTAACAGTTTGCAAATAAAATAGCAAGACGAGGACAGCGTAGGTATTAAATCAAGGTCTAGACATGATTTTTCAGAGTGGAAAACATGATGATTCAGCTAAATATGTACCCTCTGAAAATTTCTTGTAAATTTAATAAGAGTTCTGTTTTTGCTCGTGATTATTCTTGTTTTTTTAGCCTCTTCATGTTCGAATCTCTTACAGTTTGCAGAAAGAAGCCTTTTGAAAGCCATTTTTCTTCATTCTGACAAAGTTTCTCACCTCACATAGTTCGTTCAGAACAACTCGACTGGATTTTTAAAGAAGCATAGGTTAAATTTATAAAGGTTTCGGAGAGAAGACATTTTCGAAAAATGCAGGCCTGATTTAAATATCTTTTTAAATCCAAGAAAAAAATTTTTTAATTTAAAAAGATATTTAAATCCAAGTAAGGTTTTTCTAAAAGCTGACGTCTTTGCTCCAAGAACTGTTGGTTTTTTTCAAAACTCATAATTCGAAAAAGTCTCATAATCCATATTTCCATTCCGATTCATAACTTTCTGAAAAATGGCCTTCCGATGTGTATTACGATAAAACTTGAACTATCATATTTTCAAAAAGTTTTCGTCCAACGAACATCATCATGTGTTTTAATCACTCCGTTTAGCCCTTCCGAGGCGAAAAATCTCTTCTGTACGTAGTTTCAATCGCAGTTCCTTGTGAAAATTCGGCTCATCTCAGAGATTAGAGATCTATTAAGTAGGCTAATCTGCAGATCGTTTAAAAGTGTTCCTACGGTTTCGATCTAAAATTGAAATTCATACTTTCTTAAAAAAAATATAAAGAGTGAAAATGGCCTTTTTTTCAATACTCTTTCAGATAATTCTTATCTTTGTATAAGGTTTTGGGAATATTTTTTTCAGAATTGGTTTTTCTAAAACAGTAAAGATGTTAAAGGGTTTCTATATTTCTTCAAAGACTAGAACGTTTCTTTTTTTCATAAATAAAAAAAGTTGAAGAAACCCCAAAAATATGATAAGGTATAACTATGCTCAGATTTCTTTCTGCGAAGGTTTCAATTATTTTGTAATTGCTCTGATTGAAATTCATTTTTAGCACGAATTTTTCTAAGTCTCTTGTGAATTTTGAGTTAGGTAATTAAAAATCCGTTCTGGTCATTTGAAGGAACAGAAACATTGAAAAATGGAGCACAGAGAAAAATTTTTCGCTTGCAGATCCTTTTGTAATTCCTCTATGCTCCTATGAAAAGCCCAAAAAACGGAATCCTCGTCAGAATTGAAAAATTGAGACTGTATTTCGGACAAATGCCTTCAAAAATATCTTCAAAGGGATCACACAAAAAGCTTCAAAATCAAATTAAAGTTTTGAATGCCTACGCAAAGAGTTTTTCCTCAAAAAAAGTTACCCTTTTTGTTTGGCGCTGAAAAGATATTTTCAGACTACCACCTAAATTGTTTTTTTCCTTCTTTAGCACACCATTTCCAGACTTCCTGGCTCCATTTTTAAGAGCCCTAACGTCATTTTATGCGGTGCTGGATAACTAAATCGTCATCATGAAATGAGAAAAAAAGATTATGTGAAAAGTTTGCCTGTACTTTCCAAAAAAAGAGCAAAAAAATTAACTCTCGATTGTTTGATATCTATTTGGAAGGTGCAAATCAGACTCGAAAGAAGTGGTAATTATTTTTGGCTTAGAGCAACTGCAACTTAAAACTGAACAGACAAGTTTTTTGGCCCTCCTCTTTTAATTATCATTCTCGACACATCCTTTTCAGTGCACCAAGCTGCAAAGCAAATGGGATAGTCGGAAAAAAAAGATCAAAGTTTACCCAAACCATGTACAATTTCAACCAAAAGTCGCGAAAATGGGTGGTTGCTGCAGATGGCGGCCGGCACTGCCTAAGACGTCTCGAAATAAGAAAAAATGTACTAAAAAAGTGTTATTTCCCTTTTCGAAACGTAGCTTGATGATTACAAATAGCAAAATTGAATTAAATCAGCAAAGATCACGTGAAAAAGAAAGATCTAACAACTTTGAAAGGAACCTTGAGTGAATAATGCTGAATTATCCTTGTCCCTGTCTTACAGTTAACTCCAAAAGCTTTGGTCGCATTTGAAATGACTCGAATCTTAAATCAAGAGAGAAAAAATAAAATTTAAAACTCTAATTTAGTCCTGTTTTCTAACATGGAGGCTTAGTAGTTAATGTTAAAGAAAAAGAATTGAAAATCCCCAAATTATGGGTTTTATTTTTTCACACTTTTTGATAAAAAAATTTCAACTGCCAACATATTTATGGAACTTTTTCTCTTTTTTCCCTCCTTATCAGTCATTATTTTCAATATTCCAGGTTTTCTACATTACGCAAATTCAATTGGTCCAAGCAAGAAGCTCGCACTCAAGGTCGCACTCCAAAAGAAGGTAAAGAAATTGTCTTAATGCATTGTGTTATAATATTCAACGGAGAGATGGTATAAAGAAACGAAAGAAATCATGTGGAAAAAAATTGGAAAAATCTCTGATACATCCGTCTCAAAAAATTCGAAAATCGACTCTCAGATGGCTGTATTCCAACAAAAAGCGAAGAAGACGAGAAATGAGACGAGAAAAAAAGTAATAATCGGAAAAAAAGGGGTGGTTGATAGAAAAAAGTCAACATTTATTAGGTCAGAGGTAGAAAAAATAGCTCTGAAGTTTCATTCGTTTTTCGAGTAAAGGACATTCAAAAACGATCTATTTTATCGAGAAGACGATTCTGTTTCTGATGAGATTGATTAGAATAGAACTTGGAAAAAAAGATTACTTACAAAAGTGAAACGATGTCTTTTTTTTGTGAACTTGTCAATTTACAGTGCACACTCGCGAGAATGCGCAAATGACGCGGACGCAGAAATGCACGCGATTTTCTCGCGGATGGTCAACCGACGCGACGAACAAATGTTCAGCTACTTCCAGCCCGAAAATCAGGTATTTTTTTCATTTTTTTTTCTTTCGACAAAAAATGCTGTTCTTTATTCGTACGCATGATCATTAAAGTCAACATTTGAATCTTGAAATGTCATGAAATGATAGCTTTCCACGGCTATAATTATTCGCGCCTTTCATTTACTACAAAGAAAAGGGACTATTTCTAGCATGGAGTGCTGAATTAAAACAGCAAGAGAAGGAAGTAAGAATATTTTTTTCGAAAAAAAGACTGTATTTGAGATATTTTTCAATGTTATAATATTTTTTTCCAACAACCTTATTGGGGTGTTTTTTTCATAAAATGACCTCGAATCTTTTTTTAAATTTTTTTCGATGGTCCTCTGAACACCGAAAAAAAGTTCATAAATTTTTTTCACATTGCGTTTTAAAATGAGAAAAAAATATAGGGAATTTTCGAGAAAGAATTAGTATTCGCAAAGACGTTTTTTTACGTCATTACAGTATCCCAGAAAAAAATTTGTGTTTTTGGTCAGCTATGAATATAATGAATGTAGTATAATACAGATTTTTTTGCGAGCGCGTAATGGATACAATTACACTGAATTTAGTAAGCCAAAAAGAATTATTTTTCTGCAGAAAAAAATGTTTTTGAATTTAAATTCAATGTTTTTCTAGCGACAGGAATAGTCGAAATTTTCTGTTTTTTTCCAATCATTTTTATCTGATTAGTGAAAATTTCTAGAAAATCTAAGGAAATCAAGAAAAAAATAAGTAGATAAGGATGGACCCTGATTTTCATTCTAAAATGGAAAGTAAAGGGCGCTCAGAAATGCTCCCAACCAGGAAGATCGAAAAATTTTATTATACTGCCTTTTTGAGCCATTTTATAAGCTTTTATGTATCATTTTATTTCTCTCTCTAGCTTTTGACCCATCTTTATGAACTTAAGAAAAAGAAATATTGGTATAGGGAGCCTCTTTGCTTCCTTTTGAAGCATTTTTTCAGTCTCTCTTTTCGCTACCATTTCTCAGACTTCCCGGCCTTGCCTGAGAACATTTTTTTTTAGAACTATCTGTTTTTTTTTCAGGTGCTTCTGGAGTTCCAGCCGACGGATCGGAAGTTGCTGACGCCTCGAACCCAAGTCTGCGACGCTCTGGAACGATCGGCGGAAGTTCTTCCCGGTCAGCCTCTTCTCGAACGATCCGTCTGTCCCTACCACCACGTCCTCAACTACAATCCTCAGGTTTGTTAACCACAAATTGCATCTGATCATTTCGCGGTGTATGAGATCTTTATAATAGTCTGAGCTTCAAGCTGGAATGTCTTCTGTGCCGTGAAGAAGACGAAAAAATCATTTCTTTCAAAGTTTTATTTTCTATGAGCTCTCCTGAAGACATTTTCAAAGCCTCAAAAAAGAGAAAAGTAGAAATGATTCCAAAAGTGCAAAAAAAAAAACCTTTCGGCGCCTCGTTTTTTTGCGAGTGTAACTTTTATCGGCTCTTGGCCTTTCGTCGCTTTTTCTCTCATCTTCCAGAGGTTCTTGAAAAAAGATCTATGAGAATGTAGCCAAAGATCTTTTTGAAAATTTTAGATTTTGTTCTCATAATTGGCTCGAAAAAGTTTTTGTAGCAGGATATATCGGAGATATATTTTCCATCAGTTGCATTCTATCTTCCAAAAAAAAAAGTAATTTTAGTTTTTGATCACCAATGAAAAGGTCGTATATAAGTCAAAAGAGTCTCACAGCAAGCGTACCCCGCTTCTTTTATCACCTCAGAGTCCTATAACGATTGAAAGGCTTTCAAGCCAATCATCAAGAAAATTGGAGGTAATGAAAAAAAAAAACGAATTTTTTTGAATAAAGAAACCGACAAAAACCCATTTTTTCATTTTTCCAGAGAGTCCCTGCGACGATCACCGAGGTGGAGTGTTCCTGCCAATCCGTCCAGTTCGCCGGAGGCTCCATCCATTGCGAGCCCATGTACTACAACCTCCGGGTTTTGCTCTTCTCCGACGGCTGCGGTAAATTCGTCGAGACCGTCCAGAGAGTCGCCCTCGCCTGCGTTCCTGTCTTTTCGGTGATTAATTATTTCGGGCTAAAACTTATAACTTTCTCGAGAAAACTGTGTACTAGGTTTGCTGACAATAATCCAATCTTTGAGATGAATTTTATTTAAAAAGAAAAAAAGATACTAATTGAAGTTTTTTTCTCCGTTTAAAATGGTTAGATAAAAGGCTCAAAAAAAAGTTCAAAAAAACGCTGATTTTTTTCTCCATTCTTTTGCCCTTCCATTGTCTCCAAAGCTTTCTGACTTTTCGACAGGTATAATTTCATCAAAAGCATTTTTTCTACCTCATAATCAAAATCTAGCTTTTTTTTTTTGCAAACTTCGTGGCATTTCAAAATAAAAACTTTGAAAATGTTGAATTAGGACACCTGCCAAAAAAAAAAATTAAAGCCGCTAGAAATTTTGGACTTTAGTTTAAAACACAAAAATTGGGCCGAATCTATCAGCCAATTTGATTTGATCTAAAAAAGTCTCAATACTTAAATTTGCTCATTTGCAGAACCAACTGAGCGCCGGAGGAACAATAGCAATGATCCGGCCAACGTCGCCAGCCGTTCCCGTTTGAAAAATATCTTCTTATCAAAACTCATTCATTTTGCTTTGAAAAGTACAAAACAAGAGGAACCTTTTCGAACAGGTTCTCTTCTGACAAACAATTATCCGTAGTCTCAAAAGTAGTGAAATATCTATCATTTTTTAGTTGGTAGTGCTTATCGACTTTATTTTTTCCTGGCCGATTTGGATTCCGAAAAAGTCTGGCGCTTATTTTGTATCATTCTTTTGAAAAGCTCGGAAATTTCCAAATTTTTCGATTCCCAAAAGGTTCAACTTTACTTACTTTCCTACGTGTAATTCCTAGACATATGCTTTTATTTTCTCTATTTATTTTTTCCTTCAGGATATTTTCTTTTTCATCTGCCTGCTCTCATAACCAAGAACACTTCCCTGTAAATCTTTCAGTTGGGTATCACCTCGCTTGCGTTTTTCACAATATCCGTTCAACGGACATTTCTTTAGTGCTTTTTTTCGTGTCTCCAATAATCTCATTTATTTGTTTTTTTATTCTTAATATATTGCGCCATTTTTGCGCTCTCATTACGGGATCCCCCAACAGTTTTTCATATCGATTGTATTTCTTTCTCGCTTTTTCTCTGTCAGCGTTTCTATGTTATGAATAAAAAAAACAGGCAAGGCTTTACTGTACAGAAAATGTTTTATTTTTTCACCTCACAACATCAAAAAGTCGAGTGGCCTTTTAAATGCGACGCGGGGCGCAGCAGACGCATTGAAGGGCGACTTTCTTCTGGAAAACTCTCATTTTAGTGATTTTCTCCAAGAGAAAAACTGACTTCGTCGTCTTCTTTACGCTTGTGGTAGCTGTCCCAGTCGAGTTTCGGGTCGAAGACGAAAAGAGCGCCGATGACCGTCTGAAATATCGAGAAATTTATTGCAAGAAAGAATCTAGATCCAGAAGTTTAATAATGGTCCAGAGAAGGATTCCCTAGTGAGCCGAAGAACTTTTATAGAACCGAAGATGAGTTAGAGCTGCAGAAAGAAGATAAGAATTCCAGAAACTGACGCCGTTGTTGTTTCCGATGCGAGAGGCGACCTTGCAGCAGTCGTTGCAGGCGTCGTTCGAGGCGATGGCCGTGTGGCGGCAGGCCTGGCGGTCGAATCTTCGCGGACGCTCGTAGCCATGGTCTTCAAACCGTTCACCCTGTTCTTTTCTTCATGGGAAATCAAGTGGCTAGCGAAGAAGACTTCAAGCTCATTTCCACAGGTCGGCGAATTCAAAAATGAGAGCGGTCTAATTTTTTTCCTACTGTCTCTACGTAACATTTAGACACGGCGATTCAAAAGTATAGCTTTTAAATCTGAAAGTTCAGAAAATTCTAGGTTTATGAACTAGACCAAACTTTTTTATATGGTGTTTCCTTCACTTTTCCTTCTATTAACCAACCATAGCCGTAAGAAGGACCATTTCCGTAAGCCGGAGGGGGACCTCCGTAGGCTGGCGCTCCTCCGTACTGCCGCTTCACTCGGTCGTCTGGAAGCTTATAGATATTATTATTGTGGCGTGGTCTAGTGGCTGATGTTCGCTCCTAGTGTCCGAAAGGTCACTGGTTCTAAGTTAATCAAGTCTTACTCCTTTGGAATAGGACTCAAAAAGTCCCGAAACCCTCATCTTCATCACTACCATGATAACTAGCAGCTTTGAGATGTCATATCTCGGCTAAAATGCGAAGGCTTTTTTTAACTAATTTGGAATCAAAAAGCTCTAGAGTACCTCTGCTCAAATTCCTAGTGAGTGAAAAAGATCAGGCCATCTTCTGTGAAATGTGATGGATCAACGTTTCGATTATGTGTTTTCACATTTTCTATGAAAGTTTTCCAATCTTCTGACTATCTTACGGCTCTCTCTGTCGCGATGACGACGGCTGGGACGACGGACTCGGCCTCCGACGAGCGGGAACGAGGCGTGCACCGAGCAGTAGTTCACTTAAAACTTCTTTTCCCAATTTTTTCAGAAACAAGTTCTAACCATCGTAGTTGGGGTTGCTGTAGGCCGGGTACTGTGGGTAGGGCGGAGCGTTTCCGTAGCTGAAAAATATTTTAGTTTCGTCTTTTTTCCTAAGTGGAAGATCAACCTTGGGCCGCCACCGTAATGAGCGTCGGCGCTCTCTTTCTTGACTTCCGGAGTCTGAACATTTCTGTTATTAATCTTTCATTAATTTAAAGCTGATCAAGTAGTCCTTCTGCTTTCAGTCTATTCAGAATTTATTGAAGGCTTCTAACATATTTTTCAAGATTTCATCGATTGGAATATTTCAAAATTAAACTTCAGAAGAGGCTCTCGCAGCGAGATCTACAGTATACTTCCCGCCACCAGGAAGCTTCTCACAATAGATTTCACCTTGGCAAAAGCGGGACTGATGTTGAAAATTCCCTCATAATCTTCATAATGTAGGTGTTAAACTCAGTAAAAAAGCAGTATTTGAAAGTCTTTTTTCAATTTTTCCTAGAGAAGACTCATCATTTACTTGCCAAATTCTTTCTGAACCCTCTTTTTCTACGGAGCAACCAATAGAAGGTTGAAGTTCTTGCTAGACTATCTCTCCAACTTTTTGGGAGAAGTGAATGATTTGTTAGATACCTGTGCGACCGTCTTGGAAGCAGCCTTGGCGGTGGAGGCGGCGAAGACGACGCAGAGGAGCGCCGTCGCGAGGAGAGCCACGTGACGGAGGCACATCGAGAAGCTGCAGCCGATCGGACGGTCCAAGGACGATTCCGGGATGCGGGGACCGCTACCTTCCGCCGCCTCTATTTATACGCAACTCGGCGTTCGGTGGGCGGCGCCTGAGCCGAAATCCTGGAATCGCGGCCCTGTAACGCCCTGTTCTTGATTTATTCATTCAATCAAGAAAGATTGATGAAAATCAAATAGAAAGAGAAGAAATGAGCTGGGAGAAAATGAGCTGAAAGATGTCATTAAACTTTTTCTTTCGGCGCCACTTCGGAGAAAAGCCGAAAGCTCCGGATAGTTCTCACTAGATCAGAAACAAGTTCTAAATTCTACCAAATTTCAATCCAAACCGAATTTACTCAAGGTTATTTAAAACAAGAAAGTTTTAAGAGAAAGAGAAGATCCTAAGTTGACCAGTAAAAAGCTGTATAAAGTTTGAAAAGTGAGGATAGAAAACCAAATTGATTTATTTGAGAGAGAGAGAGGGGAGTATCTTACGACATTTTCAAGTCAGTTCTAATAATTTACTAGTTAAATGAAGGAACTGAATTTTTTTATAAAAGTAGTTTGATAAGAAGGAGAGTTAACTAAATTTATTTTTTTAGAATGAGAAGATAAATGTTTCCAATCCTGAAAAAGGTTTCGATATAAAAAAATAAATCAAGAAAAATATATGAAAAATCTACATTGATAGTCAGTCACTTTTTTTGATAACTTCATAAAAAAAATTTCGTATTCCTAATGATGAAGAAAAATTAGTTTTTTAAAACCATATTGTGGAATTAAGAATACTTTTTATGTAAGTTTACTGGCAGCAAAATTTTCAAAATTTGATAGTTTTAACCGCCTTCCAGAGTCTTCAAATGCGAGATTTGTCTTCAGATATCTAGTCCATGAAAATTCTGATTCAAGTGACAGTTTCAAACACACACTATCATTTTATCTTTTCATTCGTTTCCTTCATAACTTTTTCATGTTTTTTTCTTTACTTATTGAACCATAAAAGCTCGAAAGCATTGGAAACTAAGAAAAACTCTAGTCTTCGAAAACTTTAGACATTTTCCTTTCACAAAATGTTCGATATTACCCACGCTGAGAGTATGCCTTAAATGTTTGCTCTTTTCTCAAAAAAATTAATCCCCCTCTCCTGAACTTTAAATATAATTTTTATAAAAAAAGCTATAACCCATGAACACAGCTCAAAAAAGGAAAACATGGCTTAATTTCTGAGACCCGTTGGAGCCAGGTTATTCTTCCGAATTCGCATTCATAATGAGCTTCACATAAAAATCTGTAAACCCTGTCCTTTTCCGCCGTTTACAGAGAGCCTATTCTTCTTCTTTTCTTAAAAAACTGTGTAAAGTTGATACTTTTTCCTCCACTTTCCATCTCAGAATCCGCCTACAGTTTCCTGTTAAATTGATCTCATGACATGAAAAGAGACCGTTCTGAGAAACGATTTGCGACGTCGTCCATCAGGCGACCCGTGGGCGCTTTCCACAACATTTCCTGTAAAACGGTGCCGCTGTAAAGCAGCGGAATGCGAGCCCGTGGGTGAGGGGACGGTAAGACCGAAATAGCGTTTCGCGGACAAACTTTTATCTTCGTCAGCCATCTTTCTTTTTCGCTGATTGAGCCATCATGTCTTGAGACCGGCAAAAAACCCGGGAAATGTTGCGAGAGGAGCCACTTTTTTGTGCTTTGACGAGGCGAGCTGTAAAGCGATCATGCAAAAAAAGAGATGTCGATTGATGAGATTACTGCTGGGCAATGAGCAAGTAATTGGGAGCAGGCCGTTCGAGTTGTCTGGACACTCTGAGAGATCAAACGAATCGAAAAAATGGGGCTGGGAAGTGGATGAAAATGAAGAACCTGATTTTCAGGTCGGTGCCAGTACGCTGCACTTTCTTGAAATCAGTTTCGAAACAAAATTATTGGAATAGTTTAAATTTAGTTTTTTTTTTTAAATTGAAAATTCTTTGTAAAGGCCAATTATTTGATATTTTATTGGTCAATAAAAAAAAAAATTAGAGAAAATCTTGAAAAAAACAGATTTGAACTTGGCGGCTAAATTGGTTGAAACTTCAGCCCTACCTGTTTTTTTATCATTTTTAATTCATAAAATCAACCAGCTGTTTAGTGACACTTCTTTTCACGATCAAAGTTTTTATACAAGGAATACGTTTTTATTGCGTTTTAGAAAAAAACCAGGTTGAAGAGTAGTCATTTTTTTAAAAAAACAATCTTGTGAATTTTTTTCAGTCTTTTTAAACTTTCCTGTAATGATAACGTTGAAAATGAGTGCAAACTCGAAAAATTAAGATCCTAAGATTATTCTGCTTCACAAAAAAAAAGAGAAAATAATTGTTTTTGGAAATCATCAAAAAAACGAAATCAAGCAACTGTGACATCAACTATTTAGAATAACAAAGACTTTTTTGGTAATCAGTTTTGAAAAATTTTTTCTGTGCCACTGTAGTATTGAGAATCTCCTTTGAGTCGTGATAAATGCACTTCCGTCTAAATGACTAATGATACTCGTTCAAAGAAACTAAGGGATCTATAATATAATATTATTTAAAAAAAGTCATTATCACTGAGAAAAAAACGACTTTTAAGAATAGAAATACTTCTACTTCAAAAAAATACGTTTCATGGGCGTATCAAATCTTCATTTCATCTAGTTGGATGTTCATTATTTCTTTTGTTCAATTTTCAAATTAACATTTCGTGCAATATTTCTCAACCGTACAAAAAGTCTCATGACTTTTCTTTCCAATGGCCTTTCTGCAATCCATTATTTCTCGAAATACCTTTTCCTTCGAATTCTTCGAAAAGCCGCCCCCATATCGTCGCAGGACCGAAGGCTCCGCCCACAAAAACCCGGAGATAACCTATAAAACAGTTGCGCGTTGCTGCCGTCGGGGCGAAATGCTTCTTCTCCTCCTCGCCTCTGTTGGAGCCGTCTTGGCCGCCGAGGTTCCCGGGCCTCTCCTTCGGCTGACGTCATCTTTCTCGGTTGCAGACGGTGGTGAAGAACGAGACCGCTGGCGGACGTTACCACGGCCGACGACGTCATCAGGACGACGACTCCTACGAGGCCGACTACGACCGCGGATACCACTACGGCTACCCTCTGCAACAGCTTCAGGATGGTCAGTCTTAGGGCAAAGAAGAAGCTTATTTTTGACAAAATCTTTAAATTTTCTGAAAACCCGCTGAAACACTTTTTGATATACTAAACATTTTTCAAGTCTCAATCTGAAATGAAACGCTTCTTTTTCGAGAACTGTAGCTGAAAAGTGCTAATTTTTTTTTTGCAATCGAATTTTTGAGCGTCTGATCGTGAAAGAAACCATCACTACAAAAATAAGCACGAAATGAATTTTGAAGCCTTCGTCTGCGACTTGGAAGCCTCCGTGCTTCTGGTGATCGACAGCCGTCGCTACGGACACAACCGCGCCGTTCGCATCAAGTTCGTCTTTTTTTTATTTAAAAACAAATTCTAGAACTCACAATTTGTTAGAGTTGATGATTCCAAGCAGTAATAACCGAAATCGACCACTATAGAAGACATGGCTAAATTTTTGAAAACCTGAAAACCTTTTTTTCTAAGAGAGAATGAGTGAAGGTGTCCTGATTTTATCATTAGAAAACTGATTTTGAGGTGCTCGGAAGTCGGCCGGTACGACGCCGACTCCTGCAACATCTGCTGCCAGCAGACCGCCCGTCGTGACACAACCATTCCCAATGTCAGTCAGCAGCTTCTTCTAATGTTATCATAATCACAAACATAGAGCCAGCTGATACATTTTTTTAGAAAAATTTATATCTTCTCGCCCACGAAAAACTAAATATTTTTTTGCCAAAGATTCACAGATTCTTAAGTAACCATTTCCTGGCCAGGGAGAACTTCCAGCTGCTCGCGCAGCTGTGCGTTTTTCGTGCTGAAAAAAGTATCGAAATCCACACGCCTCCGTTCTTGAAGCACTGAAAGCGTGTACGAATTCCATTCCTAGCCGGATGATACTTCAAACTGTCTTAGAAGACTTCTGTCGAGGGTATTATAGTTTTACAGTAAGGCTCTTCGTCTACTTAAAGAAAATCATATCTTGAAAATTTCAAAAGTCAAAAAATCTCCCAACTTCTACTCTATCTTCTCTTTCGAATGGACAGCCGCGTCTAGGGTACTCCTCTACTGTTTCAGCTGAAGTGAAAACAGTGGAGCTGGACCCTAAGACGTTGTTGCTTCCGGCTCATTTTTCCGGCCTTAATTCACCTTCTCTGCTGTCCTTTCAGTCAAAAAATGATGAAAAATGATTTCAAAACTCAGATATTTTCGATAACTTTCAACTGCCCCAATCTAGCTTCTATGAAAACCTTGCAGTCCGCCATCCTCGGCTTCCTGGCCGTCACCGACGAAGAAGATGAGCCCGAAGACGAGACGGAGTCTACGTCTACGACTACCGTAACCACTTCCAAAATCTCCGCAAGACCCTCATTTCATGATTCCAGCGCAAGAAGCGGTCTTACGGAGGCAACGGAGGCTACGACGGCGGCTACCGCGCAGACCCGCCTCGCTACTACAAGGCGCACGACAACAGCCGCAGCCACGTCGACCCGACCTTCCTCAACAAGGTTTGGTAGCAGATCTGAGCCATCGAGCGCGATTTCGCTGGTTTCAGGAAAAATGGGCCGCTGACCCACTGAACACCAACACCCAGTGCGTCTGCTGCGCTCCTCGTCTGCAGCACCAACAGCCGACTCCGTACGCTCAGGTTGGATCACAGGAAACTGAACATTTGAAGAACTTCTACTGATTTTAAAAAGCGCGAAAATAACTAAAAATGATTCATAAACATATCAGAAAATAAGAACTTCTGACTATTGCAGACGAACCCCCAGCCGTTCATGGCGCCGAACACGCAGCCGCAGACTTTGGTCGACTCCTGGTCGAACCAGGCCGAGATCCAGCCGGTCGCCGACAGCTGGTCTTCAGCGCCGCTCGTCTCCGGAAACGCTCCCGCTCCTGCTGATGTGGCTCCCGTCGTCGCTGCTGCTCCCGGATCTGCTCCAGCTCCGGCTCCGGTTGCCGCCGCTGCCACACCGGTCGCCTATTAAGCATCCATGTACTATTCATCCCGTGCCATGTGATAATAATGAATAAAAAAGTGTTACTTTTTTTTCGTTTCTGCATAGAAAAATCCTTCCGCTTCCGGAAACTTCAAATTACTTCTTAAAAATTAATCTCGTCGATTGGAGAGATTATAAAGACTCTTGAAGTATTTGTATCCAAAGAGCGCAACTTCAGAAAAGTGAAGGATTATAAAGATATAATTTGCTTCGACTAAAAAATGATTTAAGAACAATAAAGAAAACTTTTGGGCTCGGAAACGAATAAACTCGCAGAATTGGACTCTAGCTAAACTATACTTCAAGAAAACTAAAAAAAATCATAAAAGAGATCTTCACTCATTCAGGGAACTTATGATCTTCTAAGAAATTCTAAATTCAGTTTAGATTGAAGCTTTTCTAAACTAAACTACTGAAAAAAAAGCCCTAAACGTTTGAGGAAAAGGGAAATTTTGCAGAGGAATGAAAATTGTCAAAATCGTCTAAAATCGAAAAAAAAAGAAATCAATCAAGTTAAAAAAACGAATATTAACTCTACAGAGAGCAAAATTAAAACCAGTGAACCATTAAAACTTCGCGAATATCACTACTTATACGGTATTCATTCCAAGATTTCAATGTTTGTAAATACGACTCAGCCTCCTTCGTAGTTCATACATTTATCATCATAAACAAGGTTGAAGGGCAAAAAAAGAGGAAACAATCGCTTGAAGCGATCATAAAACAATAAAAAGTTTAATGGAAAGCCACTCAGGGACATTCAAAGTAAAGAGGAAAGAAACTCGTAGGAACAATTTTTCACGGTGATACAAAACAGCTCAGTCAGCTATAGATCATCAAATCAACCAAAACAACAATTTGAAGTTATAGGATCAAGAGAAAAACATTAATAAGGAAAAAGATCTAGCGAATTTAATAATATCCACCGCCGTAGCCAGGCATTGGTGGGGGAGGCGGCATCATCGGCATCGGCATTCCATAGCCATAGGCCTGAAAATCGAGTTATTATTGAGCTTACTAGTTTTGAAGAAACGAACCGCAGGTACAACAGGAGGCATTCCTGGCATGCCAGGCATACCGGGCATTCCCGGCATCGCTGCTGGCTGATTTCTGGAGATCAGGACGGAGCGAGCCGCGACAGAGTCAGGGAACAACTCGTGGTAGGAGGAGACCGGTACATAGTTTGCTGTTATCACCTGAAGTTTTTCACATGGCTTACTTCAAACTTTCTCTTCCATTGTCGATATATCTGTTAACGTTGAGCGCCTAACAAAAAGTGATAATATCAGTTTCCGTATTGTCTGAAGAAATTTCAACACAGAATTTCCAAAAAATTCTCACCCATGATCAGAAAAAGCGTCTAGAGCTTCTAAATCACGTAGTTTTTGAGTCAAGCCTCTTGGATTCCTTTATCCATTAATCCCTTCTTTTTTTAGGCAAGAGAAAATTAAAGTCAAAAGAAAAAAAAAATAAAATTTTCTAGTTGAAGAAAATAAACTCGCCTTTCCACTGAACCAACGGCCATGAAGAGCTGAGACGGATTTGTGAGCTGCGAGGACGGATGGACATTTTACGTAGACGTTGCCTTGCTCGCTGCCCTTGTCGACAAAAACGTGCAGGGCTCCTCCGTGTTTAGTGCACTCTTCGATAACGTCCTGGGAAAGGGGGATTTTATTTGAGAACAAGAAAACTAGATACTCACTTCCTTGACCTCATCTTCCCAATTAGGCTCAGTTTCTTTGGCTGGGTCGAACATGTTGGAGAGCATGAAGCACTGGGTGGCGATCGCCGGGATACTTGGATCGTTTGCGTGTTCGATGACTTGCTTCGCGCTTCCAGGAAGTTCCATACCACCTCCTAAAAATATTTTTAATATGTATATTTTTCAAAGAAGGAATAATCTAACCAGTTCCTTGCGCAAGCTTGGCCATGAGTTGCATTCGGCCACCTGCTCCAGAAACGAGTCCTTGTCGATCTTCAATGTCGTCCAAGCTTCTCTGTCGGATCGACTCTTCTTCTGAGTTATGGACAGAAATTCTGATATTCTTTCCGGCCAGTTCGAAGTTGTTGAGCTGTTCCATCGCTTTAGTTCCGTCCTCAGCGTTGCGGAACTGCAAGATCATTTTATATGAAAATATTCAAAATATTTTCGCTCACCGTTATGGTAGCTCTGCCTTGGCCGTCACCAGACGCGTCTTTAGGCAATTCGAGGCTTTCAATTCTACCGAACGCCTCGAAAACTTCTTGAAGCATGGAATCAGAAATCTTCGGGTGTAGGTTTTCGACGATGAGTTTGCATGGACCCTGTAAAGATATTGACTTGAAAACTTTCCATAAAAGGAAAAAAAAACCTTATTAACTGCTGGACCGAACCCGAGAGAAGTAACGGCAGAGGCGTTAGCTGCTCTGTTTCTCTCCGAGCAAGTACGTTGAATGAGCAATGGAGCTCCTGAAAATTCAAGCTTTAAGAAAAGATAAATATGTAAACGTCTGAATTTTAATTGGAAAAGTGATCATGATAAACTGTTTTTCGCAGCTGTTTTCTGCATTTATATTTTTTTTAAGCCACAAAAGCACAAAGCTTCGAGATGAAATTGTATACAGTTTGCGATATAAAACTTTGAGCGTATAAAATCTTTTTAAACTTCCAAGATAAAACATACCGATGAGCCTCTGGCCAGAGAGAGCGAGGCCCAGTGGGACACTTTCTTCTTCCCAAAACTCGACGTAGGCGATTCCTTTGGACCTTCCCGTCCTCGAATCTGTGATGATACGAACATCTCGGACGTTTCCAACAGCCGAGAAAAATTCTTCAAGATCCCGTGGCCGCGTCTGTCTGGCTATCTGCAATTATAACAATGCCGATTTAATTTGACGGACAAGAAACCTGCATGATGAACAAAGTTCTTTGGTCTCTTTCCTCAGCGGACAATTCAACGCGAGCGTCTTTCGGGGGCGCATGTCTTGCAGTGAACGGCATGACATCACGACGTTCTGGACCAGGAAGACGTCCTGCAAAATATTTATTCTAAGCTTGATGTTGTTACTTTACACTGACCTCGGGGCGGCGAACGACGAGGCGACATTCGACGATCTCTGTGGTCGATGACACGTGGGCGTCGATAAGGAGAACGGCTGCGGCGTCTGCGATCGCGGGAACGAGATCTACAAAGGAAAATGCATTATTTGATGTTAGTGTAACGAATAATACCTGGATCGTCTGCGGTTGTCGCGACTGCGGCTTCTTCTGCGATTCGACCTCGAACGAGACCTTCTTCGGCGACGATCGCGGCTTTTGCTTCGGGAACGTCTTCTGTCGCGACTCGAGCTGCGCTTTCTCTTCTTACGGTCACGACTACGCGAACGAGACCTGAATCGCTTTGATAGCTGATGTATATGAATCTGTGTGGGGAAACATGAATATATGGAGCTAGACTTCGATTTGCAAAAATTAGAAAGTACAGGATTTTCTGGTACTTTTTTCCGCGTTCACAAACTTGAAAAAAAGTGTAACGATGAAGATTTTTCGTCTCAAACTATTAGGAAAAACTCCTTTCTAGGCTCTTTTGAATTTCCATTACAGAGCTTCTGTTTCTTTCGAACTCCCTTCCCCATTTTTGAAGGATAATAAGCACAAATGGCCAAATTTAATATAATATTTCACAAACGAACATTCACGGGGGATCATTATATTGTGAAGAGTCGGGGACACCTATGCCTGAAAACAATTATAAAAAGACGTTTTCATGTCGTTTTATCGCTCCAAATGCTGCATCGTTCACACTACGCGTCGTGCCACAGCCTGGAACAATACGGCGCGCCGTTTCCAATCGACTATTCTCCCTTCCAAAAACGAGGTTTTTTTTTTTGATGACTCGATAGAAAGAAGAGAAGAACTGCCTTTAGAGATTAAAAAAAAGCTTCGATTTCGAAGAATTTCTCCATGGATTCGATTGGAAACGGTTTTGGGCGCCAATTCCGTGGACACGAGCGTACCTTTCTTCGGTCGCTGTGAGAGAAGTCGGGCCAGGAGATGATTTTTCTCAGACAGTGAGACTCAAGCGAGAATATACAGCGCAATTTCGCGCCTACAAACATGACACATCATAGGACGAGCGCTATTTTTAAGCCGTATCTTTGTACGTTTCTCAACCAACTCAAACTCAAAATGTAAATCCACACAAACCTCGATTTGCTCTTTTCGCGTTTTGAAGAGCTTGTAGTATCATCTTTTACCTCGTTTTCTTTCGCATCAGCGGCCTAAAAATCAAAATTTTGGTGTAAAATTCGAATTTTTCCTAAAAAAAAAATTAATTGAATCATAAAGCAAAGATCTTATTTAAACTTTTTGCATTTTACAATTAATTCACAAGATTTATTTTTTTCAGCGACCATTAAAATTTCCGGTCATTTTTTTCTATTTTTCAAATAACAGAAAGCGATCCACAAAACTTTGGGACTTTCAATTGGTCAGTTTTAATTAAAAAAAATTTTTTTCCGTTCATTCTTCATTTACTAATCTTTTTTCCGCGAAGTCACACTTTCCAGTTTCTGAGCATGAGTTTCTGAAATCTTATAAAAAAAGTGAAAAAAATCTAAAGCTTGAAAAAAAGATCACTTCCGAATTTCATTAGGACATGAAAACTTTTTTTTTTTTTAAATACGCGTTTTCTAGGTGCAAAACTTCGAAAATTTTCTACTGTAAACTTATCTTTGATTGTTTGAAACAACTCTCTAATGAGCTATTTGCAACCACAATAAGAAAAAAACTTACAGACGGCGATCCAGCGAGAGCGCCATCTAGCATCGCGTCCACATCGAGATCGGCCATTTTTCTGCTTCGTGAAGATTATTGTCGATTGGCGCGAGAGCTGAACCAAATCCAACAACCACTTTTCCTTCCGACGAACAAGTATGCGACTCGAGCACGGAATGAAACTTTTCGAAGCCAAACGCTCGCCGGCCGCGTTGCGCTCAACAGAACCCGCGTGTCTCTTCGCGTCACGTCCCTCAAATTTTTGCGTGGATGCGCCTTTAAACTTGTCCGAGTGATCGCGATATTCTCCTTCAAAGTAATGAACAATAGGACATGGTTCAAATGAGTATAAGCAATCGTGTATTGTTCTGGAGTGGGTGACTCTCCAACCAGGGATATCTAAAAAAAATCGGAGCAGTTTATTGTTTAACTTGTAGAAAAACTTTACTGTAACTAATGGTATAGAGGACTTTTCAAATATAAAACATTTATGACTTTTGTTTTATTCCACGAGGTCGTTTGGAAGATTGAGAATTGAGAGGGAATCAAAAAGTGAAATTCTCAGATTTCCTTGAAACTTTGAAACTTTAAAACTTTTGTTCAGTCTTCTGAGAAGGTACTCTGTGGAATCATGGAATAATTGAAGAATTGTTAGTCGGTTCGCGAAACTGTCGTTGATCAAGCGTATACGGCGCGTAGAGCATCTCGTCATTTTCCAGTCCTAAGTATTTCTTACTCATACAATTCTCAATTTTTCCTCACTATGGTCATATTAAATTAACGGTATCAATTCGAAGTTCTTACCTGTGAACTTATTCTTCGAATCTAGTATTATCGTGACCTAGAGTTACAGTGAAAGTGTTGAGTAAGGAATGTTGGGCCTGGAAGTCTGTTTTTTTTTCTCCTATATTTGTAATAAGTAATTCGTAGATTCGTCAGTTTACTTTCCGTCAATCAAGTTATTTTTTTTTAAATTTTCATCATATTTTCACTTTGATAGACGGGCTTCTGCGTCTATACTCAACACTCAGCCTCAAATAATCTTTTTTTTTTCACAGCCACCCAACGAGTTAGAATAAAGAGGCAGCAAATAAATTTTTTTGTTGGAAAAAAAAGTTGCTTCGAGGAGTTTTGCACGTCTCGTCTGCCGAAAGAAGACGTGTAGAGGTTTTGCGGAGGCAAGAACCATTGTGCCAAAGACGAAGCAGATTCTTTGGCGGCGCCCCCGAGGGATCGCTCGAGTCAATATCAAAACCGAGCCACGAAAATCCACGTTATTATCTTCCGCTTGTCATGGCCTTATATATCCCATTGCGCTCTCCACAACCAATTTGATTCACATTCCTCATGGACTTCATTTCGTCGTTGTAAAAGAATGGAGTCTCGCAGTCACGATAAAAACACTGAGCTCGATATTTTGTGCTCTCTTTTCTTTTGTCTTAATCTTTTTCTTAGAACTGGATTCAATCTTTTTGTATCCTGTATCAAATTGAACTCGAAGATCCAAGTTTTGAATGTGAGGACACAAAATTTATCATGAAAACGCGGTGCCATCGAGATTTTGAGCTCGTAGACTCGTCATTGCAATCTAAAATCTCAAAAGCTCGTAAACGCAAAAACTTTCTTCTCTATCTTTTTATATATCAATCTAAAAGTTCACTTGAGGACAACTTTTAATATTTTCATCTGAGGCAGAGAAATTGATTAATGAAGATCCAACAATCAAGATTCGATAACTGGAAAAAAAATCTGAGCTATTTTTAGCCGCAAAAAAAAAATTACTTAAGAATTCACTCCGGAAGTTTCGGAAATGTTGAAGTGGTATGTTCACTTTTTTTTTTACATTTGAAAGAGTCTCGACGCCCAGTTAAGAAAAAAACATAGTTTGATCTTGGATGTACTCTAATTTCCTCACATCTTGAAACTTTTCCTCTATCTAGATCCAAGCTTCTGTTTCAATAGTAAAGATTGAACTTCATTGGAATTTAATTTCGAAGTGAGACCATTCAAAAGTGCTGCCATATCCGAGCTCATATTTTTTTTTTCCAACGCATTTTAATTTTAATTTTTTCTTTTTAAAAATCATACTCTGTTTCTTTCAAAAAAAAAAATGTATTCAAAATGTTTCCCTATAAAAGTTTTTTTGCTTTTTCAACTACCTGGGTGCCTCATTTCTCCAATTCTTTTGAAGAAAAATTTCAAAATTCTGGAAAAGAAGTTTTCTGCGGTATTTTGAAGTCTACATCGGCCTTGAACGAGAAAAAAAAAGAACAGAAAAGTGAATTAAGAAAGATTCTCGCTGTTGCCAAACTACACGGCTTGCGGAATAATCTAATTTCTTTCGTTTTATTCGATCTGAAATCCACCAAGCGTAATCAACGTACTTTTAACAGTATTCTGGCTATTTTAGACGAAGAAAAAAAAAGTTAGTTCTTTCTCCCTAGTGAGGATTCCACCGACTTTTTTTTTGACGAGTCCAATCTTCAGTTCTGGCGGACTTTGTCCATCTGTTCAACATGCCTGGGAGTAGTATTGACACCATGTTAGCCTTTTTCGGCCTTTCGAGGCGAAAGAATTGTCGGAAAGGAATTGTAATCCCTCCATCGCTCACTTGGCAGCCAACCTCCACGCACTTGGATCTTCGAAACCTCTCCGACTACACTTTACCTTTCTTCTTAACATGTCAACAGAAAAAAACAAGAGTATCATTTTCAACTTCGTCGCTTTTTCTTACTTCAACACTCCTATCGTCAAAATGTCTCTGTTTTGATTCCCTGGAACTAGGCGAAAAAGGTAACCTGAGCTGAAGGTGCCAGGTAAACAAGTCACCGAAGAAGTCGACAATTTTTGCATATCTCAAATTTCGCTCTGCTGACTTCCATTGACGACTTGAAAAGCAATTTGAGAGATTGGTCGTAAAATAATAGTTTTACGAAGTTTCCCCGTCATTTTTCTGTTCTTGAGGTATATTTTTTACTCTGAATATTGTTTGTTTTCACGACTTGCAACATACTTTTGATGCTAAATTTGACCTAATGCGTCTTTATCCGTCATTCCATGTGACACTCCGTTTAAATTCTTGAAAAAATGGGAAATTTTCTGGAAGATGAAAAAAGAAACTTTTTTGGCTGATGAGAAGGAGCCAATTAGTGAAGTGCCGCTGAACTTCCTACTGCATCTCATGTTTCTTCTTGTTCTCAAAGTTCCGACATTTTTTGTGGCTTCAAATTAATTGAAACTTTTTTTTTCTCCTCTTTTCGATAAGAGTTTACAACCAAGGAAAAGCGCTCGATTCGCCTCCGATCCATCATAACTCGAGCTATTCATCGATCATCACCGGATGTATAGTCCGTTCGCCTCGAGTTTCAGATTTCTTCCGTTTCCTCTCTAGTTTTTTTGTCATTTTATTTTTTTTTCATTTACAAGGGACTTGTTCTTTGACTATTGATTCCATTCTTTTTCTATTTTCCAAGTAGCTTCCACCGGAAGTGGCACTTTTCAGTTGAGATGATAAGAGAAGAGCTAGGAAATCAGACATCGAACAAGCGTTCGAAAGAAAAAAGTTGTGTTTTAGCCGCAGCCGCCAGCTTCATTCCACGCTCTCCACCCATCTCCCCATTCTTTTTTGAGTTGTCAGTGACAAATTGCCCGTCGAAAAACGCGGAAAAAGAGATCTCCGTTGACCCAGCGAAACCCTTGCAGACAAGAAGCCGAAAATAATAACTCGTTCGACTTTTTTCGAAAAAAGGAAGCCTGGAAAGGAAGCGTTCTAAATAATACGGTGACCGATCGAACAATATTTTATTCAACGCCTTCGTACAAAGTAAAGCAAAATGAAAGCCTTGGTGTAGTACGCAAAAGGATAATATAAAAAAAATGAAAAAAAAAAACTCCTGTCGATACTTTTTTTTAGATGGCAAAGATAGTTTTGTACTCAAAAATATTTTCTAAAAAATTCTCATTCAGAAACAACTGCCGTCGGTCATAAAAATCTTTTCGAGATCAACGTGTTTGATTTTAACGACGCTTTTCGTCGTAAACTAATTTTTGGAATTTTTAGCTGAGGTCTCCTTCGAACTTTGCGATTTATCCTCTTATTGAATAATCTCGTACATTCATACAATATTTTTTTAAAAGATTTCGTTATATGTAAGATTTATGCGAAATTTGTCACTTTTTTTATTTTTTTGATAGTTCGTCAAAAAAAATATTCAAATTTGAATATCACGATCATCGCCCGTTTTTGAATTAAAAAAATTAGATTCTTGAAGCTCGTGGTCGCATGTGGAATGGTTTTACGCCTGATGGCTATGGGGAGGGGGTTGATTTCAGAAGGGTCTTACCTAAGCCATTTGGGTTCTGTAGCCTCAATTAAAAACCGCAACGCGACCGCGACACTTCGATCCATTCCCAAAGACTCCGAAAGAGTCATGAGTAACAATGAGATGATTTTTTTCATCCAATAATTAAGAAGTTTTAAACATTGAATTGGTGGATATTTATTTATTAATAACTTCTAAAAACTTTTAAAGGTTAAATGCAGGCTTTGCTATTAAAAAAGTGGAGAATTATCCAAAAAAAAAGAAGATAACAAGTGAAAATCTGGAAAAAAACGCCAGAGTTTCACCAAATATGGGGGCAACGGCCAGAAGATTTATAGCCGGACCATTTGCGACGTCACGTTATTTGGAGCTCTTTTTCCCCCATTCCTGGCGGCTGAATTCGTCCGTCCGTTTTATGCGATTTTCATTCTTCCAAGCCTTTTCCGCTATACTCCATTTTGATTTGATATAAGGACCTTCATTTTTTTTGAGTTCATCTTTTCATTTTTCAATAATTTTCAAACTTTTTTGAGTTATTCCTGAGTCGAGTCTTTTTCAATACTCGGATATAGGCGTTGTTTGATTATCATTTTCAAGTTCTTTCTATCGGAAAATGGGCCTTACAAATGTTTTCTTTGAAGCATAGTATAAGCTTTGAAACTAGCTGTAAGTTTTTGCTGTTTCGAAAAAAAAAATTGTTTTGGAATGAAATTCTGACACTTTTATGAATTCTCCTGCATAATCATGCTAAAATTTGATTTGTTTGATAAATTCACTAGTCCAAAAGTGAAAGACCTTCTAGAAAACATTTCTAACGCCGTTTCATAAACTTTTATCGGTAAGGTCTTTTCGATCTCCAGAAAGGAGCTTTAGTTCGTTTTTTAAAGCCCGTTAAAGGTTGCTCGGACTTTACCAGGGCTATTGGTTATTCTAATAATGGTTTTTTTCTAATCAAATCGTTTCATCGTCTTTTTTTGCATTTAAAATTACAGTCTTTTTTTAGGGGTAGATCGAGTTGAAGGAGGTACGGTAGCGCGTTTTTTTCTTTTTTTGCCGGGGGTCGCCGACGGTTCATGTCACCATGAGATCCAGGGATGAAGGTCTTCTTTTCTTTTCTTTTTTTGAAAAATAAAATAAATTCTCTTTCAAGTAGTTAGATGTCAAGTTATAATTTGCGTTATACTTTTAAAGACAATATTTTAAGGTGGAATTCTTCGACGTGACATTAGATAGAGGAATCGACGAGCCGTACTTGGGTGGTGAAACCATAAAGGTAACCTTTTTCAAGCTGAACTTTAACTTTGTCAACTTTTTATGGTCCCCGAATCGTTGCTTTTTGAAAGAACCTTTTTTGAAAACAATCGAGAAAAGTAGTTTTTCTCATTTTTACTCTTTCAAAACAGATCATTCACTTTAATGTTAGTTTGAATTGCTTCTTTTTGAACCAGGAAAATGAAATGGAAAAACACTTTTTTCCCATTCGATAAGTTGGAACGAAGAAATGGATGAGTATTAAATAATGTTTTCATAAAAAAATGTGTTTCATTGCGCTTTGATCATGATCTCGTCTTTAACCTTTAATTTTTTTTTCTTTAAAAAATTTTCCTGCTGTTCTACAGATATCTAAAAATGTATTGTATCGGAAAAGATCTTGAAAACTGGAAAATATTCTCAAAAATGCGAGGTGCTGAATGCGGATTTGTGAAATTTTTCTCGACTTCAAATTTTATCGCCGTTCTCATCTTTTGCATCCTTTTTTGAGACTTGAATGAACATACGAGGTATATAAGCATTCTTGCGGATTTTTTGAGATTAATGAGACTGGATTTTGAGAAAAAAGAGGAAAAATATTTTAATATTCATAGGTACAAGTTTAATGAAAGATGAAAAGTCTATGATGAGATCGAAGGCATCGTAAGATTGAAGGCAAAAAGAAAACTTATTGACAGCCTGTTCAGTCAATTTTTTGGTGCAAATAAGATGTGGACAGAAGAATAGAGATACACGGGGTCAAGCGAACCCAGGTACCCGGAGAATATGACGCATTGACATAAAATTCCCGAAAAGCTATCAAGCGTAAATTATCAATTATTTTTTCTACGAAGCGTGTCTGTAGTGACATTGAAGTCTGAAAATAAAGTCTATAGCGCGATAAAATGGGAAAAAAAAATTATATCTATCAGGGAGTGATCGAGATGGTTTGTGTGAAGCGAGTTCGGATAACCGGGTTGATAGTGAGACTGACCGGCGTGGCCGAAACCGGCTGGCGAAGTCGTCAGGACGAACTCCCTTACGAGAGCCGCAACACCTTCATGGACGAACGAGTCGACCTCACTACGTTTGTTTCTATATTTTGATTTCACAAATATCGATTGAAAATATAGTTTTTCCTTCATTACATTGATTTCATAACTGTTTTATTTTATTACTTTTTTCTTACATGTTTTTTTTATGATTTCGTGAGTTCATTTTATAGTCTGTGTGCCACGACTTGAAATTTCACCCAACGACATTCCGTAGTTCCGCTGCGTGCGTTCGCGAAGCGTCTTTCGAATCTAGGTCACGCTTTCAATTGATTGTTATTGCTGTGGGAGCACATGAAAGTAGAATACCTTGATAAAAGAAAAAATAATTGAAAGCGCTACCAAGGTTCGCAAAGGCGCGCAGCGGCACAGCGGAGTGTCGTTTGGTGAAATTTTCAGTCGTGGTACACAGGCTTTAATTCGTTCAGCAAGTTTTGAAAGGATTTTTATAAGAAGTTGTCGACTGCCTTGAATGATAAAGTTAAAAGATTCTCTGGATAGAAATTTCTAGAAATTCAAAAAAAAGTTCGCCTTTAAAATGATAATTTTTATTCTCTGTTTTTGATTCACAAAGTAAAAAAATTTAAGTGTCAGTTATTGCGAAAAATTCAATTTATCAAAGATAAGATAGAGAGAGTGAAAAAAAAAGATCCAGAAGCCTTTTTAGTGCTTCTCTAGCAACTAGCAACGAAAGAACTGTAGAAGCAACAAAAACAAAGTAAGCACTTGCAGATACATCGCTGACCACTGCACGGACGAGTTCGAGCTGTTGGAAGGGAAACACGTCGTTCCTTTCGAAGGCCGGATACCCCTCGACGTCCTCTCCACCGTCGATCGGTCTCTTCTTTTCAAATTTAAAAAAAAAACTAATCAATTTGAATGATAAAACAACTTCAAACTTCAGTGAAATGTTCTTCTCACCTCTCTCAAATTATTTCATTCCGATTCTCACCTCAGTTCAACCTGCTTATTTCAGGGAGAACCACGGAAATGTGCGGTACACTTGCACGGCGCTGATGGCGATCCCCGAAGACGGCGACACCGAAGTCGTCGCAGGTATTGTGGGACCTGGGTTCGAGGAGAATGATGGCTTTCAGAGAAAACGTTCACTGTCTACTCGTTGCTCAACCTCGATGCCCCTTATCTTCGCGACAAGTCTACTGTCACTGAGGAACAAGAGGTTACTTTTCAGAACTTTAAGTCTAAAAATTTTTTTTGCATCTTTTCCTCCTTATCGTCTCTGAAAGCTTTCCTCTTCATTGTTTTTGATACCATTTGCTCAAAAAATAGTTTTCTTGTTTTCAGGCTTTCCTTTCTGTTCATTTTTTTTTAATCAAGTTTTCTTTTAATGGTATAGTCTGTTTGCCACGACTTGAAATTTCACCGAACGACACTCCGCTGTGTCGCTGTGCGCCTTTGCGAACCTTGGTCGCGCTTTCAATTTTTTTTCTTTTATCAAGGTATTCTACTTTCATTTGCTCCCACAGCAATAACAATCAATTGAAAGCGTGACCTAGATTCGAAAGACGCTTCGCGAACGCACGCAGCGAAACAGCGGAATGTCGTTCGGTGAAATTTCAAGTCGTGGCACACAGACTATATCATTATTTTATTTTATCATCGCATTCGAAAATCTACAATTTGCATGTGTAAAAAAAGTATTTCACCTTTTAAAAATTGATTTGATCGAAAAACGACTTCTTTCGATTTTCCATAAGGTTCATTTCTTAAGCACACCATAAAGATTTTATGGAAACGGAATTAAAAGTCTGAAATATTTTTTTTTCTAAACTCCAAAAAGAAAATGTTCAGTTCAAAGGTTTGTCTAGTTTTACTGATACTTTTTATCTCCTTTTCGATCTCAATTTCATAGATTACTGAACAATCCTATGAAAAAAGTTGACCTTCCTGTTTCAGGTGACTGGTTGTTGTAGTCGACGGAGGGGCTCAATTTCTGCGACTCTACAAATTGAAGAAGTTGGCGTCATGCCAGGTGAGCTTTTCTGAGCGGTTTTCAATGATTCAGATTTTTTTTTCAGGAGAAACATCTCGGATAAGCATTACGGTGGAAAACAAAACGAAAAAGAGGAGACGGTGGAGGAGGAAAAAGGTTTATATTTTCTTCTTATTTCTCAGGGCTTCAAATTTGAAGCCATCAGTTCCCAAGTCAGACTTTTAAAAAGAGCGATTTGGCTATGAAAACCGAGAAATTTTTCGATTTCAATAGAATTTCTCGCGACCACGTCACGTTCAACGAGTATCATGCAGAAAAATAATTCACGATTTTTAATAATCAAATTTTTTTATTTATCCCAAAGCCTTTGGCCTTATCCAATGAAGGAGATAATAATTTTTTTCCTCGAAATAGAGAACCCCTGAAATTTGCTATTTTTCATTAATTTTGAAGTTTTCCGATCTGGTAAAGATTTATAAGAAAAATCACCTTTCATTCCTGTTTCTGTTTCCTGATTTTCACGGGATTTCCTCACTTGTCTAGTTGACCGACCGCCAGCTTTGTCATATTTTCGAAAACTTGAAAGTTTGCAGCAAGAAGGCCACGAATGCGTTTTGCTGACGCTCTGCCAGCAGCTGGATTTCGTCGCCAGTAATCGCTACGACCCGATGCTCGTCGACCACAAATCCATCACGATCGCCGTCGAAACTCATGTAATTCCATTTTCTTTCTTTTTAAAAATTTTCTCCTTGAACTGTATGTTAATCTGGCAAGGAAGGTTGTTTTGAGAAACTCCAAGTTTTCTTAAAAATCAGCTGTGAAGCTACTGGCTAAGCTAGAAAATTTCAAAAACTTCGTACTTCTCAAAAACGGTAGATCTTCTATTTTATGCAGCCTCCAGAAAAGTGTGGTTTTCAAGCTTTTCTTCTCGAAATTGGAGGATTTTGCGAACTTCCAGAAACTTCATCTATTTTATACAAAACTTAGTTAAATTTTTGAGAATTCGTGAAAAAAAATCGTGAAATAAGAAAAGGACTTCCGCTGCATAAATGGTATTAATTTTGGCATTGGAAAAATTTTGCAAACCAAAAGAATTTTTTTTTGAAGATTGTCATTGAACTTTATGAGTCAATTTCTCAATTTTTCGTCGCAGATAAAAAATTTTAAAGATTTTTTAAACATCCTACGGTGTTCAGTTTTACACACCATGTAACTTATTTTCGAAGAAATGTCAAATTTTCCAGGGAACGTGCAAGACGCGAGCTGGAGCAGGACCTCAGACCAAGGAGATCGAGTTCAGCGTGCCGTCAAACCTGCCGCCGACGTCGATCCAGGCCAACCGTCTCGTCACCATCTCCTACTTCTTCAAACTCGACCTCGAACATTTTGACGTCGTTCTACCTGTTGTCCTCGGCAGCGTCAAAACACCTGGCGTCGTTCCCTAGAAATTTTATTTTCTTTAGAAAATTCTAGAGTATTATCTCATGATTTTCATGCATTCATGTGATCTCAAGAAGATCATTTTAATTTTTCCTTGTTTGCCCGACGCTCCAAAATTATTATTGAGACTTCAAACTTCGGGTATATAGTTTGTTATCGCTGAAATTGAGATTTTATCGATTTTCCTGCCAGTTATTAGGTTTCATAATACCCCATGCATTTGGTCTTTCTCCCCTGATTCTGTTATCACTACCTTTTTTCGGATTTGAAGTACATCTTTTCTATTTGTGTTGCAAGGGAAAAGATATTCCAATTTATGCCAGTTTATTTTGGTTCTGCTGCTCCGTCGGTGCCAGGGAATCTTGAAAAGGCGACTACTTAATGAGGAATCAATTATCGCGTCGCTGGCGACGAGTGAAGAGTCGGAAGACGCGATTTGGGAGTCGCGGGACGACGTCGCAGCGACTCGTCGTCGTCTCGTTGTAGACGCCTTGGTGGTACGGCAAGTCCAGTGTGTAGAACGTGTCTGACGTCATCTTTTTCAGAAATCAAGTTTTTTTTCGAAAAAAAATAAATGAACTCGCAGCTGGAATTTAAAAACTGCAGAGACGTCTTAAAGTTTCTTTTTTCGCCCTTTTCGCAAACTTTCTAATAAGCTCGGTAAACATTCTCTTAGGAATTTCAGAGTGGAAAAAAAATATCTGGAGATTGAAGTGTATCTTTTCAATTTTCAAATCTGAAGAAAAATATCAAAATACCTATAAAGACCACTTGAGCTTTTGGGGCTTAGGGGTCAGACCCTAAAAGGGACCACCTGAACTTTACCCCCGTGGGGCTTGTTTTTTCCCCTAAACACTATAGGGAACACTTTAGAGTTCCTGAGTTGTCTCAAGAACGTTCTGTGGATTAACTTTGCTGAAATTAGAACCAACCAGTAGGAACAGCAGTGTTAGTTGCAGACATTTGTTAGTAGAAATGGTCAGTTTTCACGTTTTTCTCGATTTCTTTACTTCTTTCCAAGTTAACGTCAGATCCAGTAACAATTAAACTTTATCAAGCAGATGACTTTGCGAGAGCAGAATATAGACAAAAGTAGTATAGAAAGGAAAATGTTTTATTACTTTCCGAGTCCCTTATAGAATGGGAAGAAACGTTGGTTTTGCTTCCGCTTTTCGCCTATTGGCGATCCTGAAATAATACTATCAACATTTTTCAAAACAAGTCAGCCCTAAAATAATTGAAAACGAACGCATGTATCGGACCAGCATCAAATCTTCGGGGTTCGTGTAGCCAGTGTCCATGACGAGGTCGCTGAAAAGATTTTCTTTTTACTTCGAAGCTCCACCAATCTGTTCAGGCTTCTGAGAGTCAAGAAAACCTTTGTCGAGATCCGTCAAGCTCGTCGAAAGATTCCGGAATCTTCGACTCGGTAGGCACGAACTGGCACAAAAGCAAAGCGAGAGCGATTGAGCCAATAATGTACATACCTGAAACTGTAATTTCCTTATCATCCAGGTACTTTTTGATGAAAAACGGGTCTGAACTTGAGATTCCTATGATGAAGAACACACTGAAATTTGAAACAGCAATCGAAGAAATTTCGAAACTAAATTTTTCGTCAACCGAAAAACGTAAAATGAACTGCAAAACGCCTCGAAAAGTGTCGTGATATGGGAAAAAGAGGAGATGAGCAAGTGCAAATGACATGGAATCGAGATGGGCTAATTGTAATTCCTGCCGATTTGGTTACAAGGAAAAGCTCTGATTGAGTCGAGAAATTTCTAGGTATCTTGGTTTTCTAGAAATTTTTCTAGCTATGTAGAAAAATAGACCGTAATGGACCATTTAATTCAGGAAAACTCCAAAAATTCAAGATTTTCCGCTTTTTCTCGTCAGGGTCAGCTCGTTGGAAACTTTTTGCGAATATATTTGAGAATAGCTTGAAAAAAGAATTTCTTATTGAATTTTATTTCAATCCGACATTTTTGAAAATTATCAAAAGCAAATTTTTAGTACTCCGTTTAATTTCCCTCGCTGAAATGCAAGCAAAATTTTAAATTTCGGGTTTTTAAGTTCTAAAAGTTGAGCTTTTGGTGCACGTCATTTTTGTGGATACTGGAAAAAGTCTGACTTGTCTGTGCCCTCTTTTCCGTTATCGGGAAGCTAAAATGACATGAAAAAAGAGAGCACAGGCAGGTAAGACTGTTTAAAGTCGCGGCGAATGGGGTACAATATAAATTATAAATTTGGTTCAGGAGGTCCACCTTTCTGTAGACGGGTCCTCAGAAAAAGGTTTTTGGCGGATCTTATACCTTTCCTAGGCCTTCAGAATGGGCGGAGCGTTCCGGCGAAGACGTGATAAGTTTGCGTGAGGTTACCTTCTCAACGAGCTTTGTGAAACAAATTGCTCGGGTCGAAAAATGCAAAAATAAAGCAATTTTCCGCTTCTCAAACCAATTGGTTCGATTTCAAAAGAACAAACAAAGGTGGTTCACGAAATGTCTTTTTTTATCACTATAATTAAAATCAAGATGGTTCTTCTGCACGCAACCGAACAATGGCTTGGTTATTTTCAGGAAACGTAAATTTGGTTTTTTGATTTTCGAATGACAAAAGACTAAACGGAGTGGGTCAGACTGGACCACCTGCAGAGGATTTTTTCAATCTTTGGCGCATTCAGAAAAAGGCGACCAATTGAAGGTGCAAAAAGAAACCTTGGAAATCCTTCTGAACATACTGAAAACACGGACAATGGCGTCAAATTGTAGTTTTTGAATTCATAGCTTGAGGTTTGAAGCGCAGATCCAAATTTATTCAAAAAAAAAAGTCTTCTAATAATAACATAATGATAAATTATGAGACGGTTTTGATTTTTTTCATATTATCGTGAAAAAAACTTGTTTCCGCTGAGAGGCTTAACGTGTCGCGGTTCTTGAGAAAAAGGTGTAGTTATCAAAATTAAAGCTGAATTTAAAAATGCGACTTTCAGAGCCATTTCTTCTGTTTCAAAATTTTTGAATAATGGATCATATTTCTTTTTCTTCATCTCCTAGGCATTTTGAGAGTGCGGATCTTATTCAATCAACAACGAAAAGCGAAAATATTCCTCGACTCCGGTCTTTTTAATAAATCTGCGGCTGCGACGAAGTTTTGAATATAATACTTTTTTTGAATCTCTCTGCTTCTTAACGTCGCAACTAACCGCAACTTGTAGAGTCTGACCTGTCTGAGCCCTCTTTTGTCTCACGCAAAAGTCGATAGAAACATGAAAAAAGCAGGTAAACAGGAGATTGTTTCCAACAAAAGTGTTCGAAGAGAAATGATAAAATTGAAAGTTTCGGTAACGAAATATAGGGAAATCTAAGAGGCCACAGCAGGGAACCTCAAAATATTTTTTGGAAGCGAGAAGGAGCAGAACTTGGGTAAAGAAGAAAGAAGAAAGATATTTACTGGAACAGTGTAGTTAGATAAATAAATGCATAGTTGTTCTACGAGCAGCCGTTGCATTGCAGACGAGTCGGAGGTCATCGTTTCGGGGAATTTCAGTTCAATGCTTCTGGGCTGGTTAGGGATTCTGGTTCGCCGTCAATCGAGAACAATGTTTTTGAATTTTTTATCGGGCGAAGACATTTCTGAAGAATGATTTCCGCGTCCAAGAAACATGTTTCGATGGTGGGCTCTCCCTTTAAGGAAAGATTGTTCAAAAGCTGCCGATTAATGAAAAAATAATCTATATGTGTTCTAGAAGATAAAAATAGCGTAGCTCTGATGGCATTTTTGAAGAAAATGAAAAATTTCCAACCGAAATTAGACTGGCCATGTAAAGAAGATGAAAGCTCGATGGGCGATATAAACACCTTTAATTTATGATAGTCTTCCAAGCTTCAGAAACCGCCTATATGATAAAAAATGACCTAACTTGCAAAAAATTTGTTCAGTTTTTTTCTTTTGAATTAAGTGAAAATTTCCTATGTTTCAGCGCAAATCTGAGAGGCTAGCGAATAAAATCTATTGGTTACATGGGAACTCCAGGGGATTTAAAAAATCTCAAAATTGCTCCGGAAAAATAAATTCAAACAAATATATACCCTTTTCTCTGGCTAAACTTCAACAGGACCTTCAAGGTTTTTAAGCAGTAAAAAAGTCTGAAGGGGAGAAAATTTTGCGAAAGGCTGCTTTATGGGCTCATCTGACGAAAAAACCAAATGAAAAAACGGTTCCATTTTATAGAAATTTCAATACAAAGCGATTTTCTAACGACTGTTTTGAATATGATCAGCCTGGATAGTTCTACAACTACTAGTAGAAATTATGAAAAATGACTTCTTTATACATTTTTTTCAAAATTTAAACCAAATTTTTGTGTTGAATCAGTGGTCTACTGAGTAAAAATCTTTTTTTGAAAAAAATCCTTCATCAAATGATAAAATCTCAATATGTTTCATCATTACCGTGGAAAATCTTATCAAATCAACTTGACCAAGATTTTTCACAAAGTTCGTTTTCGTCTTAACTTTATCAGTTGAAAAGTGATCCTATCAGTGGCTGAAGGGTCACTCGGCCCGTCGTCTGCCGCCAATCTCTGGAACTTTGCCCGTGTCTGCGCTCTCCTCGGAATGAACGCTCTCTAGGCGACGGCAACACGTACACAAACGCTCTTTCATGTTTCCAAAGCACCTTATGGCCGCATGGAAGTTTGTTTATTTTGTTCAATTTTTCTTGATGATCGTTTTTTCATACTTTTCTTCCATTTCCATAATATAATCGGTTTGAAAATTTGATATTTTTTCCTATTGCGCAAGACAACTGTTCCCACCGCTTTTAGACCCACAAATCTCTGCCGCTTGACCATTGAAAAATCAAAAAAAAAAAAAAACAGAGACGTTTTTCAAGCTCCTAAATTTTTTGTCGTTTCTGAAAGCACAGAGAGCGTTGGTGAGCGGATTGTATTAGGTTTGATCTGCAGAAATGATCTTTCAAAAAAAAAAAGTCCAAACAAACACGTTTTCAAGAATATTTGTCAACACGTCCTCACAGATATTGTTTTTCTTCTCTTTGGCATGATAAAATTTTAAATTTTGTCACTTTTTTTCCCATTGAATTGCTACTTTTTTCCAATGATTTCCAAAAATTTTCAAAAAGTGAAATAATGACCCTTTTTGGCGTCATTTTTGCGTCATTTTCAAAAATCCGCAATGTTAGTTCATTTTTAAAGTATACCCTTTGTTTGTTGAGTTTTATGAATGCTAAAACTGAACCGCTAGTTTTTTCGGAATACTTTTTTAAGTTTTCCAACGATGAAATACCAAAAATTAGAGTTTCTCGCGCTTAAGAAGACCCGAAAAAGCGTTTGGGGAATAGACTATAATCCTCTGAAATATTGAAGATGCCAGGAAGACTAGGATTCGCCATCGATCGTGGCGGCACCTTCACCGATGTAATTGCATTCAAATCCGACGGCAACGTCAAAGTATTAAAGGTTGGATTCCAAATTTGCATAAATTTATCGTTTTTGCAAAAAAAGGGAAGTTAGTTCCTCAGAAGTTCGTTTTCGCGAAGTAGGTGAATGATCACAGGAAAAAAATGTTTTTGTGCTTCAAAATATATTTTTAGAAAAACTGTTCAAAAACATTGCTGGTTCGCTTGGTCATTTAAAATGTTCGGAAAAGGGTCCCAAGTTGAAGAGCTTTTTGAAGAGTCCGGGATTTTTTTCTCGATTAAGGGAAATTATAGAATGTCATTAAAAATTTTTTTCGAAAATTATGCTCAAAAGGACCTTCTGATCTGCTTGAAAATTTAAAATTTTGAAAAAACCAGTCTGAAGAAAAAAGCAAAATTCAGTGATATTTAAAGTCAACGATGAGCAGAACAGCCTATGTTTCTAAAAAGAAAGAAGACAGTTAGATTTGCTGAACATTAAATTCCATTTCTAGGTCCTCTCGGTGGATCCGGCAAACTACAAAGATGCGCCAACAGAAGCCATCCGTCGGATTGTCGAAGAGGAATCTGGCACGAAAATACCTCAAGACCAGCCTGTTCCTACTGGTATTCTTCTACCAAACCTAAAACTCTAAACAAGATTCATAGACCTTATCGATTGGATTCGGATGGGAACAACTGTGGCGACAAACGCGCTTCTGGAGCGTCGAGGAGAACGTCTGGCCTTGTTGATGACCAAGGGGTTCAAGGACCTGCTCTTCATCGGAAATCAAGCCAGACCCGACATCTTCGCCTTCGATATCCGACTTCCAGAGGTTCAAATTCATCGAGGCGGGGGGCAAAATAAGTAATCACTTCTTGTAGATTCCTGATTTACTAGAAAAAGGCCTTTTGAACTAGCCGTTCCCAAAACTAATTTTTTGCTAGTAAAAGATAGGGTTTGTTACAGTACAAAAGAAAAGTTTGTAAGCTAACTTTCTGAGAACTCTGTGAAGAAACAGCTTTTTGCTCTTTTCGTGTGGAATTTGAAGAGCTTCACTCAAAACTTTCATTCTTAAAATTTTTTAAATATGAAATGAAGTGGATAAAAATAAAAAGCTTTTGAGAAGCAGTGAATGAAAGTAGATATATTGACAGACAAATAGATAATCGAGATCAAAAATGAACAAAAAATGAAGGAAATCTTCGGTTTTTACGAGAAGAAAGAAATTTGAAGAAAGAACTTCGAAATTCAATCAAAATTATCGCCATTGTCCTCAAGTTCCAGCTAACTCAATAAAATTAAAGGTTCTGTACGAAGACGTCATTGAAGTAGAGGAGCGAGTTCTGACTTCAAGAGAAGACTCGACACTAGATGTTGGAGGCTCAGTGGAGACTGCAACCAATGGAAGCAAAGTCTGAACTTCTTCAAGAAAGCATTTTTATCGAAGTTCAGATTATCGTCGAAACCCAACTCGATGAGGAAGAACTTCGCAAAAATCTCGAAGAAGTCAAGAAGAAGGGAATCAAAAGCATCGCTATTCTGTTCCTCCATTCCTTCATGTGAGTCTTGTGAAGAAGGTTGAAAATCCTTTTTTCGTAAAGATATCCTGATCACGAGCAGAAGGCTGGGAAAATCGCTCGCGAGATTGGTTTCGAGCACGTTTCTTTGTCCCATCAAGTTATGCCGATGATCAAGGCGGTACCTCGCGGTTTCACAGGTAAATTACCTTTGAAAAAAATTGTTTCATGTTTCTTTTTCAGTTTGCGCTGACGCCTATTTGACTCCGAAGATAGTCGAATACATAAAAGGCTTCAAGGCCGGATTCGGAGATTTGAGCAAAGTCCGCGTCAACTTTATGCAGTCTGACGGCGGTCTCTGCGACATGGAAAGGTCTTTTTTCTTCCGTTTTCTTCGTGTTTTGAAGGAGTTTTCCAGCTTCTTTGGATCCCGAGCCATTCTTTCCGGACCGGCCGGTGGCGTCGTCGGCGTCGCCGCCACGGCTTACGACGAAGAAACGAAAAAGCCAGTCATTGGATTCGACATGGGCGGCACTTCGACTGATGTTGGATTTTGGATCTATGAGTTGAATATTTGAGATATTCAGGTCTGCCGATATTCTGGAAACCTGGAACACGTCATGGAGACCACGACAGCTGGAGTCAGCATCCAAGCGCCGCAGGTTGAAAAAAAAAGCGATACATAAACATGAGTTACTTTTGTTTCTAGTTGGACATCCGCACAGTGGCAGCAGGCGGCGGCTCTCGACTTTTCTTCCGCGACGGTCTTTTCGTGGTAGGACCCGAAAGCGCCAGTGCTCATCCAGGACCTGTCTGTTACCGCAAGAACGGGTAATTTAAAAATAACCTGGGAAACCAATGAAGTTTTTGATTCTCATAGGTACTTAACTGTAACCGACGCAAATGTTGTGCTCGGCCGTCTTCTCCCAGAACATTTCCCCAAGATTTTCGGCCCGAACGCTGATCAGCCACTTGACAAGTGAATATTTCTACGTCTTCAATCCTAAATGAAACCTTCAGAGAAGCATCGGTAAGGGAAATGTCGAAACTGACTGACGAGATCAACTCCTATGTAAAGTCTAACGAAAGCTCCTCGCAAAAAACATATACTGTGGAAGAGGTCGGGTCTAACTTGACTTCAAAAAAACATTTATCTTTTCAGGTAGCGCTAGGCTTCATTTCTGTGGCCAATGAAGAGATGTGCCGGCCGATTAGAGCTCTTACTCAGGTTTTTTTTTGATTATGCCAAATTCAACATATAAATTTTCCAGAGTCGAGGATACGATCCTTCCGCTCATGCTTTAGCTTGTTTCGGAGGCGCCGGAGGACAACACGCTTGTGCAGTTGCTCAAGTTTTAGGTCAGAGCGTGCTCGGAATCTTTAGAAATTTTGAAGTTGGCGTTCTAGTCGAGCTTCAGAGTTGAAACTATACAATTGAAGTAGAGAAAAAAGGGCCTCTGGCGTCTTTCTTACAAAATATACCTTTATAGTAAATAAATTTCTTTAAGTTTTGGTTTTCGGTATCTATTTATAATTTTATTAGTACAGTGCCGTTTTATGAAATTTCCTTGTAGGGAGCTCAAACTTTCTGAAACTTTCTAAGCTGCATTTTTTTTTTCTGCGAACTGAGACTTTTTACAAATTACAGTCATCACTACTCCATAAATTTCCCGTAGGATCGGTACAAGAAAGTTGAGATTGAAAAATCGTTCTTTTCGTATCTTTTCTGACGGAGCTGCGTGTTAGATGCAAAAGTCGATTTTTTTTTCGATGAGTTCTGAATCTGCGTGTCCGAAAGTACTGCTGTACGCACATCCACATAATTCTGAAGCAACCTTAATTTGCCCTCCCTGTGTCAAAGAGGAGCTTGAAGCTTCAAGATAAAAATGCTTTCAGGAATAACCGAAGTCAGAATCCACAAATACGCCTCGCTCCTTTCCGCCTACGGAATCGCTCTGGCCGACGTGGTCACAGAAGTTCAACAACCACTCCAACTGGTCTATGATAAAAGTAACTTTGTAAAGTTCAAACTAAACTAAAAAAAAATCGTTTCAGAAAACTACGAGGAGATCTCCCGACGACTGTCCGAAATGGAAAAACAAGCAAGAGAAAAGCTTCGAGGCGAAGATTTCGAAGCCGAGCAAATCAGCTGCTCCAGCTTCCTCCACATGAGGTACGACAAGACCGACACGGCCATCATGATTGCTGCAGATTTCGACTCAAAGGCTAGTAAATATTTATGATCACAGACCCATTAAAAAGGTTTAAGGACCCACAAACGCTATCCAACTACGCCGACGTCTTTCTTGAAACCTACAAGCGGGAGTTCGGCTTTTATTTGGAGCATCGCGAAATAATTATCGATGATTTGAGGTTCCGAGGAAATAAAAAACTTTAGAAGAAAAAATATTTTAGAGTAAGAGCTGTCGGAAAAGCAAGTCATCACAAGGAAGAAGAGATCAAAAGAGCTGAAGAGCCTGAAAACCCACCAAGTCCTGGATCAACATTAGTCCATTTCTCTGTATGTTCAAAGTAGTTTGCTCGAAACTTTTGAAAATTCAGGAAGGAGCGCTGGATTCTAAGATCTACTTCCTCAATGAGATGAAAGCCGGGCACATTATTCAAGGACCTGCTCTTTTGATTGATAAGAACAGGTCGGTTGATTCCAAAGTTCCAACCTACTGGGAAAACGTTTAGTGGCCACTATAGAGGTTCGCCAAGGACTAATTGGAGGACACTAAAAAGGCCACTAACCCCACCCTTATAGTGGCCACTATTTTCCATTTTAGTGGGCACAATAGAGGTTCTCTATTTAGTGGCCACTTCAGTAGTTTTCAACCCAGTACTCCTTTCATCCACCTATTGATCCCTAAAGTGGCCACTAAAATTTTAAGTGAGCTAGTAGTAGCACTTAGACTATAGTGGCCACTAATTTTTAACCCCTTAAATGGCCCCTAATATGACTACTATAGTGGCCACTCAAACGTCAAAACCCTATAGTGGCCATTAAAAATTTTCCCCGTATTTTTAGTTTTTTTTATTAGCCACGATAGGAAAAATGTGTGCTGCACTGAGAATGGCGAGAGTTGTGACGGTTGTAATTATCCATTAATGAATTTTTCCAGCGCCTTTGAACCGATCATTGAAAATCTCAAAGTCAAAGGAATGTCTATAAAATGCAAGCTTTGAAGCTTAAACACGGACTGAAACCTGACAGGATTATTTTGAGCCATTCTAAATGCAACCAAGATTTTTTGCATGAAAATATTTGTTTCCTATTTTAGATTTTATCTTTTCAGCACCGTCGTTATCGAGCCTGGAAGCCGTGCTGAAATTTCGGATAATGGAAACATTTTCCTACATGTCAGGAGAAAGTCTGAGCAAGACACGAGTGTCAAGGTTATTTTCCCCTTTGGAAATGAATTTCAAGTCATTTTTAGGTTGATCCCATTCGACTCGCCATTTTCAGCAATCGATTCATGTCGATCGCAGAGCAAATGGGTCGAGTTTTGCAAAGAACTGCCATTTCTACTAATATAAAGGTGATTTATAAGAAAGATACAATAAAACAGAGTTTCCAGGAGCGCCTCGACTTCTCCTGCGCTCTGTTCAGCCCTGACGGCGGATTGATCGCCAATGCTCCCCATATTCCGGTTCATTTAGGTGCGAACTCATCTCAAAATGAAAGAGGAACTAACTGGTTTCAGGTGGGATGCAGTACACGGTCAAGTTCCAAATCGACCATCTGGGCCTCGAGGGAATGCGTGATGGTGACGTCATCTTGGCCAATCATCCAACCGCTGGCGGCTGTCATCTTCCCGACTTTACCGTCATCTCGCCGGTTTGAGCCTAGCTTCTTTCACCTGGAAGTAGTTGATTTGAGGTATACTTCAAAGGAATCAAGGTTCCCGTCTTCTTCTTGGCAAATCGAGGCCATCATGCTGATATTGGTGGTCTGGTACCAGGAAGTATGCCTCCGAACGCGACCGATATATCTCAGGTAGTTTGAAACTTTCTTTCTCATTTAGAAGTTCTTCCGAAGGCTGAGGATAGTTAGGACAATGTGAACAACAGAGAAAATGTTTTTATGATATCTGGGTTCGGACTTTAGCGGAAAAATGAAAATTTTTAAAATTTTACGAGCTCCTCTTGACGTGGCAGAACAACTAAAAAATAAAGAAGCAAGGTCTTGAAACCAATCAGATCCCTCCTAGATTCCTTGGTGAAATGAAGTAAAGAACAAAAAAACTTCCTAGGAAGGAGCCGCTTTCATCTCGTTCAAAGTGGTCGACGACGGAACGTTCCAAGAGGAGGCGTTGGTGGAAGCCCTCAAGGCGCCTGGAAAAGTCCCGGGCTGCTCGGGAGCCCGAAACATTAGCGACAACATCTCAGACATCAAAGCTCAGATTGCCGCCAACAGAAAAGTATGTCTATCTTTCATACTATTCTCTAAATAAAAGTGACCAGGGCGCTGCTCTCGTGTGTTGTTTAATCGACGAATATTCGCTGGAGGTGGTCCACGCCTACATGGATCACATTCAGGCTACTGCGGAGGAGAGCGTCAGGAACATGCTCAGGAAGGTTTTCTTCCGTTTCATCACATGAGGAATGATTTATTGTTTCTTGAAGGTCGGCAAAGAAATCAAGGAAGAGACGGGTTGCAGCAGATTGGAAGCTTCAGATTTCATGGACGATGGGACCGAAATCCGACTAGCAGTTGATATCGACATCGACAAGGTTCAAAAAAGTTATATCGAAGATAGGAACTAGGATTTCACAGGGAAGCGCGGTGTTCGACTTTGCCGGCACTGGTTCAGAAGTGCTGACGTCATCGAACGCGCCGCACGCCGTCACCATGTCCGCCATCACCTATTGCCTCCGTTGCCTCGTCGGAAAAGACATTCCACTCAACAACGGATGTCTTGCTCCCATCGATGTAAGACTTATCGCCTTGCTTGACCCAAAGAAGATTTGCAGATCCGAATCCCGCCTGGAACCATCCTCTCGCCTTCGAAAAACGCTCCTGTCGTTGCTGGAAACGTTTTGACAAGCCAAAGAATCTGTGACGTCATCTTCAGAGCTTTCCGCGCCGTTGCCGCTAGTCAAGGTTATTTTTTGACTATTGTAAAATTATTTTTCTGTCCATCCAAGGCTCCCCAACATATTATTTAATATTGGCATTTCTCTGATCATAGGCCATAATTCAGAAAAAGTCTATTGGAAGGTACTAAGAAATTTTAAAACCAATATCAAGGCATCTAGTCTGCAGCTCAACCATAAGTGTTCATATAACTTTCAGAATTTTTCCTTCTGCATTTTAATGAATTAAAATTCGAAAATCTTCTCAAAATGCATAAAAACCAACGGTTCAGGTTGTATGAACAACTTCATCTTCGGCGACGAGAAGATGGGCTACTACGAGACGATCGCCGGCGGCGCTGGCGCCGGAAACGGATTCGACGGCCGTTCTGGAGTCCACACTCACATGACCAACACCCGGATCACAGATCCTGAAATCCTCGAGAGCCGGTTTCTCAATTTATGAAAGTCTTAATAACGCTGGCCAAGTCGGAAGTCTCAAAAACGCTCAAAAGTTTTCTTTTTGCGCCCGTTTTCGGGACATCCGACTTAACTTGAGGTTATAGCCGATTCACGGCTAACTCGCGACGTCATCTGTCTGCGCTCTCCAGAAACCTGGCACTATCTTTTTTCATCGTGTTAGAACTCTTTTTCGATGAATCAAGTCAGCCGTGAATCAGCTCTGAAGGAATCCGTGGCGACCTTGCCAGTGAAATCTCTGTTTCAGCTACCCCGTGATCCTACGTGCGTGGCGACTTCGGCACGGCACCGGCGGCGCTGGAAAGTGGCGTGGCGGCGACGGCGTCGTCCGCTGTATTCAATTCAGAAAGCCGCTCTCCATGTCGTTGCTGACTGAGAGAAGGTTTCCTCAAGAGTGCTTCATTCAAAAACTATGTATATTTCAGAGCCTTGGCGCCCTATGGAATGGCAGGAGGCGAGGATGGAAAACGAGGCCAGAATATTCTGACGAGGAACGGACGAGTCGTCACTATTGGCTCTAAAATCACAACCGACGTGGAGGCCGGAGTGAGTTTCTACTTTTTTTCACAAGTTGAGAGAAACTCTTGTTTTGAACTCAAAGTAATCATTATTCTTCAGAAAAAAAGTTCTTTAAACCAACAAAATTTATTTTTTTGGAGCTTTTTGTCATTGGAAAACCTTGACTTTAATAATCCCATAAATTCAATGAAATAATTCTTTTGCAAATTATTTTGATCTATTTCTGCTCATTTTTAACCGTCACTTTTTTTCGAAAGTCTTCCACTTTTTGTCAGAATTCCGTTCATACTCGGAAAAAGAAACCGAAATTCGGCCTAATTTGTGTTCCTATAAACTACTATAAGTTCTGAGCCAAGACTCAAACAATGAAAAAAATGTTTGCAAAAAATAGGAATACATTCGAAAAACTAATTCAGTTGGAAAAGAAAAAGATAACGCTTCTGAAAATAAAGCGGTTTCTTCAGGAAATACTTCAAATAAACACACCCGGAGGTGGTGGCTACGGAAAAGCCGACAAAGAATGAACGGACATCACTCCAACGCCATACGAGTGAAAATATATATTGTTTTTGGATTCTGTTGGAGATGTAAATTTATTAATTGAACATAGAATAAAGCCAGAGGAAACAGGTTAGAACAAACGAAACCGGTGAAATATAAACTCAACAAAAAATAAATAACATTTTCTATGGAAAACAACAACAATTCAATGAATAGTCTAACCTCAGATATGCGAATTTGAAAAAAAGGCAGGAGTATTATGGTAATCAGGAAACGGTAAGTTTTCGTCCGGCGAGAGAGGAGATTTCGACGGTCGGATGGACCAAAGCGTCGGATTCGTCTTTCAGGGAAATCTTTCCGTTCCACAAATCGAAGGCCGATCGAACCTGGAAAAGGAAAATATTGAAAAAAGGAACAATACTAATAAAGAAACGGAAAATATCATGTAAAGAACGAACATTGTAAAGAAGGTCGTGATACTTTTCCAAAGTGCCATTTGAAGTCTTCAATGGGATGCGGATCTGAGGTAAATAACGGATTGAGATGAGGATTTCCATAAAAATCTCAAACCTTCTTGGACCCATTGAAAACGGTGACACCTTCAAATGATGAATCCGTGTCGGAGAACAGCCAGAGCTATAAAAAAATGAAATGAATTGGCAGCTATTTTTCGTCTTTTTTTTTGACCTTTTTTTGCTGCCCTTTCAGCTTACTTTGGACCTTCGAACTTTATTTAGGCAGTCATTTTGTGAAATAAATCTTTTTCGCAATAGAGTTATGAAATAAAATAGCTTTTATGGTCTTTTTGAGATTTTTTGAATGCTGGTGATGGGTGCCGGTGGCAGCCTTCAGATTTCTCAGAGCGAGAAAAACTTTCATGTATTGAAGATCTCAGGTTTTCTCTAAATATCTAGTTTAAATGTCACCTTTCCAATGCTACTCTTACTAATTCCTTCGAAGACAAAGTCAAAAAGAATTTCTAACCTCAACTTCGGCGTCCTTGATAGCGCTTTTGCTAGTAGCAGTGGCCGTTTTGGTCGGAGCTCCGATGGTGATTGGAGTGCCGGTGGCGGCCTCGATCTCGGCCTTCCTAGCCGTCAGAACCTGCCCAACCAGGGAGTCCGCCGGTTGGACGACGATGTGGACGGAGGCCGAGTCGGTAGAGATTAGTTTGGCCTGTTTCCGAAGTCGCTGCACCCTGTTAGTGACTTCGCGGCACAGGCCTTCCTCCACCAGAGACTCGTCCTCAGAAGTGTCCACCATCACGATCGTCTGAAACCTTTCAGTTTCTTCCTTTTCATTTCAGTAGGAGGACCTTGGCATCGGAATGCGTTTGGTAGCCGTGTTCTCCAGGAGCACTCGTATTGTTGGCGTAGCTCACCGCGACTTCCTCCGACGTCAGTTCGTGTCCCAGAACCGTCAGCTTTCCTTCAAAATTAACATTACTAACGGGGAAAAAGGTTCTGAGAAACTATGAAGGTTTACTAAGCGTGAACGGGTTAAAGTTTACTAAAATGTGGTATATGATCGAAAAATCTCCTACCATCCGTCATAAGTATTTCTTATTACAGTCTTTAACGAGAGCGGTTCAGTAATGGATAAAAAAAAACTCTAAACAGTATATTTTTTCGGTGAGAACATGTTTTTATTCTAACTTATGAATGCAAAATATTCGTCCTAATCGGTATATTTTCGCGAGCCAATTTTGGAAGGAAAATCAAATTTTGTATAGTAAGATTTTTGTTAATGAGAGGAAAGTGGAAAAATTTTCAGTGATAACTTCATAAATTTGAAAAAAAAACCCCTAACTATTTTTATGAGCACAAAAAAACTTCAATTTTCCTTTTTTTTAAATCCAAAGAAATATTTTTAGAATTATTTTCTTTTGGTTTTTTTCCGAATTATTTGACGATCTTCACTCAATCAAAACAGTACCTTCCGCCAAAAACTGCTCCAACTCGGCCTCGGTGATCTTGTTCTTCAAGTAGTCAGCCACCTTCTTCTGCTCGCCCTTCAGCCGCGCGCCGAGCAATTTGAAGTTGGGATCGGCCTGAAGATATGAGAGGAAAAAAAAAAAGAAGTGAGACGAACCTTGAGCGTGATGCCGTACTTGTTCTTGTCTTGAGAGACGGTCAACTTGCGGACGTTCAGTTCGAGAAGGACGTAGTGTTTCAAGCTTTCAATGTCCTCCAAGTACTGGCTGTTGCGGTTGATTACGATCATTTCCTTCAGCGGATACTGAAAAGGCAACTTTCGTATTTGTTTTTGTAACACGTCGACATTTGATTTTTGTTTTAAAGCATTTCGCTTAGCTACGAACGTTCTAATGATTTCTAACAGATTTTGTCCCCTTGTTATACAAAAAATTATATTTTAAAAAAACGCATATCTGAAATAAATCTGTCACTTCGAAATCTTCAGCTGAAGTTCAAAATTACCTTGACAGCGATTCCTTCGCGATCTCGAACCAAACGAACGAGATCAATGACGTTTCTCATGGCTTCGACGCGTCTCTCCACGTTTTCGTCGATCAAACTCTCGTTGGCCTCCGGAATCATGGCGAAATGCACAGATTCCTCTTTGGCGCCCGTCACCTGGAGAATCATACTTTATTTTTTTTTCCTATGACTTTCAAGCCTTCCGCAAGTTCTGCCAGATGTACTCGGAGAAGAACGGCGTGAAGGGGGCCATAAGCCGGACGATCAGGACCAGAACACGTCCTAGGGCAGCCAAAGCGTGCAGCTGATCTTCGACGCCAGAGTCTCCCTAAAAATGGTTAAACTTGAAAGAATAAATGAATTCCATGGCTTAAAAAACTGCAGCCTCTACAAAAATGATGAATACAATATCGTTTTCTTTTCTGTTTCCAAATAAACATAAATTTCGAGTTTGTGCTCAAACTCTAATCAAGGTATATTGATCCATATAATATATTATAGTGAACCCCTTTTTTTAACCTGACATTTCCGTTTTTTTCTAATTAGAAGCTCAATTTTTCCGACAACAAGCCTTGCGCTACTCTCATCCTTCTTACCAAGTAACAAAAAAAATTGAACGCGAAAAAAAAAAATACAAAATTTAACTTTTAAGCATGAGATTCCGGGTTTTTCTCAATTCCATGAGTTTTTTTTTTTACCAAATTTTCAATTCTAAATTCGTTCAAGCAGGACCTATGGCCTATTTTTAAGCTTTTGAAACTAGAAAGTTTGAAGCTTAGAAAACTGCAGTAATTCCTTTAAAACTTGTACATCATTTTGAGATTTTTTTTTTCTCATGAAATAAATAAAAATTTGACAAAAGAACGAGTTGAATCTAAGGCGGGGTTCCTTGTTTTCAAATTCTACCTTTATTCTTTTTCTGTTCAGACGAATGTAGATGTTGGTGAGAGTGTCGAAATAGCGCGTCAATGGTGAGACGACAGCGTACAGACGGTACCTGAAAAAGTTATTGCATGGAAAAAACAACGAAACATGGGAGTTAAAAATTGTCAGATGTTTAATAATTTACTGCTGTTTTCACAAAGCTAACTTTTAAAAATATTTTCTGAAAAATCGTTGAGAGATGAATGAAATTCTTTTTTCATAGGATAAAAACCGACGCATTCATTTCCTTGCGCACGAATCCAACCAAAGAGTTGGTGAACGACTCGATCCAACGGTCCATCACATTCTCGCTCTTCACCTCTTGAGGCATGACAAACTGCTGTTGAGTGTCCTGAAAAGGAAAAATTTGCATGAAACGTGAAATGAAAATAGGTACATGTTCATAAAGTTGAACATTCTGGACGAAGAAACGATAGGCGTTGAACCACGGGAGGAAGACGTCTTTCAGAAGATCTCGGACGCCTTCTTCTCTGAGAATTTAGTCATATTTTTCCATAATTAAATATTGCAGTTGGAAAACGAGAAATTTGTATCACAGAGCTTCGGCCTCTAACTGGGATGGGAAGTATTGGCAAAACTTCAAGATCAGAAAAGATTTGAATTTTTTCGAAATAATTTTTCAGCGTTTCATCAATCTCTCAACGTAGCTTTGCACGTGGAATTATAAAAAAGCGAGCAATAAGAGTTTTTTTTTTCTTTTATTCAGCCTTTAAAACTATTGGTTGTAGTAGAATGATTAGAAATTGCCTAAAATTGAAATTTAAAAATGACCTAGCTCTAATTTGATAATCATTAACCTCATTCATAAAAACCAGAAAAACCCACCGGAATCGCAAATTTTCTCCTCGAACAACCGGCGAATTGATGAGGTAGAGCCGGAGAGCGTCGGCGCCATATTTGTGCACGATTTCCATCGGATCCGGGTAATTCTTCTTCCTTTTCGACATCTTCGAACCATCCGGCGCCAACACAAGACCGTTGCAAATCAGGTTCTGAAGAAGTTTCAAAATTCAAAAAAAAAATTACGTTAATTCTGTAAACATAACTTTTTTTAATCTGTACGAAACTTGATATTTCCTGTGCACATAGACTTTTAACGTTTGCGCTTACTTCTAGAAAAATTTTTAGCAAGCAGAAATGTAGACAAAAACCAAACTTCTTTCCCGCTTCAAACAATTTCGAAATGAACTCCAAATTTTTTTTTTCAATTCACTTTGCTGTTTTTTTCTTTTGAAACCCCCCTTAACCCTCATTAATCTTCCTATTTCAGGAAAACTACAAAATTACCTTCCATGGCGGTTTGTTGAAGAGCGCCGTGGACAGAACGAGAAGCGTGTAGAACCATCCGCGGGTTTGGTCGATTCCTTCGGCGATGAAGTCGGCCGGGAAGTTCTCTTCGAAGATCTCAACAAAAAGGTTAATGAAAGAAAGTAAAATTCTGAAAACCTTGCGGTTCTCGAACGGATAGTGATTCTGGGCGTATGGCATCGAGCCCGACTCAAACCAGCAATCGAATACCTGAAAAGAGACACATTTAAAAGGAATCAACGAAACAGTTAAACCTCAGGAACACGACGCAAAACGCCACGTCCAGTTTTGGACGGGATCGTGAGGTGGTCAATGCTGGAAAATAGGACAGTTAGAGGCGAAGATCCTATTGAAAATAAGGAAAAAGTATTGAGGAAGCGGTTTTTGCAAAAAATTTCACGTTTGAAGCTTAGGCACAATTAAAACTGACCAAAGAAAATTTTGAAAAATGATGAAAAACCAAACTTAATGGAGTTTCCTCACATTTTTCATGTGAACACGAATCGAATGTTAACAATGAAAAAGAAGATAAAAACAATTTAAAGAAAATCAGAAGAAAGTGAGAGAAAATCTTTAAAATTTGCTCTGGCTTCAAAATATAACCTAGTTCTAATCAGTCAGATACGTAATGAAAATAAAGAATAGTTTCTTCCAAAATTTCAATTATCCACACTTTTTTCAGCTATCTCAATTCACCTCTCCCGATGGATATCCGTGATCTTGTGGCCGGTGAGCTCCTCCAACTCGGCGATGCTGCTTGGCGCCACGACCTCCTCCAAGTCGTCGCTGACCCACAAGTTAATGGGAGTTCCCCAGAAGCGATTCCTCGAAACTGCCCAGTCTCTCGCGTCGCGCAGCCAGTTCGCAAAACGCTTTTCTTTCACGAAAGCTGGTACCCTGAAAATTAGCTTATTGTAACTTTTTTTCGATGTCAATGAACCTATTGAACTAGACACTCTGAAGATCTACATTGAAAAAATATTAAAAAGGCGTTTGAAGAAATTTTAACATTTACTTTTTTAAATTTTTTCATCGTAAGGTCATGGTTTCCACTCTTTCGATGATACTCTTGAACTTTGAGTTTGTCAAAGGCGGCTGTTAGAAATCGTTTGAAAAGTTACGCCTTCTGGTCGAATACATCTATTACTAAAAAGCAAAATAACTATCGATTGATAGACCTTAGATGAAAAAAACTATACAACTTCTAGGAATAATCAACAAACCAATAAGTTTGCTCGTTGTTGGCCAGAAGAAGAGGAACGATGCTTTCCACACGGATGAACCACGACGGAACGGCCTTGTAGAGGAGCGGAGTGTCCGACCGCCAGCAGAACGGGTACGAGTGTTTGCACTGGAATATTCCAATAAAACATTGAAAATGAAATAAAAACCAAGAAAATTATTTAGGCCTGCCAGTAGCTATCTGAAAAGAGCCTCAGAGGTTCTATTTTTAGATACAGTAGTGTTAGAAATCTCTGATTAACTTTTGACTAAACCCACATCGGATTGCCGGACCAAATGACCAGTCTCCTTGAGATGCTTCAAAATGAGCTTGTCGGCATCCTTGACGTACAAGCCAGCGTAGTCAGGCACTTCTTTTGTGTACCTGAGAATAGTTTTATTTTTTTATTCGTGACTTAAGAAACTTTATCATAGTCAAATTTATCAGATTTAGGAAAGAAGGAAAACCAAAAAAAAAAGTTTTTATTTCGACAGAAGAGCTTCGAAGTTCTAACATGGATTATAAGGGATAGAAAAAAAGTAATCTTCTGAAAAAAAAAACATCTGAAAAGCTCATTCTTTCGACAAAATAATTCCTTAAAAATATCTATTTGCTCATTCTTAAAAATTCGAGCGCGGAAAAGTCCCTTCTAAGCTTATTTCACAAGAAAAAGACGATTCTGAAACTCACAGTCCCTTCTCATCAACCGGACAAACGACCATGTCTTTGGTGATGATCTCGTTCTCCTTGCAAACTTGGTAATCGATCTGAAAACCCAACTATATTTCTTATACCCTCTGAAAATGAACCTCTCCGAAATAAGGAGCCTGATGGACGATCCCAGTACCGGTATCAGTAGTCACAAAAGTGTTGTTGAGTACTCGGAAGGCGCCGGTTTGTTCTCGCAAATGCTTGAAGTAGGGGAACAGCGGCTCATACTTCACGCCTTCCAGTTGCTTGCCGGTCATCTTAAAATATATTAGACACTTTTATCTTGATGAGTTCGCGTAAAGAGCGCCAGACTGTCCTAGAAATTTTTAAAACACTAAAAATGAACCCTTAAAAGCCTTTCTAAACATCCGAACCAGACAAAAAACTCTCTAGTTGCTATGAAAAATACCTTGAGTCCCTTTCAAATGTAAAAATTTGTAAAAATTTGCTCTCTTAACTCTAAAATTCTGGGTTTTTCGGTGATAACTAACTCAGTTTAAAACAATATTAGATCGTGACGATAATTGTTTATTGGTCAATTCTCAAATTTACTGTTTTCAAAATGTGCCTGGTCGTACCGAATCTTCGTTTTAGAAACTTCAGTTAGTAGTGAACATTAAGATTCCCAGCTTTTTTCTTGAAGCATTAGCTTAGTTTTGACTGATTTCCACAAGTTGATAGAAACTTCTTAAAATATTTTTAGAGCTTCAAAGCTTTCAAAAAAGAAAATTGTTTCACAAAAAATTGAACGATTAAAACTACTCTGGAGGCGAAACAAACCTTTTCGACAACTTCCAAATTCTCATTTTTCAGTTCAAAAAGACGGTCCTCCATTACAACGTATTCCTTGCCCGTCGTTTTGTCTACAAAAACAAAGTAAATCAGTTAGAAATTTTCAAGAACCTTTGGCGACAAGGTATTGCAGTTCGGGATGAACACAGAGGGCAAGATTGCTGGGCAAAGTCCACGGAGTCGTCGTCCAGGCCACCAAATACCGGTTCTCATGGCCTTCTTGTTTGAATCCGACAAATGCTGAAATTTCAATTTATTATGAATATTTTTCGAAGGGGAGGACCTGAAGGATCAACGACATCTTTGTAGTTCTGTCCGGCTTCGAAATTCGACAGCGGCGTGGAACAAGCAGTGGAAAACGGCATAACCTATACAAAATTCAGCATTGACTATGAAAAACATATGAATTTGGAGCCAACCTTGACGCCCCGGTAGACGAGACCTTTCTTGACGAGCTCAGAAAAAGCCCACCAGACGCTTTCCATGAAAGTCGGGTACAATGTCTTGTAGTCGTTTCGGAAGTCGATCCATCGACCCATCCGATTCACACTTTCTTCCCATTCCTAGGAATTTTCAGGATAAGAGAAATTGAAACAACTCTATCGAAAAATCTTTTAAAGCTCCAGAAAAATGAAAAAAACGGAAATATTAGAGATTCTCCTGAAAGAAATTACCGCATTTTTTTCCTTTTTTTCACTGTTTCTTTTTCCAATCAAAAAAACTCTATTTATATAGTCTCAATAAAAAAACTCTTTGGAAGTTTTCAAAACTTTTTACCAGTCACTTTAGACCGTTTGTTTGAAATTTTTGGATATTTTTTTCTATAAAAAAACCTTTGAAAAAAATCTCCCCTCTAATATCCCTTTTTTTCAATAAATTTAAAAATCCGGAACAGCTTTTAGACCAGATTGAGATGATAAATGAGGCGCAATTTTAAATTATTATGATTCTCTGGAAATAAAAGACGGACCATTTTGCAAAAAATCTATGAAAATCTTATATACCATGGAAATATTTTTTTACTCTAATTAGGAAGAAAAATCTCAAGTTAAGCCACCGTTCAAAAGTTTAGCATATTCGTGAAATTGTCGAGTTTACAGACTTATACCTTATTGAGCATCAGATAACAATTTAAAAAAAGTAAAAATATGGTTCTAGGTTTCATTACTCTCAAGTCTCAATAAACTTCAGTACCGCGGAGTATCTCATGACAATGGAGCGGCAATGCTGATTGTAAGTGCCGATTCCCATTTCGTAGACATCTTGCGGTCCTTTGATTCCGAGACTTTTATCGACCTCGTGTTCCTAAATTCCAATTGAACAACTTTTTGCGTTCATTTCAACATACGACAGGTAACCCATGAGTGTCCCATCCGAACCTTCGTTGGACACAATGTCCATTTTGATGGGCCCATCTCGTAACCACGTCCTGAAGTAGTCGAAAAATGATCAAACAAATAAAATGATTTAAAAAAACCTTGATAGTTCCCGCAAGAATGTGACCGTAATGAGGAAGACCAGTGGCGAACGGCGGACCGTCAAAAAAGGTGAAATGAGGGCGATCTTTTGAAAGTCTGAAATCAAAATCCCTTTTAAAACTGAAAAACTGATCAACTTACGCAACAGATTTCTGGAAGGTGTCTTCATCTTTCCATTTTTTCAAAATTTTCGCCTCCTCGTCGGCAAAATTTATCTGATCTGGTACAGTTGACAGCTTAGCCATCGTTTACCACGTTTTACCGCAAGTCTGAGATAAATGAAAATGAATACGGAAACATCAATTTGAAACATAAAGTGGTATTTTTATACCGTAAAAGGAAGTGAAATTGGAAAAAATTTTCTAACATGACGGAGAAAAGACAGCTTTCGCAATCTGATGTAACAAAAATAAATAAAAATATCGCGGTTCAAATCGCGGCACTAATAACAAGAAGATGAGCAATTAAACCTCTTTTTCAAATATTCGACCTCCAAACTCAATGAAATAAATCTCCATGGAAAAGATTACATGAGAAGTTGAGTTATTCTCAAATACTTAGGATTTCAAAAAATGTCACAATATGTGACAATTCGAATTCTCCACTATAACTGATTCTGATATTGCGCAAGAAAAAAATTCACTTGGAAGTACATCGACGATAATAAAACTAGAACTGGAACATATGAAACATCTTCCGCCCTTTTTTCTGGCATTTTCGCCGACGAAATCGTCATCGTCATAACCTTTTTCCACTCTTTTACTCAATATACCTGTGAGGAAAACGAGACTAGACACAAAAACTACTAAAAATATGTAAATTTAACAAATTAGGCCAAAAAGTAGTAAAACTTTTGAGTCCAAAATGTAGGATTAACCTTTTGCGTCGGCTCAAGCGTAATGTCCGCGAGCACGTTGGAGTCAAAAACCATGACAGTATTTGAAAAAATTATCTTTAACCGCACAAATTTTTTTATTTCTGATTGTGTTCCGGTTTCTATGTTTCCCAACTTCATTTTTTTACCTATCTATAGATGCTTTCCATAAGAAGATGAAGAACTTAGTAACTCACGTCAAAATTACAGATATTGTTTAGTAATTATTTTATTTTATTTTCAATGTTCTTAAAATTCATTATTTGCAGCTATGACGGAAGTTGTTGAGCGAATGAAAGGAAAACGCGTTGTTCGGCCGATCGTATATGGAAACACCGCCACTTCTTTCGGTTACAAGCGAGAATCAGATCAGCACACCCATCAGTGGACAGTATTTTTGAGGTTTTTTTTTGAACTCATTCTTGATTTTCCTTCGATAAGAAATGATGTGTAAAAGTTTTAGAGGTTTATTTTTATGGTTATCGCCGAATATTTTGATTTATTGTAGAACTTTTAATGCCGAAGATCCGACAAAATTCATTCGAAAAGTGCAATTCAAACTACACGACAGTTACGCGAACAGCACGCGAGGTGAGGTTGTAAATTTTTTGAATTTTGAAGAAATCTTTTCGAAGTGGTCGAAAAGCCGCCATACGAAGTCGTAGAAACGGGATGGGGAGAGTTCGAAATTCAGATCCGTATTTATTTCATCGATCCCAACGAGAAGCCGGTATTTTTTAATCGCAGTTTTTTTGAATTTTTCTTTAAGATTACTGCTTTCCATTACCTGCGACTATTCCAACCTCTCGTGACAATGCCAAATGGGAAACAACAAGTTATCGCTGAATATTTTGATGAAATAGTTTGTTTTCAAGAAGGAAGAAGATAATTATTGCTAGTTTCCAGATTTTCCAAGAGCCAACGGTGCCGATGTACAAAGCTTTAACGGCAGGAGAGGGGAAGAAGCCCGATGTGAAGCGATTTCACAACGATTGTCAGTTTTTTTCTTTCAATTTTTCAACTGCTCTAGTCACGAATTCAGTTCAATAATAATTTCTAAAAACCGATTTAAAAAAAGAAGTTGAGGCTTCCAAAAAGCAGAGCAAGAAGCTTTCAAGTAGATTCGTTATAAAAATAAAATAAAAGAATTGTTTATCAGGTATGTTTCTTTTTCAAGATCCGATAGTTGAAAAAAAGTAATAATTTAATTTTGTCAGTACTGCAAGTCTGCAACCGGAGTATAGAAATCGGACAAGCGGCCCGCGACGAAATCGCAGCAGAAATCGAAGATTTGCGGGAAGCTCTGCGAGAAGCGCACAAACTGATGGTCCGGCACAAAGACGAGGTCCGCAACTCTTTTTTTTCCATCTAAAAGATACCATTTTCAGCTGGAGCAAATCCAGGACGCGAGCGAGACCATATCGACGAATGGCGCTCTTTAAACTTTGCAAACACGGTTTTCCCTCAAATGGATGCATTTTTAATAGCTAACTTATCTTCTCACATTACGGGCCTAACCATTTTCTTCTTCTTTGTTCACTGTTTTCTTGTTTATATGAAAAATCAGAAAAAGCAGCGGCCTTTGCATCAAAATGATAATTTGAAAGCTTCACGAAAGATGGAATTTCCAAAACTCTGGATTTTTTTTGTTCATGCTTTTTATTTCCAAGGTTTGAAAGGTGAAAAAGTGATTTTTTTTTGTGAATAGCTCATAATTGCCTAACACTTGATGCATGAAACAACAAAAAAACACGGCTCTTCTATATAAATTCTTAATTCATCATGTCGTGCTCGGAAGGTCTTCAATTTACTGGGAAATAGAAAAAAAATAGTCGCTACTTTTATAAAAATCCAGTTTTAATGAATGAATCTCCAATTTTCTTTTTCATATTAACTCAACGTGATAAGAAGGGACTTCGAATTTTCTTTCACCTGAAAAAGGAACTCATAGGTTTCTGATTTTCAGTATATCGAAAAGTATCCGGAAAATGGGGTAGGTAATAATGAAGTTATAACTTGAAGGAACTCTCTTTAATTTTTTTCGAGGTGCCTTCTTCGGAACTGAAAACCATTGAACTTTTTAAAATCTGTTGACCGGTCTGAAAATTAGTTCTTCAGAAGTTCTATTGAAGCTTTCGGTCACTAAAAAAAAGTATGTTTTAAAAGTCCTAGAAAATCGTTAGTTTCATCAGTCTCTTGCAACGGAAGATGGAATTGCGAAAAATCGAGTATTTTATCTATGATAATGGTAACTTCGTTTTTTTTTTTTATCAAGCCCTCCTTACTGCTATCAGCAAAAAATCAGAGGGAAAAGATGAAAGGAATCATAATTTAGAAAAGTTTCAAATTTTTGGAAAGTGTGTTCAAACTCTCACATTTGATCTCATAATAATTCGTCTTGAAGTCTCAAAGGTTTCATATTTTTCGAAAGAAAAAGGAGCTGTAACTTTAGATTCTTGGACGATGTCCAGAGGTTTGAAGCATTCGCTCTTAAAAATTAGGTTTATGCAACTTGAAATTTCTTCTAAAAAGATCCAAGAGTTTCGTCCAGTTTTCAGAAAATTCTAAATTTTTGAGTAGCAACCCTCTGTGAATCTTCAAAAGAGTTTTCATTCGATTTCGAGATGTCAACCAAAGAGAGGCTAGAAAAAAAGTTGTTCCTTTTTTTTTCGTTATCCACACTTTGTAGCGTGATTTGATTGACCCACATATGTAAGATTCTAAAAAGAAAAAACTCACAATTTTTGAATGGAAAACTCAAAATGAAGCTTGAGGATTTCTGTCTCCATTTTCCATATTCTTGTCACATGTCTTACCGGTTTCCCTTTAAAAAGATAACTGTGACAAGTAAAGTTCCCTCTGATAATGACTACTATGAGAAACTTTTCAGAGCCACTTTGATACTTCCAGATACATACTTTTTTTTTTCATTTCATCACTTTGGTCAAATTGGGTCGCTCAAAAAAAAAGCTTCAAGTTGACAGACTTTGGAATTTTATTCGAGTTTCGTCCCATCCATTCTCTCCGCTTTTATTCCTTTCCAACCCTTGTTAATATCGATCGATGTGCTAAGGTTGAATTCGAGTCGCAGAGAAAACGAAACAAAGGAAATAGTGTAGAAGATGAGGAGGTCGGACGGCCAAGAAGTCTGGCGAATCCTCGAAATAGCGGCCGTTTTGAAGAGAGTCGATACCCCGCGGAAAACTGAATGGTCAGGCCTTTTGTCGCGTTTGAGATGGACTGAGAATAAGGAAAAGTTTTGGGAATTGTGAAATTTTGAGCTGCAAGTTTTTGGGAAGAGAATATAAGCTACATGAGATGAAAACTTGCAAGTTTCCCTTTTCCAAAAAGTTTTAGGTGTTTTTTTTTTAAATATTCAACTAGTAGAATTTGAAAGAAAGTTGGTTTTTTAGGTTTATTTGAAAATTTATTTGAACAGTTTGAAAGCCTTTTTAGACAGGTCCGCCTAGTTTGAGGCAATTTCACCGAATCTCTCTAATATGAGCAACACGCTGAAAAACGGTCTTAAAATTCTGGAAAATTTACTTTATGAGTATAGTCCGCTCGAAAAAGTTTGTTAGATTTTTAAGCGGTTTAGGCGAATTTCAAGGAGAATTTTTTTATATGAAAAAAACCCATTTTCATATTTATTTTAGGTCATAATAGACTTTCGCGTTTTCAAAGTCTTCAAAAAAGTTTTTTGAATCGACTTGATTTGGACTTTGAAATTTTTAACAAGAAAAAGCTGTCTGATAATTTCAGCTTTTCGAATTAGTCGTTGACAAGTGTTCAAAAACCAAGCTTTCCGTTTTGATAAATTCGTTTTGGATTTGAAGAAAAGGTGGGCTGCAATAAGTGGCGATGTTATGATGTAAGCATAATCCAGTATATGACGTCATCAAAATGCCGCTAATCGATTTCCCGCGCTCTCGTTGTGACGTCACATCATCAAATTTCGTAAAGCGTCTTTGCAGAGTAAGGAAAATAGAACTTCGGAGCGACTTTAGGTCGCGAATTTTTCCTTCCGTTCTTTTTTATCGAATTATATTCAATCTTATGTGTCTTTCGATTTCTAATACTTTCTCAAACCAGAACTGTTCGAGTTTGGTACAGTCAATTATCATACCTGTTCCTTTTTATGATGCTCAAAAAAATCTGGAATTTCTTGAAAAATTCTTGCGCCCTCATCCCGCTCGTATTCGATTCGCTCTAGAAAATTCGTGAAATAGAAAAAAAAAATTAGTTGGCGCAAGGCCCGAGTGGACCATTTCTCGTCGTCTGCTGCCTCCGGTGGTACCACGCTATTTCTTCGGCGGCGCCACTCCAACGCAACTAGCAACCGGGATCTACCAACTTTTCTTCATATTTTTATTGCTTCACTTTCCTTCCGTCCTTTCTAAATGCTCCCCTTAGTTGACAGCTAAATGGCGACGATTTGATACGCAGCACTGTCTTTTCTTCTCAGACTCAGATTCATTTCTCGCAGATTCTTGGAATTTCCACTTACACGACGCAATAATCTGTTCAAAATTCCTTTCATGGATTTCCGAAGGCGCGGAAGTCTTACATGACAGAAAATAAAGCTCAGAACTGCTCCGCCTCAAAACTTTGAAGACATTTCTCCCTTCGTCTTAGATCTTTGACACCTCAGCAAAGTTCCTCAGGCAGACGATAAGAATCGTTTTTTGGTAGAAAGCTGATAACGTTAGGAAAATTTAGGGGCCTATCTTGTAATTATTTGCGCAAAGCCAATTGCGAAGCTGAAACTCATTTTTCCGTACAATCCAATAGATACGAATCCTACAAGTGTGACAAAACAACCGCGCTAGAAATCTGGGAAAATCGTCATACGATTCATACCAAAACTTTAAAAAAATGAGGTTTTTTAATTTTCTCAGGAGGTATTTCGGAAAGAAAAAATCTAGAAAAAACCGCAATCTTTTGAAAACCCTCAATGATCGCCTTCTTGAAAACTCTTAGGAACCTCAAAAATCAGGAAAAAATGAAAAGGTTGAAAACTTCGGGTCTTCATTTAGCTTGACTAAGAGCATTCGAGTAGACTTTTTGAAAATTTTGAGTAACTTTCCTTGTCCCATTTTTTGTTTGATGAATTTTCCAGATCTTCTCGCCGATTCTGTTCCATCACAGAAATTTGTTACAGCTGTTCTGACACCTTCATTCGCGATGACGACCGTCTGAAGTGACAAAGTTATTTGGACTCTCTCTGTGGTGTTTGGAGAGAGAGAGATGGGAATAGCAGGGGATAGGAGGAGAGTTCCGGTCGAGAAAGTGACTGAACTAGTGACCGCTGCTTTCTGCTTGTGTGGTCCTGTCGATAGCTTCGTTTTCTGCGTATCAATCTGTCGGAAGTCGGAGAATTTTTAGAAAGTTTGTTCAAATGGCTTTTTAAAGGCGCTGGAAATGACTGAATCAGGTCAAGGCCTCAAAATCTTAATCACTCAGTGCTCAAAACATTAAGATCCAGGATTCGGGCTAAAGTTCGGCAGCTCAGAAGCTTTCTTGGATAGACTAAAAGTTATTCAGAATCGAAGAACTTCTTCAATCTTGTAGAAAGAATACTCCTGGAATCTACTAAAAAGAATGAAAAACGTATCTCTAACTAAACAGCTGAAAACTTCTTGTGATTTGAAAATAGAGACGGCAACCAGCAGAGCTGATCCTTTCCTTAGTACCGCTTGTTCTTGAGAACTGGGCCTGAAGATTTTCGCATTTAGGTGCTTTTCCTTTCACTGTTCACTCTAATGAAAAGCCAAAAGCAGTTGAGCAACACCTCGTAGTTGTTGCTTTTCGTACCCTTTTTATCAGTAAATACGTGGTTTTGTCGTGATTTCTTTCTTTTGACCTCTCTAGACCTGCTCGAAATCCTCCAACCCCTCACTGGAGTTTCTGAAGTTGTTCTGCCAACTTCGACTGTACAGTCAACCTCTGTCTGAAGCGACCGGCATCTAATTCACGTCTTCGTGGGACTCCGAGTTACGTCATCATCATGCCAGCGATTTTACGGTCTTCATCAGTCGCTACGGCTTTGACTGGCCTAATCTTAGGTGTCAGAACTGGAGCCGACGCTCTCGAACCCGCGTTTTTCATGGCTGAGTATCATACGTGACCGGTGCGCGGGCGGCTAGCACTGCAACTAAATGCTCAAATATTTCGCTGCGTACCACGTTTGAGGCGCAGCCACGCCCATTTTTTGTCGCGTGCGAACGTCGCGAGCGGCGTTCGCTACGGCGGCCGATTCTAAAATTGAAGATTTATTTTTTAATATTTTCATTACTGAATGTCCTCATCTTCGGTCGCTGACATTTGAAACGGCCTTCTCCCACAATTTCGTCGTTGGCGCTCGAGCAGCATTGCTCGCCGGCGCAAAGCGGTTGAGCTCCTTTTTGGCGCGCGATTTGAACGTGTTCTGGTTTATCCGGCGCGATTATCGATTGATTTCCTGCGTTGTCCATTACTTGATTCATCTTTTATCTCCTATCGCCCGCCCACAGTTTCAACACTCATCCAAACCTAGGACACGTTTTTTTTTGAATTGGGACTTTTGTTTTTTTTTTTACAACATCCTGACTTTTTCGTTTCGTGACCCAAAACAAGTCGATGCGCAGCGAAATCCCGAAAAAGTATCCAATTTTTAAAAATTAAACTTTTTTAATAGTGCGTATTACTTCGTTGATATGTGTGTACTGTTTCTTTTGTTATGATCAAAACCTTCGAAATTGAAGATGGTAACTACTGGGGAAAGTATCGAGCAGAACGGCGAGCAGAATGTCGAAGCAGAAAATGGCAACACGACCAGCTCAGATTTGGAGCAGGATAAAATACAGGTTCAAAATTTTTTCATTTGATGCCGTCTCGCAGAAATATGAGTATTTGAGAAAAAAGAAGTGAAACAAAACCTCTTTTTTTTTCAAAAAAAAGTTTGAATTTGAAATTTAGACTGTGAAAAGTGGAGTGAAAAATTGAATATGTTTTTTATTAAAATTTTTACATTCTGGAATAAACTTCTTTCCGACCATTTCTAGTTATTTTTCGTTTCAGAAGTTGAAAGCTCGTATACCAACCCCAGAAGTAGCCGACAATGAAAATGAAGAGGAAGGTGTTGCGAACAGAAGCGACTCGAATGGTTCCGCCATCCGTTCAAACGGAGTTCAGGATGAGAATTCATCGACAGACGCTGAAGATGTAAGAGATTTAAGAATTTAAAAAAATATCAATAAGATCCCCGAAATACGATTATAGCCCATTTTTCCTCTGCTTGTTTTGTTTTTTTAGGCAAAAAAGAATGTATCTAAAATTTGACCAAACTTCGCTTCAAGACCTTTGCCTTTTGCTGGGTTTTTTTGATGTTTTGTAGGGCAAAAAAGCTGTTTTACGGTGTCGTTATTTCTGGTGTGCTTGCAAAACGTGACCTGTTCCCGCGAAAAACTATATTTTTTAGCGCAACGATCGAGAAGAGAAAATGGAGGGAGTTGACAGTGGGAATGGTACTACGGTCGCTGACGACGACGAAGCTGTTCCTTCAACTTCTGACGCCAAAAATGATGAAAATAATGAAGAGGTTGAAATGAAAGGTTGATAAAGATTATCAAAATGTAGTATGTTCATTTTTTTTTTAGAAGATGACGAAGCCGTGACTAACGGCCGAGCTGATGCGACGACTTCTGAAGGTGCAGCAGAGCTTCCGAAGACCAACGGAACGGCAAAAGAGGCGTCAGAAGAGCCACCGTCGACGAATGGAGCGCAGAAGCGAGTGGTCGAATGCATCGATTTAGACGACGACGAACCGGTCGCCAGCGAAGAGCCACAGGCCAAAAAGTTAGTTATTTACTTTTCATTAAGAAAAACTTGTTCTTAGAAAATTGTCTCATTTACTAACTTCAGAGCCAAAGTCGACGCCGACGACGATATCGAGGACGTTACTCCCAGTCCCGCTCCGAAGGCGGAGAAAAAGGAGGTTGATCTATCAGTGTTTTCGCTTTTATGATTCATTCGATTCCAGGAAGACTCAGAGTTGAAGAAGACGGAGCCTCAACTGACCAGCCCTGAAGCTCTTCTGAATAAGTTGGAAGGCTACGTGGCTGATGTAAACTCTCGAAATTATAGTTCTTTTATTCACTTCCGAGAATTTAGGCGATTGAAAACGAGAAAAACGTCCAAAGGAAACTTCTCGACGCGCTTCTGGGAGCCATTAACCTGCAGGTGCAGAAAGAGCCCCTCAGCGTCCGGAAACTGATTCTGGACAAGCAACTCGTTCTTCCCAACACCATCTCTTTCCCGCCAAGTCAAGTGAGATAATTGGTACCGAATTTAATTATATTGTATGGGTTTGAGGTCGTCGACCTCCTGATTGAGCATGATCCGGAGTTTCCTCTCTCGAAAGTCGTCCACAAAATGTTCGGGGACGAGCGGCCGAAACTGAGCGACGCCGAGAAAAAAGAACGCCAGCTTCTCAAGGTTCTTACTTGGATTCTGAACTTAGAACTTTATTCTTCTTGTTGAAAAAAAAACACTTTATGAATTTTTTTGATGGAATATTGAAAAAAATATCTTTTTAAAAAGAGTTTTTTTGAAGTAGTTATAAAACTGAATTTGATTTATAAAAAAATTTGAAATAAATAAGCATGAAATAAAAAGCGATTAGAAAGCCAATTTTAATCGCTTTGTTCATCTTTCTGATAAGGGGTAGAAATAAAATAGTTTTTCAGAGAACTTCCGAATTACCTTCCTACTTTTTGAAAAACTTGTCCTTTTGTTTAAAAAAAAAGCTATGAAAGACAATAATCATATCCTGAAATCTAAAAAGTCAGCAGAAAACAAAAACTTTGCTTGCAAAATGTTTTTAGGGCTCTCAAAACTTGAATTTTCCTTTATTCATTTGTGAAAATTAAAAATGAACAACTTTTTTTGCAGGCCCACAGCGTCGTGCCGCACATGACCAAGATCCTGATGGACATTGGCCAGGACCTCGTTCAGGAAGCCACCTACAGCGACATAGTCCACGCCAGGAACTTGCCGGAAACTCCGAAGAACATCGACACCTACAAACAGGTCTCAACTCGTCTCGTTTCGTCATTTTATTGTAATTTGTGTTTTAAAGGTTGCCGCACAGCTCAAACCCGTATGGGAAACTTTGCGGAAAAAGAACGAGCCCTACAAAATGCCGCAACTTACCTGCCAGGTAACAAGGAGTGCTAATGAATTTAGTACATCTGAGAAATAAGTTTTAACTGAAAAAAAAACCACAATTAAAATTTTCTTTGTCAAGAAAAAGTTTTCTCTTTGAATGCCATATTGAGATTTTTTGATAGAATATGAAGAAAGTCATTTTCGAAAGTAATAGTTCCTACGTTTCAGGCGAAAAATATATATTCTTCTCCTTTTTTTAACTCAATTAATGGATTTTTTGAAACAAGAAAAAGTTTTTCTTTTAGACACGTTCATATGGTTATTTTATGAAAGGATGTTATTTTTCATTCTTCAAACGCATTCTCAATATTTACTAAGTTGATATGTTTCTTGATTCACTTTTATTTGCCTGAAATGAAAAGAGAAAACCACAAAAAGAGGGAAAACGAAGATTTTAGTTCAAAAAAAAAACTCCTTCGACAGCACGCTACACTTTTCCTCAACTTTTTTCACTGACAATGTTTTTTGAAAACTAAAATATCTGAAAACTAGAGCAACGTTAGGTATAAAGATCGACTTTTTTCTCCAGTTTATTCGGAAGTTTTCCAGGTGTGTGGCTTCAAATCGGAATCGCGGCTGGTGATGATGAACCATCGGTCGCAGACGCACATGAAGGGCGGCAAATATCAGTGCGCCATGTGTCCCGAGTACGACACCAACGAGCAGCGGCTCATTCAACATTACTTGTCAGTTTCAGAATGGACTTTTAGTTTTAACGTAATATTTATGAATTATTGATTTCAAGGACTAGTGCTAAGAATCGGACAGAACTGCAGATAAGACAAAAAAGGATGAAAAAATTTCCGTAGAGTTTTGGAATAAAAAGAATTATCGAGGTGTTTTTATTATTGAAAAACTGGTGATTTTAACTGAAATGAGATCTCAAATTTCGCTCTAAAAATTGGATCTCAAACCGTGGAAAAACAAAATTCGAAAATGTACTAAAATTTGCCGAAGTCTTTGAATGGTAGGCCGCAAATCGTCACCCCAAGATCCAGCTCGTCTATGTTAATTTTCCTCAATTTATAAGTGATTCAGTTGCTTTTCGCTTTCTCAAAATTACATCCAGTTGTGTTCATTCCAGAGAAGCTCATTTGGTGATTGCGACGAAAGAAGATCGCGACACGAAGCAGCCCTGCTACATTTGCGACGAGGACTTTGTCTACAAAGGTCTTCGCGACGCCCACATGAAGCAGTGCAAGAAGGACTACGCTCGCGTCCGCAATATCATGGCTCCTAAGGTTAGTTTTTTTCGTTTTTTTCAAAAAAATAAAAAAATAGATAAATAGATAAATAAGATGAACTCCTTTAGTTGACAACAACTCTTAGACAAAATTTTCAAAAAGACTGTAAAATTCGACTTTCACCTTGTTGTTTTCGCCTGAAAAAAGATGCGAAAATATTATTGTTATATCCTTTTCTCGTTTCTTCAATAATTTTCTTTTAAAGGGCTATCTTGACGTCAAATTTTTGCTTTTTCACAGCCTGAAGACGCGTTGACGATCAATCGATGGCTGTGGGACCGACCTCCAATAGATCCGACGATTCTGCAGCAACAACAGGCCGCACAAGCTCAAGCGGTTCGTTTTTCTAAATTATAATTTATATATATATATTTTTTTCATTCTACGAACCTTTTTTTAGTCGGTAAATTTGAAATTTAGTAGTTTTTCGTCACTAAAAAAATGAAGCGAAATTTTTTTCAGAATTTTTTTAGAGTTTTTCGAATTTCCCTTCTCTCAATTTGTAGTTTATATGAAAGATATTTAAGAAGTTTTTATACTAAGAAAGTGATAAGGCTTTAATCTCTGCAAAACTTCCTAACTTTTATTCTCTTAACGAGGAGGTATTTTAAATGGAAACGTTTGTAAAAGTTTGTGCAAATTGAAATGCGTTTTGCATTGCAAAAAGCTTAATTTACGCGCGAAATGACTTGATTTTTTTTCTTAGATGTCTGGAATTTACAGAAAACTCGTGAAAAGATCTTTGTAGTTATGAATGAAGACGCCTCATAGTGGCTACCTGCGTAAACTTTCAATTTTTAATTTTTTTTTTTTTAGAAAATGCCAATTTTTCCTGTAAGAATGCGTTATAAAAAAATAGTGCAAAATTTGGGAAAATAACTTTATTTTCAGATGCAAAAGAAGCACCAGCAGCAGCAGGCGGCGACGCAGCAGGCTCAGTTGACGGCGATCCGCCAGCGCCAGCAACAGGCCGCCGCTGCGACTTCCCAACAGACGGCCATGCTCCAGCAGCAGCTCCTCCAGCAACAGAGAGTTCGCCAGATGACGGTTCTACTTTCTTTTCTTCACTCATTATAACTTGTCTTTTTTCAGCAAGCCTTCATGAGCAGCAACCGGATGATCAACCAGACTCAGTTGTTAGCCGGTGAGAGAAAATGATCTTTTTCATAAGGAACTTCTCCGGTTTCAGCGATGCAGCAACACATCCAACGAACGAGTGGAGCTGGACGAGGGGCGACTGTGCCGGGCTTGGGGACGCCGATCGCCGCGGCCTCCGTCGCCCTGCTTCAGAAGCAGCTTCAGCAGCAGCAGCAAGCCCAGGCTCAGGCTCAGAAGGCTGCTGCCACTCCTCCTGGCCTTGGAAGAAAGTCTTCTTCGGTATCCCCAAGTTAACTTTTCGAGTATTTAATCTGGAGCTCCAGACGCCTTCCGCCAAGACCCCGACTACGAGTGGTTCACCTACTCAGTGCGAAATCTGCGATCAGGCCGTCGCTGAGAAGGAAAAGTACCTCGTTCATCTCCAGGTTTGGTTCAAAACCTTCGAAATAAATTTTGTTAAGGGACCCATGTGAAAATTAAAAGTTATAAGTACTTTTATTCTATAACCTTGATAAGATCGTATCCATTGTTCGATCGGACGAAATATACTAATATAATAGATTCAGAAATAAATATAGTAGAAAAGGCGCACTACTTTAAAAATGGTCTTCGGCGTGAGATCTTCAAATTTCCGATGTTGCTTTCTCAAAAAATACAGCAAGCTGCTATGAATCGACTAGATTGTTCGACGCCGAATTAAAAATTATATACCAGATTTTTTTTTTCAGTTGAGATATCCATTACATCCAGCACCTCCGTAAAAAAAAAAAAAGAAAACTTACCAGTTTGAAGATTTTCATTAGTTTTTTTGATTAAACAAAGCTCTTTTTGCAGACTTTCCACAAGCAAATGATCGGGAAGTCGGTGGCGGACATGACGCAGGGCGCTCCATTGGCTTGCAGTCGGTGCCGCGACCGATTCTGGACTTACGAAGGCCTCGAAAGACATCTGGTCATGTCCCACGGCCTCGTCACCGCCGATTTGCTTCAAAAAGCCCAGAAGAAGGAGGACGGCGGCCGTTGCAAGCTCTGCAGCAAAGTACGTTTCTCAGCTCTTTTTTCGTCTTTTCTTTTCTATTTTGTAAATTATAATTTTTCTTCATATCAAAAAAAAATATCTGAATTTGCTGATTTTTTGGAGACGATTTATAAGAATTTTTTTTAGCAATATGCCTTCAACATGCTGCAGCACTTGGTCGCCGATCATCAAGTCAAACTTTGCTCTGCGGAAATTATGTGAGTTTACTTTTTTTGTTCACTTAAAACAGTAAATTTAAAGTTCAACGCTGATTTTTTTGTGAACAAGTATAATGTTTTTGTCCAATTTTTTTAGTTCTAAATATTTTTTTAGATAGAATTTTGAATTTTTATGGGAGAAATCCTGAACCTTAAGCCGAAAAATATAGACTGGAGTGATTTTGAGGAAAACTAGGTCACCGCAAAAATGTGGAAGTTTTTGTGTTTCGCGCAATAAAAAAGAGACCACCTGGCACATTGGAAAATTTATGGCCTGTGCGATCGATAGTACTTTAAATTTAGACGCAATTTAAGAGGATTTTTTATGTGAACAGTGATATTTTGAACCCAAAAAATGGTATGTATGGGAAAGCTGGGAAAATCACACCTTTGAGATCTTTTAACCTCCTTTTTTCTGCGTACGGGAAATAGTCGAGATAAACTTGTTCCTCTTTCAAAGAGGTGATTTTATTTGAATGAATGAAAAGCTATAGGAAAAGCTCGTCCGCTAACTAGATTCAAATCCTGAATTCAAATCTATACAGTTTTCCATTTTCTGAAAACCGATGCTTTGAATCGTCATTTATGTGCTCTCCGTTAAACTTTTGGGGTGTTAAAAATTGTTCCACCTTTTTTTTGAGAAAATTTCTTAGAACTTTAAACGATTTTCCCGTTGCAGGTACTCTTGCGACGTGTGCTCCTTCAAGTGCACGAGCTACCAAATTCTGGAGGTGCACCTCACGTCGAAGCATCCGAAGGGCGGCGCGCCGGTCGCCGACCGCCCTCAAGCCGAAAAGGCTCGTTGATTTCTTGTTCCTTGACACTTTGTCTCCTCGAACTTCCCGTCCTTCTTTACTGTTCCTCTTCGTGTCTTTTCTAACCTTCTACCTGTCCGAAGATCAGCTTCTGACCTTTCTGTGTATAATTGTCTATGACTATGTGTAGGTTATAACCGTTGTTCATCAATAAATTATGATTCTTAGCGTGGAGTGGAGTTCTTTCAGATTGAGACAACCTAACCGAAGAAGTTGAAGTAAAATTTATTAATAATTCATGTCGCTTCACTAATTTTTGACTCTAGATTTCTAACCATGGAATTTTGAGCTTGAGTTTGATTTTTTAGAAGGCTCTGGTGTGATTTTTTTTTTTTCAATGCTTGTACATAATATTATAATTTTTTCAATCACACGTCGAAATAATTTCTTAACGTCAGAAGTGTCACCAAAACAAAAAGTATCATAATTTTTTCCCATATTTTACCTTATTTTTCTACAAATCGGATCCCAAAACCGTAATGAAAGCTGTGTTCAGGCCAAGGACGATTGTATAACGCTGGACGATTAATTCTCCTTGGTCTTCAACAAATTTCAAGCAGACGATAAAAAATCCCAAGAATAATATCACAGTCATTTTTTGTGAAGCGACCCTGTTTCGACGATCTCAGCCATCTTTCTCTCTCTCTCTCTCTCTTCTTTTTCCCTCTCAATCTGCAATTGTCACGGATGTTCGAATAACGGTTGTATTTGATTCAATTGTAGATTCCCACGTCTTTATTTCATCATGGTTTTATATATATTGTGTTGGTTATAGTATATGTATCCCCTGGTGTTATGCGGTTCGATGTTCTTTTTCGTTTTTCAATATGGCAAGTCTACGGTATCCTGAAGTTTTTGTACATTGCGCTTGTCTATCATCATTTTTTGTACCTCAAGGAGGACAACAAAAATAAGACCATCTAAATTTCGCAACCTCCGTTCATTTAATCATTTTAGTTCAAAGTTTTCCAAAGACCTTCAATTTACCGCAGTCTCGGAAACTTTCATGGTTTTATCTGAAGTTGACCCATAAAATTAAAATTTTCTTAAAATACGTGCAAAAAGAACCGCGGACTGTTCGTTTTTATGTATCCTTTATTTGTACGAAATCACTTTGTGTCGAATTAGTTATGTGAAAAAATTGGCTAACTATTCTGCATTGCATTAATTTATTATTCAACGAATTTGGTAAGAAAAATACTTTTTTTCTGTTTTTTTGTTCGATAAACAGTATCAATTATTTGAAGCTTTGCAATGCTAAAGTTGAAGTGGAAAGTCAGGAAGTACTGTGAAAATTGAGGTTCTCGATGAGGCGAAGAAAAATATCAGTTTGTTAATTTTTTGTGTTGCTCATTAGCTGATGGCGGAGTCATCGTTGTATTCAATCTATACATCGGTCATCACAGGTTTGTTTTTGTTTTTTAAAAAATATAGGAAGGATAATATAATGTTTCCAATTTTCACTAAAAAAAAAACAGAAAAACCTGAATGAAACGAAAAACGGTAGATTTTATCGAATATTTCATTAAACAAGGATGTTATTTTTTTGAAAATCCTGACGAAGATTTTTTTAAAAATAACTAGCTTTTCGGATATGAGTTTTTCTAATTTCTTCTAGGCTTCGAGTGGCTCGCTTCAGAAGAAATCAAATCCAAGCTCTCGGTCAAAAGTCAGAGAAGCCGTGGGAGGGTCCAGTTCAGGTTAGAGCCGAAGCGAATCCCCGAAGTCCTGAAACTACGCTCCATTGACAATGCATACGTGATTGTTCTTGAGAAAACACTTCTCAATTTGGGTAAACTGCCGGAGGAGGTTCAAAAGGAGTATAGATTCGCAGAGAAGAACATTTTCAGGAAGCTCTGCGAGAAATTCAAAATTTGATAAAATCAGTCGACTGGGAGACGGCTGTGGACGCCTGGCAACTCGCGCACGGCAGAAAAATTGCCCATTTTGTAGGGCTCCCAGAAGATCGAGAAAACTTGCCAAAGTTCAGGTTTTATATTCAAAATTGGATTCTTACTAATAGGTTGTGCAGAGTTACATGTTTCCGAGCTGGAGAGAAAAGTTGTCATTCTTTTTCTTCGATGGATGCCGCGAAATCACTAGGTTATTGTCAGGGAAAGTTTAAATTTCGGTTTACTTCCCACAGGAGCCGAAATCAATAATACCTTCGGATGGCGACCGGACATGAAGAACTACGACATTGAACTTGTTCTGCGTATTAATGGGGATACGGTAGGCCTTGAGTCTTCTTCCTACGTCTTTGTATTGTACCGCTTGATCAACGTCGGTGCCCCAAATCTATGAGAGGATTCCTATCCTGATATCAGTGATAATCAGTGGACTGACTTTGGTGACCTATCCGTGTGTTTTACGGCTGGAGATTATAAAGCCAAGGTTTCTTCTACTACCAAAAATCCTTAACCCTCATGGTTTGGTCCGCTGGGGATCGAACTTGAGACCCTTTGGACCGTGGATAGACAGACAACCTGTAGCGCTACGGCGCGCGAAAAGAGCCAAGAATGAGAAAAAAAAGTTTCATTACAGTTGAGTTTGATGGTGGCGCTGAACAACGAGTCCCTTTTCAAGAGGAACGTCTGCGCCTACGGACCAACCACCATGAGGTCGACCATCTGCTACTGCATGGTCGCATTAGCCAAAACTAAACCTGGTAGGCACAAACTTTCAAGAATAGAAAGGAACTTTAACAATTTAATAAGAAAGAAAAGATTGAATCGACAGATGTGGACGGCGGAACATTTAAATTTTAAGTTCAAGATGACCCAGAAAAAAAAAATTGGAAAAGAAAATTTCAGAAATGGGTTTTTTCCATTAAAATTTTTCTAAATCGATAATTTTGGCTAAAGTTATCGAGTTTGATGTTAAAAACTATAGTGGTTTCGATAGAGCGGTAAGACTGATCTCTTGAAGAGTCGCTCAAAGATTCTGAGTATTATTTTTATTTTTATTTTTTTAATATTTCGAGCTTTCTTCTAGATACTAAACTCTAAAAATTACCCAGGCTTTTTAGATGATATTGTGTTGGATCCATTGTGTGGCGGTGGCTCGATACCTCTTGAGGGATCACTTGCCTTTCCGGACCGTGTCTTCTTCGGCGGAGACAATCATCCGCTCGCCTTGGAGCGATGTCGAGAAAATCATGTGATCATTTGGCTCATTTAACCTATTTTCTGATCAGAAAACGCGTATAATAAAAAAAAATACCCCAAAGTTTCGTATCAGAACCCAAGAAAAAAATTATCTCAGACTCAAATTAATTTCACTGGTTTAGGATTACAATAAAAAAAAGCTCGCCAACACTTCAAGTACTGTAAATTTCTTCCAATGGGACGCGGCAGCCTTGCCTTTGAAAGACGACTCCGTCGACGCCATCGTGACAGACTTACCGTATCAGCTTATTACAGTACCTTTTGAAAATGTGCACGGTTTACAGATTTGGAAAGAAAATTGGGTCGAAGAAAAATAACCAAGGACTCTACACCTTGCTTTTCGAAGAATGGGCGAGAGTCGTTCGGCCAGGCGGCTCTGTCGTCGCTTTGACTTCCGATAAGAGGAGTATTGGTGAGTTTAAAGTGATACATTTGTATATGCATTATTTGCGAGTTTTTAAAAATAGACCTTGAGAAAAAACTGCAAAAAGGCGCTAAAAGTATGCGCCTGGATATTTTCATTTATTTCGAAAAAAGACCCTCTTAGGTTAGTTTTTTTTCTGTCCGTGGCGCTTTTAGCTGGAACCTCAGGATGTCCCTTTTCGAAAAATTTGAAGTCGTTCAGGCTCATATATGGGCAAGTACATGAGCTCTTTCAGACCGGGAGGTTAAATTTCAGAAATTTTGAAAAGTTAGGAATAAAACCAAGTTTCAGCCCCAGGGAGACAGTATTAAATTCAACTGAGGAAAACTTGGGAGGAGTGGAATTTTCTATCTATTAGATTTTATCCCCATTTTTATTTATGAAAATTATGTTTCATAACATTTCTTTGATGAAGATGTTAGTTTTTCAATTTTTTTATTTTTTTAATCCTTGAATTGTGAGATCCTTCTCACTCCAACTACATACATTTTTCAGAAACGGCAATGCGAAACAGCCAAGTTTGGAAAAATCACGGAGACTCTCTTGGTAAACATTGGCGGTCGAATTATTCCATGCTATCTCATTAAAAGTTCCAAATAAAATTTTAGAAAAACGTATTTATTGGATAATGTTTGCCACAAGAAGAACCCATATTAAAAACCATGGAAGTCGAATAATTATTCTAATAGGATAATAAAGAAACAAATGATAATATCTCTGTAACATTAAAATTGCAAAGTATGACATAATGACGCCGGTACACGTATTTGCGCTACACCCGATGGACGACTGTCGTTTTTTTGTTCTTGTTTGGCAGTTGAGTGAAATGGTAGATGACCTTAGATTTTCATCAAGATTAGGTTCTGGGAGTAGACAGCTTACTTCATGACCATTCAAGGCCTTCTGCGACTGCTCAGGAGCTCGAAGGGGCCGATTCCTGGCCGAAGTCGAGGGCTGGAAGAAGGGAGAGCCGTCTGGAGGGACACAAACCGCTCGGGACACTTTTTCGCATGTTACTGACTGAAGAAAAAAACGATTCAGAGTTATAATAGTTAGAAAGATTTTAGACACATATAACAGAAGTATCAGATCAACTTCAATTCTTTCAGCTGATTTTCGCTAGTTTGAGACCCAAAAAACTATAGCGATTTCTTCTGCAATTTCTCTTATCATTTCAAAGACCTTTTTTTTTGAAATTTATCCATTTTTAAATGACAGACTCAGTAAATCGTTTCTGTGTTATATTCTCTTCTACATTTCAGTTCGAGAATCGAAAGTGTTCATGGAAAATAACTGAAATTTCTTTTTTTTTTCAAATGACCCATCAAAAGTAATTACCAGTGTTATTTCAGGTCACGCAAAACGTTTGGTTTTCTTTTTTTTTATTATTGGCTGGCTTGAGCTATCAGAAAAAGGTCCTGAAACGATAAGAAAAGAGAGTGTCTGGTAGAGGGAGAGCGCAGATACCCCGCGCCTTTTTGCGTTTCAAGCTAGACGTGAATTGGCTATAGCACCAAAGAAACGTTCAATAAAACGCGGAAAAATCTCTTCAAAACCCACAGCGTTGCCGCAGGTGTGCTGTATCCGGATCGGTTTGCCCTGTAAACAGGGAGAAGCTTCGACGATGTCGTAGAAGTCGTTGAGCTGTTGCAACTGCTTCTTGTTGAGTCGCCATTGGCGGTAGCGGTAGGCGCAGAAGACGGAAACGACTAGAAGAAGGACAAGTAGAACGGGAAGGAGGGCTATCACCGAGTAATCTGCAAAAAAATTGGTTCAGAAATCGTAGTCATTAGAGTGACTTTCGATGATTTTGTTCTTGGGGAAACTTTTTCGGGAGATTTATCATGCCTGGGCTAGGTGAAAACACCATTCCCTTCTCTCGAAACGAAGTTTTTCCGAAACTTCAACATACTTTTTTGAGAAATTAATTTGAAATAGCGTTCCAAAGTTTGCATAGAAATTTCGAACCTTCATCCTATTTGTTTGAACTTCCAATGGTTCTTTTTAAAAGCGCCGACCGGGTTTTAATTTTTTTTTTTCCCCCGATTTTTGAAAGAATTCCAACAAACTTCCTCGCACAAAAAGCCAATAATTCCCCGAAACGCTTATTTAAGCGGTCATTCATTTAAAAAAATTTTTAAATGATCTATAGGCAGGAGAAACAATGAAAATTTTCAAGAAAAAGTTGAAAAGTACTTTTAGCGACAATTTTTGGAAAAAAAAATTGCTCCATCAAAGCTCTCTAGACCTGTAACAACGTGCAAGCGATTGCCTTCGACGACAAAATCGCGGCCAACGCGTTTATCGAAAAGATCCATGGAACCGAAATTCGGCGGAAAGATGGTGCCGACGACAAAGCTGCTCCCGGCGCCGCTGACGGCGGTCGACGCCGACGACGCCGACGAGTTCGGCACGATCATCTGCATGAACGACGCTCCATGGGCGCCGATTCTCGTGCGGATCGCCCCAAACTTGGGCCGCCGGCTGTTGATCTTGTCCGCTGACGTCCCACTCGTCTCGCTTCTGGAGCCAGCGGTTCAGTCCAACAAATTGGAGCACGGAAAAGCGGAGGGGAAATGGAAGAAAATCGAAAAAAATCCACTTGAAAGAGTACAAAAACAAGCCAGCAAGATGAAAAGGAGAATTTAACGGGAATTGAGTGAAAAAATATCATTGGAAAATCCTGGACCAACTTCTTCTAGATAGGCAAAACTTATTAAAACTCTGAAAACATTCCAGTTGAAAAATGACGAAAGTACATTCATCAAGATCAAATTTTGAGCAAGTAATACTTTTTTGAGTACTTTTTCTTCAATTAAATTCGAGGAAAAGTTCTCCAGAAGCTGGAAACAAATAATAGACATACCCATGCAAAAGAAAGACAAATTGATCAACTTCGAGTTTACGAAAAAGTTTAAATTATTTTTTGAAGGTTGGAAAAATAAACTGAAAACGGCAATTAGGTATTTACTAGAAGTAATCAATCTTCAACAAAAAACGGAACTAGTCTGGAAAAATCGCTGAATAGCCAGTTCAACTTTCAACGTTAAATTTTCAATAATTTTTTTTCCTTCAAAAGGGCGGTACAAAGAAAATATTTTTCCGCCCACTGGTATAGAAAATTGCCCTCGAAAAACAGCTTGGAATAGGTCAGAAACTCAATTCTTTGTGAAAAGTAATTTATTCTTGAAGCTTCTGAAGGGAAGTTTGAAAGTGCGCAATTTGAAAATGAGCGGAAGTTGAGAAACAAAAAGAGAAAGAAGTGGAAGGGGGAACTTGAGATGAAGTTCATTTATCCGTTGGAGAATCCAATTATAATTAAAAACTCGCCAGTCGGCAACTTCCTCGTCTTCCCTCTCCTAATTGAAGATTAGTCAGAAAATGAACTAATTTACTGGCTGGCCAAGTTTAAAGTGCTGGCAGAGATATAAAAAGTCTAGTTTTTGCAAATCTTTTGAAACAAGAGAAGGCTCGGCTCGTTTCACGGTTTACGGGGGAGTGAGGCAAGTCAGAACCGAGGCAAAGCACTCGAAAATGCAAATCAAATCTTGGAAAAAGTGAAGAAGACGTTCTCTCCCAAACTTCTCATTTTCTCAGGCGATGCTCTTTTCGTCGAAAAAATTTCCAGGATATCTTTTTGGGACAAGATCAAAAAATAGAGAAGGGGAATTAAAATTCAAAGTGAGGCAAAAGGGATAGAATCGGATTTCATGCTTCTGGGACCGATAATCAAATAGCCGTGGAATACAACAACAAAAAATTTTTTGCAATAGATTTGAAACGAAAAATGGGCGTGGTAGAACGTTAGATTCAGACTTTTTGAATGCTATTTTAAAATTTCAATCATGACTGCTTGCGAAACTTGAATATTTCTTTTATTGAAACCATAAATTTAAACAATGCCAGAAAAAACTTGAAATCAATAATCGATCTACCTTTGTAAAAGTTTTGAACTCGTGATGCTTAGGCTCCCAGGCTGATTTGATGGAACTCGGGCTTTTTTTTTTGATTCCTAACTTTTTCACGGTTTTTTTTCTTTTCCAGATGACATTTCAGATCATTAGAACATAATTCAACGTATATTTAAATAAATTTCGCTTCGTGTCTCGGAATTAAGAGAAACACGTCAATAAATTACACCGAAAAGAATAAAAAGCCTAAAATGCACTGAAATATAGCCAGGTGAAATTTCCAAAAAAATTGTACTTCTTTTTATAAGATATATTTCATGTGGGCGTACATTGGTATTCAAGGATTATCCAAAATAGAACGCCATTTCTCAAGAAAAAGGCTTTATAGAAAAAGTTCGTTTAAAAGAACAGAATGAATGGGAAAAATGAAAAATGAAAAGCCCATAAGGAAATGTATACTTTGTTTGTGGAGAAGGCTGAAACGCAAGTGGATAAATATTGGCGCGGTATAGAGCGTTTTTCTGCTGGAGAATAAGTGGGAGCGTCTCATCAAGGTTTATTTTCGCCTTTGTTTTCAGCTCAAATGAAGCTCATTAATATTGGAAAGAGCAGTATCCGAAAGCGCGTTCGCTATTAAAAGATTGAAACGAATCTCAATTCGAAGAATTCAGTCTATTTCTGATCAAAGTGAGAACCGAAAATGTCTCCCTACAAGGGAGGTGATTCTTCGGTGACTTGGAAATTTTCCGAAGTTCGACCAAAGTAATCTTTGATAGACTAGAAGAATTTCCTGGAAATAGCATGTAAAATGTTTCCTTTTTTTTTAGAAAAGTGCAGCATAGCCCTTTCTTTTCATCCTGTACCATCGACTTCCTTTATCCGTGAAAAAAAAATGAGCGAGTTGAAACTTTCATCGAGTACATCAAAAAGGGATTCGGTCAAGTTCCGAAAAATTTTCAAAACAAGAATGAAAGGTTTTTTTGAAATATGCATGATCTCTGTATTTCAAAAAACGCATCAACTTAATTTCGAACACTGAACAAGCATCGAAATCCCAGCAGATCTCACAGTTGCAATTATCCTCACTTTTCAATTATAAAATTAGCAGAAAACTCATGCAAACAGCTTAATTCAAACAAAGTTTCGAGGCATGATGAAATGCTTAAAAGATTCGTCATGTCTTCTCAGTTTGAAGCTCTCTCAGACGGAAAATTTGGCTAATAATAATCGTCACGTCAATCTATAATAGTAACACAGATGTTGTAACGCAAACCCTGGCTCGAGATTAAAAAAGCGCCGAAAAGGCAGCTGAAAAGATCCCGAGTCCCACTGAAGGCATTACTGCAACTTCCAAATGACACCGGAGCCGACATAAACTTTTTCATGCATTTTCGACATTATCGACAAGCTGAACATTGAAAGAAAATGTACTTATTGAAGAAATTTGTTAGTTGTAACATTAGGAAGGGAAAAAATTAGAGAGAGAACAGTTAGAACGCTCTGAAACCTAATTTCAAAGATTGCATGTCTCCAAAACTCTCTCAATGTCGCTTCAGAGACCAATGACCAGGAAGTCAAGACACCTTCTTTGCATGGAAAAAAAAAACAAGCTTTACATTCTTTTCATAGAAATCAAAAAAAAACATGAAAAAACACTTGGTGCAAGCTCTTTATAAATATAGTATCGTCAAATTCTCGATAATCCAAAGGATGGACAAAATCACTCCCCGCAAAAAAAAATATAAAGAGGGATAAGAAAATTGATCTACGACAGAAAGAGTTGCATGTAGTTGGAAAGAACGGAAGTGTGAATTTTTAAGCGTTTCGAGTCATTTGCAAAGCTTCCCAACGCTCTTTAGCGCTGAATTAACTTAGGGACGGCAACCAAATTTTCAAAAAAATTTTTCGAACTTCAATATTACTATGGTTGGATAGCTGCTCTAATTTACTATTCAAAACAGTTTAGTTTTTAAAAAAAGATTGAAAACAAAAAAAGTTATTGTCAAAACAGTAGTGAAAAAAGTCGCGAAATTTAGTACTGAAAGTTTAGATTTGACGCTTTTGGTCGTTCATTTTGTTTTCATATCGGATTTAAATTTTTCAATAGTTTAGTTCGGTTTTCAAAGTCATAATTAGTTATTAAAACAGTATAAAACCACAAGTTTGAAGGGAAAAGCTATTTTTTCATGGAAAATAAAAAAAATGACTGCTGCGAGGATTGAACTCGCGATATCAAAACTGTATTCAAGAGCACTTGCGCTGCTTCACGTACATCTCTCGGAGATGGGAGGCTTTCGCGCTATACACCACTTCACCTCAAAGTACAGCATTTAACGACAATCTTGTTCAAAAAAAAAATATGATAGTTGAACAATTATTAGTCACGTGTGTTCGGACCACCTAAAAATAATTTATTCATAGAGATTCAGTTCGAAATGCTTCCGTTTTCGGTGTTTTTTTTTTTTTTAACGTTGGCTTCAAACTAACACTGATTAAACTTTTAGGCACCGTCGAAATTTTTATTTATTTTTTTAATTGATTGGAAATTGAGATACGCTAATATTTAAGAAATAAAAAAAGGCGCCAACGACATCTGACCATGCTAAAATGAATTTCGAAATTTTCACTGTCTATTTTTTCTCAGAAAACAATGTTTTTCGGAATAAGTTATATACTAATAAAGTTTTAGTTATAATTTAATCCACAAGTTAAAATAAAAAAATTTTTTTACTTACACGCTCTCGAAACCGAGTACAAAATTTTTCAACTTTGCGCGGCCTCACGAAGATTAGGCACCGTAAAAAAATTTTTAATTTTTTTGTTTTTAAAAGATTTTTTCACTTGAGAATCGAATTCGAAAAATAAAAAAAGGCGCCAACGACATGGAATTAGGTTAAAAACGCGAAGAAAAAAAGTAGTTTTGGTTTTTTGTACGACACTCCGCTAAAACGCTACGAAAATCGGGAGAAAAGTAAATCAGATTAAAGAGGAAGGTTTTCTCTATGTTTCTCCCAATTTTCTCTGTGTTTGGTTCAGTATTATGCTTTTACGAAAACATCAAACACAAAATCTAAAAAACCAGTGCATTTCACCCTCGCAAAAAGGGGAGTGGCTCTGCGGTCTCTAAATTAACTTTATCAAAAATGCTCGAAAGCAAAATAAAAAGAAACTTTCAATACCTGTACACCGCTGGCTTGAGACAAATTACATAAAGAATTTGACGCGATTAGTAAAATAGAACACACTCAAAAATAAATTTAGACGGCTCCGTATTTTTTCGTTCAAGCTTTGAATGTAGTATATGGACGATAGGGATGAAAATTGGATTTTTGAAAGCCATTGAATTGAGAAAATAATGGGGATCGCATTCGCGCGAAAATAAAAATGTCGGAAAAGGCGATTTGTGAAAAAATAAAAACAACTTTTCTTCCTGTGGGGAGCAATTTTTTTCGAAGGCGGAACTCGAAAAATATACCAAATCGAGTAGACCGAAAGACGGCGGAGATCTTTCATTTGAGTGCACATTTGTTTTGGCGGAGATTTCATATTCCTCGAATAATCCATGCGTAGTTTATTAATATTTAATTTTTTTCTATAGGAAATTCCAATATTTTTTTCGAACAAAAAGAAGAAACTTTTGCATCTATAATTTATAGACTATATCAACTCAAATATTTCAATAATTTGCTGTTACAGAATCGCCAGCTTTTGCAAGGGACTTGAAAAAAATCCACAAAC